TTGTTCTCGTTGCCAACTCAAAATTTAGGTTATCCCAACGTTAAGCACCTCGCCATCTTCCCCGGATGCCCCTTTCCATTTCAGCTGGCTATTAAATAATAAAAAGTAATACAAAAAGTTTGTTTTACGTTACATTCGCTGTCTCCGTCTAAAATGTGTGGAAATGTTCATACATACAAATGCCACACGTGTGTTGATGTGTATCTGTGTTCGTTGGTTGGTTGGTTGGCAACACAACTACGTTAGTTTTAGTTTTGTTAGTTGGTTTTTGCTTTCTTTTATTATGTAGCGCACAGGCAGTATGTGTAAAATAAATGTTGTAACATGATTTCTTTCTTCTGTTTTTGTTGGTTAAACATTTAAGGTAGAAGGCTCGCCCAATCGACAACGAAATTATGACTTAACCCAGTCAGCGAGGTCGCCGAATGCTGAAGGACTTTAATTTCCTCGATTAAACAAACTTGAAAATGTATCTTAAATATGTTATGTAGGTATACAAAAAAATATTTGGGGAATGCTACTCAAAATCGCAACGTTAAGTATGCTACAAAATATGGTTTGGTTTTGGAATCAGTTATGGGATGCCATATCCTAAAACATACCTTTTTGAAGGCCTTTTCAAAGAGTTTAAAATCAAAGATTTTTTACTAAATATTCGTACGAAAAAACCTATTATTTCCGATTAAATGTTTTAAGAAAAATATTCGAAAATAAATATTGTAATCTTACATGATTTTTAAAAAGCCAGCAATGATTTTTTTCATTTCCTTTACCTTTTATTTACAAATACTTAAACTTAAAGCCTGGGATTAATAGTCTTGAGGAATTGTTCCCCAGATTGTCGTAGCTTATCATCGATCCCTCGAGGGCGACTAATGAATCGCCGAAAAATCATTCCCCGATAAACTGGGACGCATTGTGATGGACGAAGAGCAAACAAGTGTTTTGTGTGAGTAAATATCCCTGGAAGACCCAAAAATGCAGACAGCAAACATTGGGGAGACCCAATGGCAAACAGACGTGCGCATAAAGAACTATAAAACATTCACACACTCGCACGAGGAAGAGCCTAGAAATGTCAATATGCGAGCAGGCACAAGGTAACATCATCGACAGCGACAACTTCAGACCCACATCCACAATCACATCCTCGTCCAAGGCGCAAGACCGCCTCTTTCCGTTGGCCTGACACAAGGAGGCCGATCAACTAAAATGTCTATAAAACATTTATTAAGTGCGTGAGTGCACCTACACCAGAGGTAAAAAAAGGTATTATATTATCACACTATGTAGAAATGAGTAATGGAAACAAAACGAAAAGTAGAGGTCTTTCAAAAATCACTATAACTTTAAAACTATTAGAAAATGTGGACATAAAAAAAATTTAACATTATTTTAAAATCAATATGTATTCCTATTTTACTGCCCACAATCGTGTTTATGTGTGGGTATTTCCGCTTCCTTACACATAAACACACATAGCGCACAACACTGTCCGAGGGCATCTATTATGCACACACATCTGTGGGTATTATGTATTGGATTGGAAACCCATTTCATTCAACCCCTTCGCTCTTCGTGTTCTTCTTCACTTGTATGGCGTGCCAAGAGAGAAGATAAACCAAAAGCAGAAGAAACAGTTGCGAAAATAAAATCAAATCAAACACCCCACTTTAAATAGAAAAATCTCTTTGGCTAAAAATAAAATCTTTTAGGCAACAAAAAAAAAGAGGCAGAAACAAAATAAAAACCACATTCAAGCGATGGTTGAACTTTTAAACAAGTACAGTGCAGGCGCGAAAATTTGATGTTTTCCATACCGAATGCATATAAAATGTTTTTATTTCCCTTTAACCTAATATACAAACTAAATTAAATTAAAATAGAATCCTTGAAGGAAGATACAGGGGGGAAAAAAGGGTCAGAACTCAAATTGTGCCCACTGTACAGAGCCAACATATGGGTTTATATTCGATTGCGTCCGACACAGGTGGCATAATTTCCGCAATGACAATATTAATACATTCTCTTAAAGTATAAGAATTCAAAATTAAGAAACCAAACCCGAGAAACGTTTTGATAATAAGTAGTTCAATAACTGGAAAACACTTGCTCTTGGGCCTAATCTTATCGCTATAAAAATATCCATCCGTTTATATGTTTAGCCTAATAGGTGAGTTAACCAACTTATATACATACATACATACATATGTAGATTATAAGAAACTCATTAGAAAAACACTCTTCCGCAGCAAGTCTACGTACAATTTTGGATTTGAGGTTAAACTAAAATGACAAAAAGGATCCCCAGAGTCCTAAAAATCGGGCAAACACCAGAAGTCAATATATGTGCGTAAAAATTAAGCTCTAGTAGGTGGCTCTTTTTAGGAAAATTTGGTAAATTGGGGATAACTCCCATCGATTAAACGAATCGGAAATTCATTCATGGGAATTGTAAGCGTGTTCGGTAGGACATTCAACTCACCTAGCTTGCCGTTCGCGTCGCTGCATTTCACCAGGTATTCGCTAGCTAATCTCCGTTGAATTTTGACTCAGAGGCTCGATCGCCGTTCCGGGAATTTTGATAATGAATTTTAATCGGCTGGAACTTGTTGCTGCGGCCGCTGTTGCGTCTGTTGTTGTTGTTTAGCGTTAGCGATAGGGCTGATCCGGCAGCACAAGCTGGCGACTCTGCAGGATCTGGAGGATTCGTGTGAATTGAGCGAATTATCCACAACGCCCACGCACGCACTCTGGAACACGAGCACTCGCGCACGCACTCGCACTCATACACTCACTTAGCATCCGCGCATGTCGCGCATGCGGCCAACACACACGGTTAAACGGAAGATCCGCCTCCCCACTCCCACTTGGCTGGATGGCTGGGTTGAGCTGCGAGCTGACAGGTGTATATGCGCGCTTCTCGCTCTCTCAGTTTTTCCTTTTCCTTTTCCGGCTGTAGGTATTAGCTGATGTTATTGTTGCTGCTGTTGCGTTATTTGACATTAAGTATGAAAATTGAGCAGCATCTCTTTGAATTTTTTAGTTATTTTTGTTGCTAGTCTGTTCGTGTATGTGTGTGCCGTGTAGGTATGTGTACATATGTCAAAAGGCGGGCTATTTGTCGTAGAATTATTATTCCTGTTGCTCTCTCGCTCCCTCGCAGTCGTTGTCGTTCTCGTTCTTTTCTCCTTATCCTTGGATCCTCCGGCTGATTGATTGAACGATTGATCGAGCTGCAGAAAGTGTGTGTGTTCAGAGGCGAGGAAAACAAGGAAAACAGTCTCGAGCTACGCTGAACAACTAGGTAAACAAATAATTTTGGCTAAACAATTTGACAAACAACACACTTTTGCACATTTTATCCAACGTTCTGTGAGACAACAAACCCAAAACACACCGAAATGTTTTCATTCAGTTTGCCTTTGCTGCCGTGACTTGTTAGGCAAGAGAGTAAGTAAACAATTTCTGATGAATGCTGTCGTTAAATTTACGAATTTAACCGGTCAGTTGTTTGGCTTTAAGCACAAGGCCCCTGTAAAACATAAACAAAAGAAAAGAAAAATATCGTTAATATGCATTTTCACACAAATGTAAATTGAATTAAATAAAACTTAACGCAGTGCAGGTGAGCTGCTGCTGCTGCGGTATTTTCCGGTATGTTTTGCCAGATGACACGAACCCTGGTCACACCGGACGCGCTAGACTAACTAAATTTGCTTATGCCCATTGATTTTCATTTAATTTCTTGGCTTGTTATTGCTTATTGGATTAAGCTCTAACTCTTCGCACTTAACCCACTCTAGCCTTTCGTTAAAGAAAGTTACATTTTCGTGGTGCAGAAAATACGCCTACCCAAGCAAATGCCATAAAATTAGGCCAATTAGTTGCGTTGCCCCCGCACACACCACACGTAAAATGTTGGATATAAGTCTTCGTCTTGGGCGCAAGGTCGAAGTAAATATTTCCGTACGTGGTTTCTTTTATTTTTATAAATTTTCACGTTTTGTGTTGTTCGAGGCAAAAAGCGCTCATCGGCTAAAGCCAGAGAGAGAAAGATAGAGAGCGACAGAGAGGGCGAAAGCCAAGGAGAGCCAGAGGCAGAGAGGGTGTAACTACTCGACTTTTGGCCATATTTTTTTCAATGGGCCGCCTTTCTGCCAACGCATCATTATTTTGCGGCGGCTTTGATTTTTTCCTAATTGAACCATTTGCACGCGTAATTAATTCGGCGCCTCGATTTTGGCGATTTACCTTTTAGACAGTTTTGCACGCATTTTCACTACGCCTCATTTTTCCACCCATACACTCACACGCACGCACGCACAGACACAGTTACACACGTTCGGACCGAATTAAATTTTTGCAATTTGAATTGCTCTCACACTGACTTGGAGCTGTGTGCGGTTGTCGGTTTCTCACGATGGCGCCTCGGTAACTACTTAAAGCACTACTTTTTACATATTTAGCTTGGCTTGTTCGGGTTCGATTTTCAATTAAACTGTCCTCAATAGACCAAAAAACGCACGCAAGAGCACGAGAAAATGGTGCGATTTTTTCCCTTGCCTGCACACACACAGCACACACTCAACCACGGACTGAGACAGGGTATGACCGTGCTGACGAAAACCAGAAATGCTGCGCGATGTAAAAATACTGAGTGAAGTTATCACACAAATAACTGAATATTTCGAACACAATAATTTTATTCGTTCGCTGGTTGTGTTTGTTTTTGGTTTAGAAACTATAAACATTTGAAACCATTGCTTTTTGAGTACTAAAATTAAATTATCATTGGCAAAATACTGGATAAAATACCGCAGATTGGCATGGCCAATTAGCCGGCAACTTTGTTTATCTACACTTAAAATCTGGATCAAAAACCACTCTGCACTGCCGTTTTTAACTTTTAATTTAACATTTAACCCATCTATACATAAAAGCAGCAAACACGTAGTTTCCTGATAGCTCAAAATAGGATCAAGTATACACACACTTACACGCAAAACCTCATAAATAAGAATGGAAGTTTGCCACTTTTAACTTTGCAAAATAGTTTATTATATTATGTGCTAGTTTATGAACAAATTTAATAAATTTAGTCAGGATCTCGATCGGAATTACGTTTGATTTTTACAGTTTGTTGTCGCGACTGACCTCAAAATTTGGGCCTAAAAAATGATACTGCATGCAACTAGGGTGACCATCACCCGAACAGAGGCAATAAAATACCGCAGATCAAATACCGCAAATTGCAACACGTGCGAGTTTCGCTCTCTCTTTCCAAATAATAAATAATTTATTATTCGATTTCTGCGGTAAAATATACAATGTTAAAGGTTAAAAGGAACCCAGGGAAGGCGGTAAGTAAGCCCACATGAGTAATAGAAATATTAAAGTAATATTTTTCCCGATTTAGCCGCGGACAGCGAAATCAAAACCAAAATCCGCTAGATCGGACTCGGTTCTGGATCTGAATTCCGCTGGCGAGGATCACAGTGACCATGAGCAGCCCACCGCCAGCAGTGACGATGGCTTCGAGGAGCCCACGCTCTCCAAAAAGACTCCACTGCCAGCAGCGACCAACATCTCCAACCCAGCGAAGAAGAACAAGTTCAGGCAGAATGATCCGTCCAAAAATGTTAAGCCGCCGACGCTAGAGGAGATGAAGGAGCTGCGCGATACCCGCAATCTGTTCCACTCCAATCTCTTCAAGCTCCAGGTCAAGGAAATGCTGGAGGAGCTACAGCTAAAATCCAAGTACACGGACTTCATTGAGAGCTGGCTGGAGTCCTTCACGGCCTTCACCCGCCAGCTGAAAGACGGGCTGATGGAGCGATCGGAATTGGAGGTGCCCCTGAGTCTGCCCCAGAAGGCGTCGGGCTTTATTTTCTCCAAACCCACCAGGGAACCCTTCCTAATAGGTGCCGCCTCCACTGGCACGCTGCTGGGCCCCAAGATTGTGGTGGACGTGGCCCTGGAAATGCCGAAGGAGAACCTTCATAAAGAGGACTATCTTAACTTGCGCTACGACCAAAAGCGGGCTTTGTACCTCACCTATGTGACGGAGAGGATGCGGGAGTCTTCGGAATACAGCCAGGATCGATTTGCCTTCAACTACCATGCCAACAATCCACTCAAGCCCGTTCTGGAGCTAACGCCGGTGGCTAAGCAAGTGACAAAGCATCTCCAGATTCGCCTCTTCATCACTGCCCCGCTAAGCAGCTTCAAGCCGGGCCGGTTTGTGCCCTGGAACAACAACATACGCCCCGCGTTCTACGGCGACGAATGGGACGAAGGCGAGGAGCCGCTGCCCTCCACACAGCACTACAATGCCAACGTCCTGTTTGATCTGACGCTGGCCGAGAATCAGGCTCACCTCGATAAGGCCTTCAAGGGCAGACGCAACTTTCAGGACGGCCTTCTGCTGCTTAAAGTCTGGCTGCGTCAGCGGGAGCTAGACGTTGGTTACAGCGGCTTTGGCTCCCACATCCTGGCCGCCTTTATTGTCTACCTCAGCCAGCAGAGGATCCTGCATCAGTCGAGCAGCAGCTACCAGGTGGCGCGCACCGTATGGAACCAGCTAGCTAACACGGACTGGACAAGCGGCGGCATTAGTCTGGCGCCCGCTTCAGTTCAAAAGGAGGATGCGAGCAAGAAGTCGGCCAGCTTCTATGATGTCTGCTTCATGGACATCACTGGCCAGTACAATCTGTGCTCCAATTTACCGTTATCGCTCTATCAGAGAGTCCGAGCGGAGGCCAAACTGGCGGTGGATTTGCTCAACGACATGAAGCTCAACAGTTTTCCGCACATCTTCATGCAAAAGTGTCCGCTCTACAGCCGAGTGGACAATATCCTCAAGTTAGTAACTTTTTGGGAAATGTTAATGCAAGATTTTAATTCCTAATTCTTGACTTATATAGGATCACCAACTATTCGTGTATCAATCAGATGCTCATGCTGCACTCCCAACCCAGATTCAAGTACGATTATGCCAAATATGGACATCCGCAGCTTTTCCAACTGCTGACAGAGTGAGTAACTGCAGCATTTCCAAAGAAGTATCATCCTTTAAACAGGCTTAATTTATAGGCTCCTTCAAAAGGGACTGGGTGAGCGTGTCCAGGCCATTCTACCTTTGGAAACGGCAACAACTGCTTGGTCTGTGGACGACAAAGCTCCCGTGATTGGCAAGCACATTCAACTCGGATTGATACTCAATCCTGAGCATGCTTACGAGGTCTTGAACAAGGGTCCAGCTGCCAACGAGGATCCCGAGGGAGCCGCCGAGTTTCGACGGTTTTGGGGCGATAAATCAAATCTGCGACGTTTTCAGGACGGCAGCATCACCGAGGCCGTGGTCTGGGGCACTGCGCAGGATTCACCTTCCAAGAAACGGCTGATTGTACGCCAGATTGTCCTGCATCTGCTGGAGCACCATTTGCAGGTGGAGGGCAAGGATGTGCAGTATATTGCCGCCGAGCTGGATCAGGTCTATCAGCTGTCTCCTTGGTATAAGATCAAAAAGCTTAAGACAAAGCTACCTCTGGTCCAGGACACGGACGCAGAGGCAGTGAGTCCGCACGTGATACGCTGCTACGATGAGTTGGCCCGGCAACTCCATGGCCTGGACGATCTGCCTCTGGACATAGTCTCCATATCGGGCATCTCACCCGTCTTCCGTTACTGTGAGCCGGAGCCCGTTCTGCCACAGGCTCGCCTTGTTGATGGTCGCATCCTTGCCAGCCATGTACAGCGGGTGGTCATTCAGCTGGGCCAGAGCGGCAAGTGGCCCAACGAACTGGCCGCCTTGCGTGCCTTAAAGATGGCCTTCCTCATCGAGATCGGCGAGAAGCTGGAGGCGCAATGCCTGCTTAAATGGGCCATCACCGCCAAAGGTCTCCTGGTGCTCAAACAGGGATTCTGTTTCCTAATTGAACTGGCCCACAGTAAGGAGTTGGCTCTGCTCAAGCAAGAGGTTACCGAAAAAGGCGTTACAACGTATGTGGACAATCCGGCCAGCCGACACTTGGAGCGTCAGCAGTACATTCTGCCTAAGGTAACGGGCTCACTGCATTCGCTTCATCAAACGCACTCTGCCTTCGGTCCCACGGTGCTCCTGGCAAAGCGATGGCTAGCCACCCAACTGCTGGACGATGGGTTGTGGCCAGCAATGGCCACCGAACTGTTGGTGGCGCATCTCTTTCAGCAGCGTCACGCACCGCAGGCCATAGTGGCGCCCCAAACAGGCTTTATTCGATTCCTGCAGCTGTTGGCGCACAGCGACTGGAACGGAGACCTCTTCCTGCTCAACTTTAACAACAGCTGGCAAGGTGAGGAGTCCGTTGGAGGTTTCCTCTTGAAATGTTCTTATTCGAGATTAATTTTTCAGAACAACAAATTGCGGATCTGGAGCACAGCTATCGGAGCGACCGTCAGAGTTATCCTCCTCTGGTGGTGGCCACCTCCTACGACCAACAGCATGTCGGTCGCCTGTGGACATCGGATGAGGCACCCAGTCAGCGAGTTTTGGGCCATGTGACGCGACTTGCCCGACATGCCCTCGAGATCGTTGAGACGAGTTTGATGTCAAAGGATCTACGGTTCGTGCGTCCTGCCCAATTGTTCCGAGCCTCCAACGAGGGCTACGATTTGGTCATACAACTCAAGCCGGATCTGGTGCGCAATAGCTTGTGCTATGACCTGGGCTCACCATTCGTGTCCTTTGGCCAGCCCAATTTCGAGTTGCCTCGAGCGGGAGCAGAGAATCGCGTGGCGGACATTGTGAACCAGCTGAGGGTAAGCCAACCAACCAGGCAGTCTCTTTTCTGTACTACAGCCCTGCTTTATTTTCTGTTTTGCAGTCAGCTTACTCAGACTTTGCGGCCTTCTTTTACAATCCCCATGGCGGCAAGGAGCTGGCCATAGTGTGGCGACCGCCTACTGAATTCGCTCCCAAGCCATTCAAGGTCACCGAAATGCAAGGTTGCACACCGTGCGGCAATGGTAAGGTCCAAGTGCTAAAGGAAACCCTGTTGGAGGACTTTAAACTGTTGCTAAAGGACTTTTACCTGCGCATTTCCACTCCGGAGGAGTTGAAACGAGAGCAGCGTGAGCACCAGCAGCCCAGGCGGTACTTTAATCACCCAGAGTCATCGGGTGCTCCCCCCAACAAGCGGAAGGTGCAGAGTGAAAGCGACGATGCCAAGCTGGAGAAACCCGTTAAAAAGAAGAAACAGCTCATCAGAAATTCCTCGGTTAGGAAGACTTCGAGTTAGTTTTAGGCAGGCATAGAAAAGTAATAGCTTTATTTTTTAAGTTTTACAAATATATTAAAGCTTAATGAGTATAAACTAAATGAGTATAAAGGTCTTCAAAGATTATGATGCTTAGGTTAGGCCACAAATTTTATTATTGCATTAAAAAGGACTACAAAGTTGTATGAATTTGTTAAAAACTTCAATCGAAAACAGGTGAAACGTGACGGCTCTATCTATTATTTCTTTGCCTGTGCTTCCGCTCTTCAAAGTCTGATAACCACTCCTTCGGTGGAGGTGGTTGAGGAGTAGTGTCATAATCCTGCTGCTTTTGCCTTTCAAGCTCGGCCAATCTCTGTGCGTAGATCCTTGACCTTATGCAGTCGCAGCGCCGTTGATCTTCCATATCCATTAGACGGGATGTGCAGGGTTCTTCCTGCGGACAATTCCGAAGAATAGGCCCTTCCTGCACCAAGAATTCCCGGTCGGTGCATGGGTGGCATGGATGCGATTCCTCATCTTCACACTCCTCCTCTTCCACCTCCTCCCCTTTGACCAGTTGCAGGCTTGATGAGGTATTGCATCCGTGGCATCTAGTGGCCGGCTGCGTTTGGCAAGCCACATTTGTCTGCAATTTGGCATCTCGACTGGGCGGACTGGTCTGAGTTTGGCAGCTCGAAAGGCACTCCTCCCGTTTGGGACAGTGCTGGCTGCCATTGTTCTTCATCAACCCCTCGGTGGAGGTGCCAGCGCTGTAACAGAGTTGGCTTTTGGACCGGCCCAGGGCTACATCGTTTACTGGCTTTTTGGGGATTTCAATATGCAAATTACAGGGATCAATGGACACGTGAGGAACCTTCAGAGCCTGGGGAAAGCAAGGTTGCAGGTTCATGACAGGACCACCAAAAACATTTAGGGGAACTGCTGTTGTCGCAGTAACTGAACCCAAGCGACTATAGGTGAACATTCGGATGTCCACCTCCTTTCTGATATCCTGTTGGATCACCACATACTGCTCACTGCCCACCACAATGGGAACTGTATTAGGAAAAAGGAGGAGTATAAATAAGTCTCCAAAGCAAAGTCCAGCTTACTGTGCACTGCGGGTGCCATCGGGGTCTTGGATACCTTCAGAACCTCTCGCCTTTCATACGGATTGTTGGCTAGCTTGACCTCCTCCCGCGGTTCCTGGACAAAGAGATCCAGCAAAATTGTTGTGGCACCACCCTCTAGACATGGGCTGAGGGTAAACATCCGGAAGTCCACTACTTTTCGTATATCCTGCTGGGTGACTGCGCACACATCATTACCCACAATGCATAGAGCTTTAAAAAAGGAAAGCGAATATAAAAAAGTCGCAGGAGCTAGCTCCAGCTCACATTGCACAGCTGGGCCCACCGGGGTCTCGGACACTTGAACCACATGTCGCCTCACGTTCATATTATTAGCCATTATCAGTGGGTTCTCTGGTATATAAACAAATTTAGTAATTTTTAAAAATTTGGAATTTATTCTTAAAAATTTGGGGTAAGCATTTCTTTTCGAAATAAACGAAATTTTTTGAAGAATGACACTTTGGGGGGCATAGCCTGCTAGGGAACGTTAAAAATCACTTTAAAATTCTCAGATTTTAATGTAATGTTCCTTTTCATATATATATTTTTTTATTTTTTGAACAAATTAACTTAATTTTTTGATCAAACATTGGGGTTTTGTCTTCCAATTTTGATTAAAAAAAATCTGAAAATTTTTTTTAAAAATAAAAATGCTACGTGGATACCTCAGGACACTTATCCTTTAACAAAAGCAATATAGTTTTTTGATACCGGATGTTTTGGTGGACTCAGGAGATTCCCTATAAGTTGAAGACTTGTAAACATTTTTTAAAACAAAAATTAAAAAACAAAAAATTGCTCAAATCTTGTGTTATTTATAATATTTCATTAAGCAAACTTTAGTTGTTTTTGCAATTTTTTTTTTAATTTTAAATTAAATTTAATTTTATTTAAATTTAAATTAAAAAATTTTAAAATTGAAATTTTTAAATTAAATAATGTATTGTCATATTTTTTCATATATAAAACCTTTTCAAATTTCAAATTAATATATATATACATCTTTTTTTAAAATGTTCTCTTTGTTTACATTCCCAATTTATTTTTAAAAAATGTATACATTTTTCGGTTTAATTTAAAATTTATTTAAAGCTAACTAATAGTTAAAATAATTCTTAGACATAAAAAGTACTTATTTGCAATTCTTAAACTTCACTTTACCCTCTTAATAAATTTTAAAAAAGAAGTAAAAGTAAACACTAAATTCTAGACACACGCTAAAATGTAGATTAGTTTATAACATGCAGTTTGAATCAAAAGCGAATTCAGATTGAGGCAGTTTCACAATAAGGAATAATTAGCAAAAGCAATTAAAATATAAGTTTTCTCGGCATTTAGATAGTTTTGTTGAAATTGAATCAAGGATAATATGGTCCAAACTTTAGAAGCTCACAGAAAAATACTTGAATGCAACACCAAACTGAATTGAAACTTCTAGTTTACTATCGCTCTTAGTTTAAATCCGTATTGATTCCTCCTTGACATTTGACCCCGAATTGCCCGCCGTCGTTAGGGAGTCCTTCTCCTTGTTGTTGCCAAAGTCCGGATACAATTTCGCCACCTGGCCCAGAGGCGTACACAGGCGACCTGAGAAGTCCAAGCGTTTGTTGGACTGACTTCGCTCCGCCGAGGAGATTATGTCCAGCAGGGATCTGACGGATAGAGATAGTTCATAATGATTTAGGAAAACAAAAAAGCTTAGAAGCCTCACCTTTGTCCACAACTGGACATGCGTCGCTTGCTGGCCTTCAGCAAGCTATTGGAGTTGGAGCTGCCACTGGCACTGCCGCTGCTAATGGGCTCCAGCCGTTCAGGCGAGAGCGGTGATTCCGTGTAGGAGCGCAGAAGGCTGGTTCCCGTCTCCGATTTAAGCGGCCCATCGCCATAGGCGGCACGCAGACTCTGCAGACTCTCCAGTAGATTCTTGTGGTGCACCGTGGTGGCGTTCAGCTGAATAAGTTGTTCCAGCTCCCTGTAAAGCAAGCGATACTGGTCCTTGGCCTTGGAGAGTTTAAGCCTACAGAGAAAATGTCATAAAATTATTTCAATTAAATAAAGACTCTTCCCCCTACCTGGCTCCATTGGTGTGTGTAAAGGGCAGGACATCACCGCGTGAGGCACTCTTGTAGAGCTCGTGGATATGCTGCTGGCAGCGAACCTCGTCCTGCTTGTCCATGTCCTCCTTGACCAGCAGGTGAAGGAAGTGCGGCAGCCAACTAATCTGCCGCTGCAGGTGAAACAGAATCGTGGAGCTGGTACTAAGTGGGAAGTAGCGAGGCAGGCGGCGCGACAAATTGGAAGATGTCGGATCTTTCGCTTTTAACGGCAACATGCGCGACATCTTAAGCAGCTGGCCGAGCTCCGCAGTGCGATAATCAGGCACCCGTCCGCCGGGCCCGTCTGCTATCGCCGGTGCCTCATCCATGCAGGAACGTGTAATGCAAAGCGAATGGACAAAGATTTCACCGCCACGAGCGGATAGCATGTGACTGGTGGTCTTGGAGCCGGTTTTGCGCGGCATTTCCAGCAGCACGGATCGTCCATTCAGCAGGAAGTTGATCAGACAGGAGCTGGGACGCGAGGTCACGTCCACGGGCGTCACCAGAAACTGGCCCAGGCACGGCTGCAGATCGGCCGAGCCACAGCCACGCGGCGTACACCACTTGAGGGTCACCGTCTCGTAGGTGGCGCCCTGCTTAATGCTCGTCGGCAGGCTAAAGTCAGAGCCACAGGTTACCGAATGGGCTTGCCGGCTGTGCAGAATCTCCACGTCGTAGTTGGCACTGGAGTTGGCATTCTGCTCCTCCTTCATCGGTATGTTGGTCACCGTAGTGCTCGCCAGATCGTAGTGGTCCAAAATAAGGTGCGTCAGCTTGTAGGAGATATTCGGTGCACTGACCGTGTGTATTTCCACATCCAGCAGCGGTGAGATCTTGAGCAGGCTGCGGTTGGTCACCAGAGACTCGACGCCCAGCGGCACAATGTTGAGGATAACCAGATGGCAGTGGTCGATGGCCAAGCCCTTCTTGGAGGGCGCTGCCGCCAGAGCGTTCTGCTGCAACAACACCGTGTTGAAGATGTCCTCCAGGCTCTTCATGCTTGTATTGTCGCGTGCCGAAGTAATGCAGATGACACGACCCTCGTTCGGTATGCGTGGCAGCTCCTCAGGTCGGCCGCCTGCCAAGGCAGCCATTTGCTCGTCCGTGGGCTCCGCCAGCGCCTCGATGGCGGCTCGCAGGCCGTGGATCACCGAGTAGTCGGAGGACTGGGGCATGCTGCGCGATGGCACTCCCACCATCACCATGGCGTTCATCACGTGCGACATGTTCTGAGTGCTGGGGCTCCAGGTGTTCACGATGTGTGCCGCCGTGTCCGAGACGATGAAGCGTACGTGCTTCCTGCCCGGAAAGAGGTCCCAGACGACGCGGCAGTACTCGATGGACGATTCGCAGGCACATGTCCATAGGCTCTTGCTGAATTGGGCTCCACTGCCGCCCGCACCGCCAGCACTGCCCACTCCGGTTCCGCCGGTATCCGCTGGCTTCCCCTTGAGGAAGTCCATGGATATGTACTCCTCGCTGGCGATACTGAAGTAGCGTGTGTGGTCCAGCACGAAAATGGTCTTTTGGTTGCGTTCGAACATGGTGCTCCGACCGGCGGATCCTGCAAGTCCTGCCATGGGGAAAGCCTTCTTCACTTAAATTTGGCTACGCGTTTGGCCACCCCGGTTCTGTGTATATTCTCGTAAGCGTTAAAAAAATCTTTAATTATAAATTAATTAATTTAAATAAATGAAAGCAACACATTCGCGGATTAGTTTACAGAGCGATCAGCTGTTTCAGCCGGCGAGAAACTTATATCGATACATCGATAAACATGTAACGCGGAATTGGTCACATCGTTCTAGTATTTTTTAAGTACCGACCCAATCTGGGCACACTAGGCGACAAAAAGCTTTGGGTTGAATTTTGAATAATTGTTCTGCGTCTTTTAAAATTGTTAAGTCGTTAATTTAGTGTTTATAAAAATGTTATTGTCATAGAATAATATGCAGATAATTCCGAAGAATCATATAACTGGTTTAAAATTTTGTTTGTTGTAATTTAAGCTTTTCCCAAGAAGCTATTAAATACAATTTTAATATTAAATGATGATTGTACGCTAAAAAAAGATTATAAGAAAAAAGTTCAAACCAATAAAAGCTCGAAATAATTGATAAAATTAGATTCACCACGGATCGGTTATCAGTTGCCTCGGATGATGCTATATAGAGCTTCGCTTTCACATGGTGCCATTAGTTGTTTCCCAAAAATGATCCACATAAAAGCAAATCAGTGGATTGGCTGCCTAGTGCTGTTTCTATTGGCGGTAGTGGTCTCGGAACCTGTGGTTCCCACTCCTAATCCCAATCCAAACGAGAAGATTCTAAGCCGTCTGCTGAGTTTCATCGACAACCAGACGGATCCCTGTGATAATTTCTTCAAGTACGCCGGAGACAATTATGGGTACTTGGATTTCCTGTACGAGCTCGAGCTGAAGGTTAACGAAAGGTTCAAGTCCATCTTCGATTTATGCTCGGCCGGCAGATGGCCAGATCTCTCCACCCCGAGGCCCTGATATATGATGGCGATGGAAAACCAACCAACCAGTTTCTCTTCTTTAATTTAAATCCTAACTACAGACACGCTGTGTATATGATTAGCAAATATTCTGACTACGGCAATTACCAGCCAGTGGAAGATGTAACAGCTCTGAAGCTGACACATGATGTGTACTTCGGTGTGGGTGCCAAATACAGCCAGGAGCAGCCGAGCTTCACCCATATACCGTTGCAGCAATTGTTCTTCATGAACTTGGCCCAGAATCTATTTGGTTATTTCCATGACGTTTATGGAGATCAACCGGGCGAGCTGCGTCTGAATCAAGCCGTGGCCAGCTTGTATCCCTTTGCAGAGGCCTTCAACTGTTCCATATTTGCAGATATGCGCTGTTTGTGTGGTCCACACATGGAGTTTAATGTCTGGTAATCCACGTTTAGCTAGCTACCTTGAAGTGGCATGATATGTAAATTGTTTTAATTAAAACTGTATAACATAAAAAAGAAATAAAAATAATTTCAGACATTAAATATTTGTATGTCTCTTGTCAGTATTAACAATATTTATTTTCAGTTAATTTTATTTTTCATTGAAAAAAGTAACAGTATTTTTGAAATATCAGAAAAGCTGCCGACCAACTGTTGCTTGCGAAAAGTATGACCACGGTATGATTTCAGTATTTTTCCACGCAATTATTTTCTGAACCTGGTCACACACTTCTAGAATCACGTTCTCTGAATGGAAAAGCAAAAGCTGACCACATTTCGTAATATTTTGGTTTTGTTGAACAAAATTGTCCTTTGATTGAAACACGCAAGAAGCGTACTCCACATCAGCGTCGAGTCGAGCAGCGAGTGAGCAGGAACAGCAACCATGTCGTGGTTATTGGGCAGGAATCGTCAGCAGCCGCAGCAGGAGCCGGCAGCTGGTCTGGACGGAGGAGGGGCCGATCCGGAAGGCAGGACGGCCGGCGATAAGTCCGGAGACCAGCAGTTGAGCCGGGCGGAGCGCAAGGCGATGGAAGCGTACCGCTTCGATTCCTCTGCGCTGGAGCGGGCGGCGGATGCCGCCAAGACTCTCGAGCGTTCAAGTAAGCAGAAATTTCGTCAGCCAATTGCATAACCGACATGCGCCATGCTATCGCGGCATAACTTTGCGTGTGCGTGCGTGCGCCTGTGTCCGGGAGTTTGAGTCCGACTAGGTGTGTGAGTGTGTGGTGTAATCTATGTTAATCTCGTGCAGAACATGCCCGAGAGGCCCTGGAGCTGTCCAAGATGCAGGAGGCCACCCGGCAGTCCGAGTACAACACCAAGGTCAAGGAGTACGAGGCGCACATTGAGCAGGCCAAGGTCGAGCAAAAGCGCATCGACCACGAGGAGCGCCGCAAGACGCTCATCGAGGAGACGAAGCAGCAGCAGCAACGCGCCCAATACCAGGACCAGCTCTCCCGCCAGCGCTACGACGATCAGCTCAAGCAGCAGCAGCGCGTGCAGGAGGAAAACCTGCGCAAGCAGGAGGAGAGCGTTCAGCGTCAGGAGGCAATGCGTCGTCAGACCATCGAGCATGAGATCGAAATGAAGGAGAAGAACCGACTCAAGCTCCTGGAGCACGAGCTGCGAGCCAAGGCCCGAGTGGATCGCGAGAACCGGGACATCAACCTGGAGAAGATCCGAACCAAAGCGCAGGAGCACCGCACCACCGTACTGGAGGGCATTAAGTGGGTTTCCATTTTTTGGGTTAACATGAGCGACTTACTTATTTCCTCTCTCTGATCCCCAGAACCGCTGGCTCCGTGATTGGCGCTGGCGCTGAGGCCATGCTCACCGACTGGGACAAGGTACTGACTGCGGCCGGTGGACTCTCGCTGCTGGCTCTGGGTGTGTACTCTGCCAAGGGAGCCACTGGGGTAGTCTCTCGATATGTGGAGGCGCGCATTGGCAAGCCAACTCTGGTGGGGGAAACCTCGCGCTTCGCCTTCCTGGACGCCCTGAAGCACCCGCTCAACTACTTCAAGCGGTTACGCGCCAAGCCTGCCGATGCCTTGCAGGGCGTCGTGCTGAATCCCAAGCTGGAGGAGCGACTGCGTGACATTGCCATTGCCACGAAGAACACGCGCATCAACCGAGGCATGTATAGGAACGTGCTGATGCATGGACCGCCTGGAACGGGCAAGACCATGTTCGCCAAGAAGCTGGCTGAGCACTCGGGCATGGACTTTGCCATCATGACTGGCGGCGATGTGGCGCCCATGGGCAAGGAGGGCGTAACGGCCATACACAAGGTGTTCGACTGGTCGCACACCTCGCGCCGGGGCCTGCTGCTTTTCGTGGATGAGGCGGATGCTTTCCTGCGCAAGCGCTCCTCGGAGAAGATCTCCGAGGATCTGCGTGCTGCCCTCAACGCCTTCCTGTACCGCACCTCCGAGCAGAACCCGAAGTTCATGCTTGTGCTGGCTTCCAACACACCCGAGCAGTTCGACTATGCCATCAACGATCGTCTGGACGAGATGGTGGAGTTCACATTGCCAGGCCTGGAAGAACGCGAGCGCTTGCTGCGTCTCTATTTCGATAAATATGTCCTGCAGCCGGCCACAGCAGGTGCAAAGTAAGTTGTAATTATGAGGTGATTTTTCAAGATATTGTGGCTTAAGTTTTTGTATCTTCCTTCAGGCGCTTCAAGCTGGACACCTTTGACTATGGACAGACATGTTCAAGGATGGCCGCTCTGTGCGAGGGTATGTCGGGTCGTGAAATCTCCAAGCTGGGCGTGTCCTGGCAGGCAGCAGTCTATGCCTCCGAAGAAGGTCTGCTAACCGAGAAGATGGTGCTGGACAGGTGTCACTCTGCTGCTCAGCAGCACAAACAGAAGGTGGGTGTTGCCTAAATATGCGTTTCTCTTTCAATTAATTTGAAATATTTTTAAATTTTTTATCTGCAGATGGCCTGGCTTTCGGATCAGGAGCGCGCCGATCACAAATCTATTAGTGGTGCCGCCGCCCCGCCCCTTACCATCACTGCCAACAAGCTGTGAGGCTGTTTCCCTGGCTGTGGAGTTTATGTTTTGATGTAGTAGATGCAGCAGTCCCACGCCTGTTCACTGCCTTCGAAACGTCTTAGTTGTTTAGTCACTTTACTTTAAGTTGGTAACGCACAGGGCTTTAGCTAAATATCGGCCGAGATCAACCTTGATGTGTGCATTTAACAACCTGTACAGGATTCGATGAGGGACTCCCGTGTTTGACTATGGATACAATTAAGTTTTACCCACTGAATGATTGTATTATAAGCTTGCATTAACTGTCTCAATAGGTGTGTACAATAAGAGGTGTATAGTTTAACCCGCTGTTGTTGTTGGTTGAATTTCGTATGTTAAAGCTTTGGACGCGTACACATTTCAATTGGCCACCGTCGCGCCAGCACTGTGAGAGATTTATATTAAACTTCTCGCTGGCGCGGCCACTAATTTGACTCGTTCCGCAGTGTTTTCCTATAAATGAGTATGAAGTAAATATATATAAAAATTATCTGATTAAAATGTTTTTTGTTTTTGATAGAGGGAAGCTTACGTTATCCGAAAAAGGTTTTAAAATCGATAGAGTAATCCGAAAAATACAGATTTTTAATAAATTAAAATTTAAATCATACATTTTTTATTTACAAAATAGTAAATAACATTTTCCAACATGTTTTCTGGGTTTGTCTTTTGTCGATTCATAGGAAATTATGAGAATAAATATATACAAATAAAGTATTAAAAAAAATTATTTTTTTTTATTAAAAAACAATCTTTATACATTTTTTTAAATTAAAAAATGTGTTGTTTTGGTTTGATAAATAATTTCCCTTACAAAAAGGGTATTTTTTAAAAAGTAACGGTTTGAAGCGGAAGTGTGACCAGCTGCCGCAGAACAGATAATACGCATCAATGTCAAAAATAAACGGTCTATTTTTAGGCGTTGCCTGGCCACATTACAAAAAAAGAAAAATGGAAGGAAAACTGTGGAAAAACTTGAAAAACTAAGAACTCGTTCAGTAATTCACCGTTTCAATCAAGGCAAACTGTAGAGATGTTTCCCGGCGGAAACGGCAACGCCGATCTGGGCTACAACAAGCATGCTCATGGCCACGGCCACGGACATGGCCACAATCAGTTCCTGTCGCAGCCCCCGCCGCCACCCCCTCACTTTTCGCTGCCCGCTGGCGGCGGCCCGGGCATCGTGAACCCCCTGATGGCCACCAGTATGCCGCTGGCCATGCAAGGCGGCGCCGGCATCGATTGGGCACAGCTCGCCCAACAGTGGATCCACATGAGGGACGCTGGTCCCGCAGCCGTCAATATGGCCGTGTCAGCATGCCCGCCGCCGCCGGTCATTGGCAATGTGCGCGATTACCACCAACAGACGATGGCCATGCCGCTGCCTAGTGTGGTGCGGGCCGGGTATCCCATCCTGGAGGAGCACGGTGAAGCGGACATGGACATGGATGATGACAATGAGCGAGGACACGGTGCGGAAACGCCACCGCCGCCGGCTCCTATAGTTACGCAATCCCAGTGGCTGGCAGTGAATGAGACGCCAGCCCTGTCTGTGCCGGCATCCAGCGAAGCTGGTGAGTACCCATAAAAGTGGGCCGATGCTAAGATCTGATCGCGAAACATTTCCCTAACAGCTGCCACGCTGGGCAAACAGCAATGGAGCAATTGGCACACGCAGCCCGGAAAAGCTACCAGCACAGGCAATCCCACAGCACATATTCCCTCGCTACTCAAGCTCAACGTCAGCAATCCCAATGAGCCGCATCAACAGCTGCAGCTGCAGTCATCGCAACAGGCAGCGCAGCCACACCAGCTCGCAACGCATCAGCAACATCAGCAGCAATCGCAACAGCAACATCCGCAGCATCAGCAGCACCTAGAAAGCGGTGGTGCCAGCAGTGAGATTGATGCCAACAAACGAAAAATGTTGCCAGCTTGGATAAGGTGAGGGCAGAGGAATGTACCTTAGATTCTATCGTCTTTCATTGATAATATATTACAGAGAGGGCTTGGAGAAAATGGAGCGTGAGAAACAGCGGCAGCTAGAGCGCCAGCAGTCCTCCTCCACCTCCAATGTGCCATCAGATACGGCTGATGCTGAGACCGATCTCCACGTTAAGCAAGTATCAAGCAAAACACTAACAACACCTGTTAATCTATTGAACATCTCGAACTTGGTAAGTATGGGTATGGTGGTCAGGGCTTGCAGGGTTAACTGACTCTCAAAACGGACCGAAAAAGTGCCTTAAACTAGGCGCACACATATCACATCAATTGGTCGCTCACTCCTCACCCGAACGGGACTGAACTAAACAGAATTTTAATGAGCAAACATAAACCCAAACTGAAACCGAGACAGACAAAAAATAGTAGCGGAAGGTTGTTGTGAAGACTTTCGATTAAACATGCCCTTGAAATTCAGGCCAGCGACAGCGAAGATTCTATTGGCCTGCCTGCTGGTGTGGCGGCGCAGGAGCAGCAGCAAATAGGTAATGAATTGTTAAGTAAGGCCACCGATGATGGCAGCAGCAGTAGCGACGAGGAGGAGCATAATCAAGCCGGAAGCAGGGCGGCAGTGGAGAAGGCACCGGCAACAGCAGCGGCTAAAGGAGACGACGATGTCAATGGTAAAAACTACGAAGAAAGACTGGCGGATCTGGTAGGCATCAAACACCATTTGACCCGGGATGTGTTGTGCCCTCCAGCCAGGCGATGAAATCGAGCTCTGCTCTGGTTTTTCATTCCCTGGCCAGCTGGCGGCACATCCAAAACCCAAGACCCCCAACCCCTATTGTACAGTTGAAAATCAATCTATGAATACCCAATACCCATCTGTAGATGCTTGTGGTGCGTCGCACACTAACCGAAATCCTGCTGGAAACCACAAACGAAGAGATTGCGGCCATTGCAGGCGAGACATTGAAAGCGCACCGCGCCAAAGGTACATTATTTGCAATACACTTAAGTTCACCCAAAACCGATCTCTTCCAGCGCTCGCGCGTGTTTATGTGAGTGTGTAAGTAGTTTATCTAGAAATATAGCCATTGATCCAAGATTGGATGACCCAGAAAAAATGAATACGAAAACGAATACGAATATCGGCGAGCGCGCGTTAACACCTCTTTTAATAATCCTTTGTCTCTGCTAATCTCTGAATCCTAATTATGAACACAAAACCAATATGAAATCACTTGCTGAATCTTATAATCGTAATATATAATATATACCTATATATATATGTATGTACTATGTGTAAATCAAAAGCGTCATCAGCCCAAGTGATTCGCAAAAGCGCCTTGTCCTCCATAACCGGCAACTTGGGTAAGTAATCAAAATCCATAGTTTGTAAGTTTCTTTTGCACTCTTTTTGTTTGTTTAGAGGTAGTCTGAGTTATGCTTGAACTCTATTTATCCCCCTCTGTCATCTTTTTGTATCCCTACCCTTCTCTAATGACAAACAAATTGGATTAATAAGCCCTTTCCTAGCTTCAAATAACTTTGAGCCCAGCCAAACAATCAAGTCTTTTGGCTTGGTTTATTCTCTCATAGAAATAGCCAAAGGCTTTGCCTCCTTTTCCCCTACCCCTTTCTGTAACAGGGATCGCTAACAAGAGTTATCAGTAAATTAATTAAAAATTATTAATAATTGTTACGATCCCTGAATAAAATCAAAAAATATAACTAAAACTGCGCCCAATCTCTTCATACATCGATGTCTGGTTAGCCACAATTAGCACTTCACTGATTTGAATTATAGGTTTAGCTGCCTATGGCGATTCTTCCAGCGAAAGCGAAGAGGATGAGGACGAGGAGGATGGCGAGCGCCAGGCAGATGCTGGCAAGGATGTCGATAAAAGCGTACACCTAAGCGCGGAAGAGTTGAAGGTGCGTTGACCATCGAAACATTAAATATTTTCTCATATTTAACAATCCTCTACACTCTTTTTCAAGGCTCGCATAAGGCGCAGCAAACGATCCTTTGAAAGAGTCATTGACGACATCGAGGATCGCGTGGCCAAGCAGGAGCAGCGCGATGAGCAGACCCTGCAACGGCATCGAAAGCGCGAGCTGGAGCGCTCCGATACTGTCAGCGAGCAGCGTCGCCCGGTGGCCAATCCCGAGTCGCTCGGTGAGACAGCCAGCCGCCCAATCAACGAGAAGCCGCAGCAATACAATGGTTTGTAAAACTCTGTCTCTGTCTTTTGGCAGCTCCACTAATCGTCTTGATCTTAAGCAGGCAAACGTCCCAGTCGCAAGGAGCGCACCACTCGCTTCAGCGATAACAAGGATGGCAAACAGCAGTCACAGAGCTATGTCCAACAGGTGGTGGCTGCTGCCTCAGTTGCTCCCTTGCCCAGTGTGAGCTCAAGTTCGGGCCCGCCCAAGATGAAACCCGTGCCGAATCCGGCCACCAATCTGCTGCAGATGCCGGAATCGGTGGCCACCATGCTGAGTGCGGCCGACAAGGCGCTGAATAAGGTCAATAAATCGTCGCGCAAATCTAAAAGCAAGCGACGCCACTCGTCCACATCGTCCTCCTCAAGCAGCAGTGGTGGGAGCAGCAGTTCCAGCAGCGACAGCGAGGACAGCAGCAGCTCCAGCAGCGACAGTGGCTCCAAGACATCCAGCAGTCGGAGCAAGCGAAGCACTCGTCGCGGGCACCGCAGCCATGGGAGCAGCAGTCGCAGCAAATACAACCGCCGCGATCGTCACAGAGAAAGGGAGCAAGATCGGGAACGCGATCGGGAACGACGTCGCGACCGCCAACACTATAGCGGAGGCAGCAGTAACAGTCACCGACAGGGACAGCGGCGACATCGGGGCTCAAGCCATTCGGCAGAGGATGATGGCGGCAGCAGCAGTTACCACCGCTCCTCGCGACAGAGCAGTAGCCGTGGCCATGACCATGGCAGCAGCAGCACCAGTGGACGTCAGCGGCACCGCACGAGATCACGATCCAAATCGCGCAGCACCCACAAATCCAGCTCCAACGCGTACACCTCCTCTTCTTCCGCGTCGCATTCGCGCAAGCGCCACTAAGATAATGACAACCGCTAACTGTTAAAGTATACATATATATATTATTCTCTTTTTTTCTTCTGTTTAAGATGCTTTCAGTAAACAGTTTTAACCCCAGCTTTTAATTAATAAAAATATTACGTAAAGCAAACATTTGTATGAGAATTTCTAGAGGATTTGTGGGGGATTGCTTTCGATTCCCTGAGGAATCCTGCAGGAATGAAACTGACTCCTTTCTTAATTTATAATTTAACAACTTTTAGTAAAGGTCTAAAGTTAATTTATTTTTGTATTTTAAATCTAATTAATACTTAAAAACAGGAATAGGCACTAAAAGTAAAGATCCGTAACCAGAAAACAAAAATCAAACAGAATAGGCTACAAAAAATAGAAATGTTAAGTAAGATAGTTGATTTATTTAACCCTTTTCTGCTTCTCCCCAAAGGGGTCGCCATAGTCCACCTTTCCGATCTCGTAATGAGCCATGTTATTGCGATGGATGGTCAGCAGGGCACCGCTCTTGAAATTCATCTCACAGACACCGCACTTGTAGGAAAGAATAGGTGGCGATTTCTGCTGATAAGTAACCTCCATTGGCTGTTGAATTTGATCCTCGGTAGCCCTCTGCAAGCGCATCCGTTCAATGTCCTCTGCCCGACGCTTACTCACCCGGGCATTTACATACGGATCGTTCAGGTTGGAGCCTTCTGCGCCCGTTTCTTTGTGCCCGACTTCGTAATGGCCCATCTGGTTGCGGTGGATAGTCAGCAGGGAGCCGCACACAAAGCTATCACCGCACACGCCGCAGTGGTACGGCCGCTCGCCCGTGTGGCGTCGCATATGGATCTTGAGGTCGTTGGATTGCACGAAGCCCTTATTGCACTTGTCGCAGACATATGGCCGCTGGCCCGTGTGAAGACGCATGTGACGCGCCAGTTTGTTTTGCGAAATGAACTTCTTCGAGCAGATCTTACACTGGCTGGGTCGCTCGCCCGTGTGCTGCCTCATGTGCAGGGTCAGATCCTGGCTGCGGGGATAGGCCTTTTCGCACTGGGTGCATTTGTACGGATTGTCGCCGGTGTGCCGCCGGATGTGAATGGTGAGACTGGACGCAGGGAAGCTAAGGCCGCAATGGGGACAATCTCGACGCTTGGCAACACGTTTGCGAGGCGAAGTGTCCTCCATCTCGGGCCCAGAAGCTAGCGGTGCGTCGGGGTGGAATGCCAGCATGTGTCGCCGGAGCGTGTCCTGGCGCTTGAATGTGCGCGGACAATGCTCGCAGGTGAGCAGGCCGGTGCCGCTGCTCTCGTCCGCCAACTCCTGGGCAGCCATGTCCGCCGTCTTTCGGTGAGCCAGGTCAAAGTGTCGTCGAAGGGACTCGCTCTTGGCGAAGACACGTGGACAAATATCGCACTTGTACATAAAGTTACTCGAATGTGTCAGACGGCTGCCCAGCCTGGAAGATCCAGCTGGCGGGAGAGTGATCTCATGTTGATTTGGCGGCACTCCAAGCTGACCATCATCCGCGTTAACCTCGTCCTCCTTAATTTCCGTTTCAGAGTCTGGATCAGCGACGGCATACAGCTGCTGATCCTCCACATCACATTTTGGAGCCTCGGTCAACTCCCCCAGGGTTGCCTGCTGCTCCTCGTAACCAGCAGGCAGGAAGTCCTCCATATCAATTACTTCCTCCTGGTCAATCAGCTCCACCACCTCCACATGCCCCTCGTCCGGCTTGGTCGCAGCCGCTTCAGCTTGTGGCAGGGACAGACTCTGCAGTTTCTTCTCTGAGTTTTCCACATCCAGGATAAACTCGTAGGCGCTGATTAGCCGCTGGGCGCAGGTCTGACAGATCTGGGCTGGAAGATTCGGATCCTCGGCCATCTTCACTTTGGAGACAAACAGCAAAAGCTGCCACAACTCCATGTTTATCCCGTTGTACTCGATTTCGTCGTACAGGCAAAGACTTGTGTTGGCCTCGTCCACCCCCAGGCAGGCGCGACAGGAGGAGGAGGTACTAATATTAAGGTTTATGTCGGTGGAGTCCATAATTTCGCATTTCAGGCAGTTTGTAAATAAAAACAAAACAAAGTGTGACCACTCGTAAGACATTTAGAAATACCAAAGGACATTAAATACTATAAATACCATCATATACCATATTAGTTTTGTTTGTATTTGTTTTATTTAAATAATTCAACGAAATTTTGCTTATTATGTTTTGTATTATTATGGTTTATTTATTTAAATTATTTGTAAATTTATTTACCCACTCATACCATAACGGTGACTGTTCACAGGTCACAGGTATTTGTATTCACAACTGACATTCACCTTGCCGCGCCGACACACCCGCTTCATAATTCAAACGAACGGCATTTTATTTTCACAGGATCGTGAATGCTTTTACACAATAGCGCATTTTAACCTTGTTTATTTTACCAAATTGTGTTTCGTTTGCTGTTTATTGTGCGTGTCGCCATGTCCCAGCAGCCCAACAATGTGTTGCGCCCCAAGGAAAATGCCCTGGCACAAAAGCCGGAAGCGGCGGGCGCCGTCCTGAACATGCAAAAGAAGATGTTGCTTCTGCCCAAGAAGGTATGTAGAGCCCCCCCCAATTGAAACGATCCTCCTAAAATGTTGGAACCCAGCCCACTAGCGAGAATTCGGCACCAGCCAGCAAGCCCGTTTTGGGGGCTCAAGGCCCAGGGATCAGGAGTGCTACGACAACAGCGGGTGGCATGCGGCCTCCCTTGAAAGCAGGCCCAGGATCCTCCTCCACAGCTGCAGCAAAGCTTCAGAAACCACTGGTGCCCACTGCGGCTCCATTGAAGAAGGCAGCTTCGGAGTTTGTGGCTCCAGCTCCGGTGGCGTCCATCAAGAAGGCGGATGCGGCCCCAACTCAAAAACCTAGTGCTAACGCAGGGGCAGCCACTGCATCCAGCAACTCGACCAGCGCTAACAAAGAAAAAGGAAAGACTGGTGGGTATATGGCTTATTCCCGTAGGTTATCACTAATCTATCAAATCTTCTACAGAAAACCAGCCACAAAAACCAAAAAAGACCTGGGAGCTAAACAACTTTGATATTGGACGCCAGTTGGGACGCGGAAAGTTCGGGAACGTGTATCTGGCTCGCGAGAAGGAGTCCCAATTCGTGGTGGCCCTTAAAGTGTTGTTCAAGCGCCAGATTGGTGAGTCCAATGTGGAGCATCAGGTTCGTAGGGAAATCGAGATCCAGTCGCACCTGCGGCACCCGCATATCCTGCGCCTGTATGCCTACTTCCATGACGATGTGCGCATCTACTTGATCCTGGAGTACGCGCCACAGGGAACTTTGTTCAATGCTCTGCAGGCGCAGCCGCTGAAGCGGTTCGATGAGCGCCAATCGGCCATATACATACAGGCGCTGTGCTCAGCGTTGCTTTATCTGCACGAGCGGGACATTATCCACCGCGACATTAAGCCGGAGAACTTGCTACTGGGCCACAAGGGCGTTTTGAAGATAGCCGACTTCGGTTGGTCTGTGCATGAACCCAACTCGATGCGGATGACGCTGTGCGGCACCGTGGACTACCTGCCGCCTGAAATGGTCCAGGGCAAGCCGCACACCAAGAACGTCGATCTCTGGAGTCTGGGCGTGCTCTGTTTTGAGCTGTTGGTGGGCCACGCCCCCTTCTACTCGAAGAACTACGACGAGACGTATAAGAAGATCCTTAAGGTGGACTACAAGCTGCCCGAGCACATCTCCAAGGCGGCCGCCCATCTGATTTCCAAGCTGCTTGTCCTCAATCCACAGCATCGTCTGCCGCTCGACCAGGTGATAGTGCACCCGTGGATCCTGGCGCACACACAGTGATCGCTTTGAGTTGCCTTCAGTTATTATTTCCTTTTTTAGTTTGAAGTTTATAGTTGTAGTTATAGTTCTCGCCGCTTAATTTAATTATGGCAACTTGAAAATTGCAAGAAATTTACGTTTATGTATTTAGTTTATGTTTATTTTTATTATTATTATCAATACCAATAAAGTTCTGCGTGTGCTTCGAATTCTGTGTTTAAGTGTGTACAATCTCCTGGCTTACATGGCTAAAATGAGTCGAGTTGCGTTGGCCTTCGAGAGCGGCGACAAAAAACACAGGCAACACATTGCCCCAAAATGCAGTGCAGCGAGTTATTTTTATCACAGAAAACCAAGTACAAACAAGGATTGTACGGGGATGGAGAGGAAACAGCAAACAGCAAGGTTGTTCCTTGAGATAAGCGAAATTTGTGATCAGTAAAATATATGTAAATGTATATAAACGAGCAAGAATTTTGTGTAGAACTTTGTTCATTCTATTAACTTTCGCTTCCGTTTAAAAAAGATCGTGAATCATGAGCTTGAACTTTACTTATCAACTAAGTAGGGCGTGCTTTCCCACCCATATACATAGATCTGGCTGTATAATCTCCCATTATTATACATATTCAATTAAGTGTCTTATTTAGATCCATGAAATCTAAGCTAAGGAGCTAAGGAGGGGTTGGTTTTCTATTCCTTTGCACACTTGCCGGTAGATGTTAAACGAAAATTCTTTTTACTTAATGTCTAATGGCCTCGCCTCCCTTCTTGCGCGCCGCCACATTCGAGTAGTCATCCTCTGCAAAATCATTTGAAGGTAAAATTGAAGTCTCTAAATTTATTCTCACTCACCATCCTGATCCTCATCAAGGCCATCTTCCAGATGAATACCGCCCTCGGCAAACTCTTTGCCTTGATCGGCCACTATTTCGTTGTTCAGATTGTCCGTGTCGAGCAGATGCTGCGGCTGCTTCACGGCCACATCGCCAACATCTTCATCTTCATCGCCCTCGCCACCGCCACCAGCGCCAGCTGCCTCAGCCATATGCTTGGCCGGCTCATCGGGCACGGGCCCGGGACCCGGTGCTGGCAGCTCGCCATCAAAGAAGTTCTGCCCTCCGGCAGCTGGTAAATTAAAGCTGGGCTCGTTCAAGGCATCCTTGACCTCGTGGCCGCCAGAGTCCTCGTTAGGCTTGGGCGCAACACCCAGATTTTTGGTGTTTTCCAGTTCATTTAAGGCATTTGCATAGCGATTGTTGTTCTCGTTCTTTGGCAGCTCCTCGGCAGCGGTGTCCATATCAACAGCATCACCCTTGGCATCCATCTTGTTGTCCTCGAAGTTCTCAGGAATGGGGGCTACGTTTTCGGGCAGCTTGCGCTCCGTTTTGGCCGGCGGCTTAGCAAGTGGCGGCAAACCGCTGCTGCTCATCTTGGGGGCCACAGAGGCATTCGGAGCATCGCCTGCGCTCTTGACCGCCAATTCGCCGGCCGATGACTGAGTGCTGCTCTTGCGGGGAGCACTCAGCGGGGAAATGGGACCGCCGGATAGCTGCGGCTCCTCCTGCTGCTGCTTCTCAGGGACAATCTGAAAGTTTTCAACAGAGTTTATTATCAGGCTGTGGTTGTTGCGAACGGCGAAGGTGAGCAGTGGCAGCTGCTCCCGCTCCGGCCGTTGCGCCTGATCCTTGGCCCCGCCACCATTGCTCTTAACCGTGGTGTTAGTAGTTGCGTTAGTTTGCTTTTGGTTTTGTTTTGGGTTAGTTGCTAGAAGATTTACCCCGCCGCCGATCCTGTAGACGCCGTCACTCACTTGCACTTGGGCATCGAAGGACTTCTCGTTGCGCGGCTTCTCGATGCTGTGAGCCTGTTGGGCTGGACTGGAGTTTCTCGTTGTGGGCGTAAGGTCCGCCGGCTTGTGAAGCTGCTGCTGGTGGTCGTGGGCCGGAGCCTCTGCTGGCTGCACCTTGGGCACATATTGGCAGTTGGCCTTGAACTCTGAGATGGTGGCCTCCAAGGCGTGTATCTTGTGCTCCGAGTCGCGATGCAGCTTTTCCAGCTTATCCTAAATGATGTCAATAGTTAACTTTGAGCGATTATCAATCACAAATCTCACCTTCCAGGCCGAAACCTCCTGTTCCTTGCCAGCCTTGTCCTTGTGCACATCGGCCAGCAGCTTTTGCAGCTTCTGGTCAAAGGCGTTGGTGTCCTCGATGTGTTTCTTCTTGCTCTTAAGGCACTCCGCCTCCAGATCGGAGTACTTGCCCTCCAGCAGTTTGTATTTCTCTAGTTGTGCGTCGAACTTCTCCTGCAGGGCTCGCTCTATCTCCTGCTGCTTCTGCACAGCCTCCGCCAGCTGACCCTCGTACTTCTCCTGCAGGCTCATCTTCTCGGTGCGCAGCAAACTCATCCGCTTCTCCGCAGTCACCTTTTCGGCGGTGAGCGCTGCAAATACCACCGGAAATGTTGGCTAATGGAATTATCTAAAGCGGAACTGCCCCACTCACATTGCATTTGGACGTTCAGACCTTCCTGGAAGGCGCGGCTCTCGTCCAATTGGTGCTGGGACATTTGGTAAATGACTATCATCATGATGAGCACAATGAACATGCTCATCAGAATGCAGATGCGGACGCGTCCGGAGCGCGCAAAACGAGCGGAGCTCATGTTTGCACTGTGTTTTAGTTAGTAAATCGCTGTTTACAACTTTTTTTTTTTGTTGAGGAATGTAATTTATAGAGCAGAAAAGTTCTAGTGTTGCGAAATCCTTTTGTTGTGCTTCCGCGGCGCTAGTGTTGCATAACGCCGATAGTCGACAAGCGCTTTGTTTTGGAATTTCAAAATAAATCACAGGTATTTTTTTAAATTTATTTTAGTTCTGAGATAAGGTTGACAGAAATTACTATTACAACAGCATTCTTTAATCAACTTGTGTTATTCAAAGACTTATACTAGAAATTGTGTGTCTTGAAAAAAACAGTTTTTAAAAAATAAATTTTTCAAAAAATAGCTTTAAATAAATTCTTAACCATTTAAAAATACTTTGCTTAAAATTAAAAAAAGTCCTTCCAGAATTATTACTCAAATATTATTTTAGTGGGACCAGACTTCGGCAGCATCTGGCTTTCAGGTATTTTTTAACCCCACGGTCACTCCAGAGAGCAACGAACGGCGAGCGACGCGCGAAGAGAATATCAATAAATAGGTTTAATTTAGTCTAATAGCCAACGAATATTAGTTGTTTTTCGGCAGCAACTGTTAAGTTTAAAGTAAACAAGTCAATTAACGAGCGGCACACCAAATAATCAATTCTTGAAATGTGAGTTGAAACGCGTGTGGAGGCGGGAGGGGCAAAAATTCGCGAGGGGGCGTGAGGGGAGGAATTTATTTAAACATTTAAATGGCCCCAGAGAGACACACATGCAAACGTGTGTGCGTATCAGGAGAGTGTGCGGCAATCAATTCAATTTATTAAAAGGTGCTCGAGAATTGTGATAAACACGACAAATTACGTAAAGTTTCGCACAAGTGGTTGCTGTTGCTGCAGCTCCAGTGCCCCCCAAAGCCGAGAGTGTCCCCAATAACAGTTATCACAAATCGAAGCAGTGTATCACCTGTCCGAAAAGGTAACACGCGGCTGCACTGTAAACTCGCAATAAACCGTCGCCGTCGAGCCCCTCTCGACCCGAATTCGCCATTTCGGGCAATAATCAATAACTTGCTACGACACGGCAACAACACCGTGCCGAATTTACCTTTGAAGCCGCAATCTTAAATGGTTTTGCTATATACATACTCCTTTTATCGCCCTAGAAGTTTATAACTTGTGTGTGGCCAACTTCCTTCATCAAGCTGATATCTTTCACCTTAAATTAGACCCCAAAAAAGTGAAGAGATAAAGAATAGAGTCGCTCTTATCTGCTCGAAAACCCGTTATTCGGCCTTGCCAGTTGAGCGGGTTTAAGGTAGTATTACTTCTTTGCATTTAAAACATGGATTTGATATCTGATTACGTAGACTTTAAGCAGTATCTCAGATCAAAATACTTCAGAATGTGTTAACTCAAGTTCTATAATAATTTAATTAAATTAGTTATAATTAAAATATAAAACCTACTTTGAATTCTTAAATATTTTCGTTATTTTGCTCCTTTTGATGGGCCTCAGGAGTCCTAGAAAATATCCTCAAACACAGCTTTTATCCTAAATACAAGACACTTGCTATAATTTCAGATTCCAGGGTAATATTTAAATGTTAATTACAGTTTTCAATAAAAAAAATATGTTTATTTTAAATTAAATTGAAATATTTCCTGCCATAGGTGTATTTCCTACATAGCATAAAGTGTAATACTACCTCAAAACACTCAAAAAATCCTGTCCAACTGTTTCTTTTTTTTAGCACTCAAGTGTAATTGTGCTAACGAAGGCATTTGTTTAATATTTATTCACGAATGCAGGCTAATGGCACCCTATTGATATGCTGCTAATCTCCGTGGGGCCCGAGGCTGGGCATGTCAATAAACTTTGGCCCGCGCCTCGTCCCGCGCTTATCACTGGCGTTATAATAAGTGCATTATTTATTCAGCCCTATCAGCCGTTTAATGTGCTCATAAATATTTATTGTTTAATTGGGGTAACTTAAAAACAGTAGTGCTTATTTGTGAATATATTTTTTTTAATTTTAAACAAACCAGTTTGCACCAATTCTTTGCACACATTGAACAAAAGTATCTTTAACGAGTGTGCGTATCTATATATTCCGCAGAATGTCGGGCAATGCGATCCACAAACTGCCGCTGGAGCAGCCACAGCAACAGCAATTCGCGTAAGTTTGCAATAAACATATTAATTAGTCTGAGAAATGTAATCGCAAAGTTAAACATTACTTATTTGTTTTGGGAATTATATTTATGGAAGGTTGAACAGAAAAAACAATATATTTTAGCAAGTAAAATTTTACTTGGGAATCGCCTATATCTTATTTTGGGCATTAAAAAGTTGAAATAGAATTTAGAAACCTTAAAATTAGTATTAATTAGAACTTTAATTACAGTTTTAAATCGTTAAAAAGTTATTTTTCTTTCTTATTATTTTAGGTAATTTTATAATAAACTTATATTCAACACAGCATTAAGCTCCAAATGTGGTTTTGTGTTGAAGTATACAAACATTTTGCACTTTAAATGTCTTACATTTATATAAATATTATCAAATAATAAATTATTCACTTAGTTGTAGTAAGTTTTTAAATATATACTGGTAATAATTCAGAACTTAAATGCATAGGCTTATAATTATTAATATTATCTTTACTGCATTTAAATATTGCATGACAAACATTGCATCTTGGGGTGTGTTCTGATAAGCTTCATTAGTAAATCCTTATCATGTATCTGGGTTAATGAACTTCTAAAGTTTGAAAACGCATTTTCCTACATATCCAAGGCACACTGTATTTGTTTGTTAATATTGTATCATCACTTGTCACCTGAATAGACATCTATACATATTTTGGTTTTGAAGTGAAGCCCTCAGCAGCCAGCCAACAGACAATTTGGCACTGTTATCTTCCCGTTCCCCCCATCGAGCGGCCTCCTCCATTTTCAATTCAATAAATTTAGGACAAAACCACAGACAGGGGCAGAGCCATACTATGACATAATATGATTGCATTTTGCACTTTTGTTTTTGCTTTTCTCTCTCTCGCAAAAATATTCTGACAATTGCAAAACGAAAATAGACCCAAGCTAAGTCTAGATATATTCTATCCTATATAAACTGGCTGCGATGTTGATGTTGGCAGACATCCCAAAATATTTCTTGCTTATTAATGGGCGGCAACCCATTTGACCTTTCTGCTGATCTTCTTATTCGGCTGATAAACCAATTATTGCGGAACCTTTAGAGCGGTGAAGTGGGCCAAGTTCAGAGCCAATCTGGGCGGGCATTGTTTACATTTTGTTGCTGTTGCCGGCACTTCACATGCACAGCGAATGCAAAAGTTAACGCAGGGCAAATATTTGTCAATTAGCCAAGCGAAAATCACAGCACCGACTAGTGTATGCTCTTTTTGGGTTTTTTCTTGACTTCCTACAAACAATATATATTAAAAATAAGTTAAGTTCGGAAATAATAAAATTGGAGTGCTATAAATATAAATAGACTTAAACTTAAACATTTGGTTATAAATTAGAGGAATTTTCAAATTCTTTGGCACCCCTGATAAATTTGTAAAATAGTTCTTTCAGATACCGAAACTCGAAAAGTAATCTCTGCAATCCAAACTAATAGAACTTTCAATAAGTTTAAGGATTAAATAATATTTTAAAATCTAGATTACTTTGCTTTTAATACGTTTAAGGTTTAAATAATAGTTTAAAATATAGATGTTATAGATATATTATAGATTATAGATATTAAGTTTGTTGTTAAAAAGATAATTGATAATTTATTTTTGTTCTTTTAGTCTGCTGCCAAAGATCATTAACGGTGGCATCGCAGGAATCATTGGTGTAACATGTGTTTTTCCCCTGGATTTGGTAAAGACGAGGCTGCAGAATCAGCAAATCGGTCCCAATGGAGAACGCATGTACAACAGCATGTAAGTAGTAACGATTATTGTGGGTTTAGTTTCCAGAGAATGTAAAACAGAATAGATAGTGAAAGGTATCTAAAATTCTAAATTGGCAGGTTCGATTGCTTCCGCAAGACGTACGCTGCCGAAGGCTACTTTGGCATGTACCGCGGCTCTGGCGTTAACATCCTGCTGATCACCCCTGAGAAGGCCATCAAGTTAACTGCCAATGACTACTTCCGCCACAAGCTGACCACCAAGGATGGCAAGCTGCCCCTGACAAGTCAAATGGTTGCCGGCGGTCTGGCCGGAGCATTCCAAATCATAGTCACCACGCCCATGGAACTGCTCAAGATTCAGATGCAGGACGCTGGCCGAGTGGCGGCGGCAGCCAAACTTGCTGGAAAGACGGTGGAGAAGGTGTCGGCCACCCAGCTGGCGACGCAGCTGTTGCGGGAGAAGGGTATTTTCGGACTATATAAGGGAATCGGAGCCACAGGATTGCGGGATGTCACCTTCTCTGTCATTTACTTCCCGCTGTTTGCCACACTCAATGACCTGGGACCACGTCGCAATGATGGCTCTGGCGAGGCGGTGTTCTGGTGAGATTTACTAACTTTCGTTTGATGTTTAATGATATGTAATTTTTATTGTGTGCGCTCTGCAGGTGCTCCTTCCTGGCGGGTTTGGCTGCGGGCTCCACTGCTGCCCTGGCGGTTAATCCCTTCGATGTGGTCAAGACGCGCCTGCAGGCAATCAAAAAGGCCGACGGTGAGAAGGAGTTCAAGGGCATATCCGATTGCATCACGTGAGTGTATTTATTCGCTTCCATTTGTCCCTCGACTAATCACTGATCAACCTGCAGGAAGACATTGAAGCATGAGGGTCCCACGGCTTTCTTCAAGGGCGGTCTCTGCCGAATGATTGTGATTGCTCCCTTGTTTGGCATTGCCCAAACGGTTTACTATTTGGGCGTGGCCGAGGGTCTGCTAGGTGTGCAGAAGAAGTAGAGATAGGAGAAGTATTTCAAGTCTACTCTCTAAATGTTGAATGTGTATATCGTGTTTAAATGTTGTTAAAGCTGTCCATGAATGTAATTGTAAAGTCGTAACGTCTGTAGTAAGCACACACACTAGACAGTAAAGCTACCATATGCAGTTGTTAAAGTTCCTCCCAGTCCCATTAATCCTCTCAATATATATCAAAGGGCAAAAGACAACCAACTGATGCTCCCCAATGACAATAAGATGTTGCAAAATGCTTATATTACGTATATACTTTGTTTGAAAGTGTAATTTATAATTGTTGTTGTGTTTGGGCACACCTCTCTGTGTACTTTCCCACAAACGTTTTGCCTCAAATTGTATTATCAATGCATTTTCCTTTGCTGCCAGGCGAAAGTTAAACTTTTAGTAGCAACCAAGAACATGACTAAATCCAATGTATACTTTATGAAAAACGTCAGACATGAACAAATGAAATATATAGCAAATATTTAATAAAATCTAATAAATATGAAAAATTCTTAAATTGGTATTTTGGAGAACACCATGGGCCAAAGTGAACAAAAGAAGCCAGCACAGTTTAAGTAAGTTGCCTGCCCTGTTGGAAAGCTATCCATCCACCGCCTGAACTCCTTACAGTATTTTGCCCAAGATAATCAATGGAGGTATTGCCGGCGTTATAGGAGTCACCTGTGTGTACCCCCTAGATCTGGTCAAGACCCGCCTGCAGAACCAGCCGATCGGACCCAATGGCGAACGCATGTACAAGAGCATGTGAGTGCGGTCAGGGGTTGTCAGTATCATTGGACTGGTATCATTCATTCACCTCTCATCTCCTAGCGCCGATTGCTTCCGCAAGACAATTGCCAGCGAGGGCTTCTTTGGCATGTACCGGGGCTCGGCGATCAACATTTTGCTGATCACGCCCGAGAAGGCCATAAAACTGGCGGCCAACGACTACTTTCGCTACCACCTGTCCACCAACGAAGGAGTTGTCTCGTTGCCCAGAGCAGGACTAGCCGGCGGCTTGGCCGGTCTGTTCCAGATCGTAGTTACCACGCCCATGGAGTTGCTCAAGATTCAGATGCAGGACGCCGGTCGGGTGGCCACAGCGGCCCGTGCAGCCGGGCAGGAGGTTAAAAAAGTGACAGCCCTGGGCCTGACCAAGCAACTCCTGCGGGAGAGGGGCATCTTTGGGCTGTACAAGGGCGTGGGTGCCACCGGAGTGAGAGATGTCACGTTCTCGGTGATCTACTTCCCGCTGATGGCCTCCATTAACAACCTAGGCCCGCGAAAGGCCGATGGCTCTGGCGAAGCGGTCTTCTACTGGTCCATGATGGCCGGATATGAGGCAGGAACGACGGCGGCCTTTACTGTCACGCCGCTCGACGTTATAAAGACCCGCCTGCAGGCCTCGGGCGGCCAGAAATACGATGGCATCATGGACTGTGTCCGCAAGACGCTGTACAACGAAGGCGTGTCTGCATTTTTCAAAGGCGGTCTGTGCCGGGTGATGGTGGTGGGCCCCTTATTCGGTATTGCTCAGACATTCTACTTTCTAGGCGTGGGAGAGACCATATTGGGTATGGACAAACATAAATCTATATAACAGAATAAATTGCAGTTGGTAATGCAGAATTTTGGGTAAACATATGTATGTATGCTTTGTGTGTATTTCCTTAATGATTCTACAAATTTAAACGTTTACAATCGATAAGTATTCTTTATGAATCAGCCCAGGGTTGATCTGCCAGCCCATCTCTCATATCACAATCCACCGCGTACGGTTGTCAGTCCTTCTATGCTGCTGCCTCAGATTACATCTGCTGGCCGGCTATTGGGAGATGCCGTGTTGCCGTCGGCACCCAAGTCCACGTAGCGAGCGCGTTGCCAACGAGCCACTGCAGCGCGATACCAGTCGAGGAACAGGGCCTGACGGTACAAGATGATGCCCATTTGTAGAATCATAAAGCCCATGATGGTGATTATATTGATGTACTCCCACTCCATCACGACGACAAACACCCAGATGAAGTAGACGCGCAGACCGTCGGCCAGCAGCCGGTTGGCACTGGAGGAGTACATGGCAATAAAGAGGCCAACGAAGTTGTACAGGGCACACGAGACGGTGAATCCAATGAGGGCTAAGATCAAAGCTGGATTGCCTTGCAGACCAGTCAACAGGTCGCTCCAGTCATCAAAGACGGCGCGCGAGCTCTCGTTGAAGGGATTCATGGTGGGCACAAAGTGCAGGCAGACAGCCAGCAGCGAGGTGATGATCAGACCAAAGATGCCCTGCCAGCCGGCGGCTTGTAGCGGAGCCACATTCGACGTCTTCAGCTGTTTCTCCTCGTAGACGTACTGCAGGCCGTGCAGGATCTCGGCAATGATGATAAGCATGTCCCCGGTCAGGATAGATTTGTGGTCCGTATGCGGTAGGGTAACACGGTCGTAATCAACGCGCTGAACGTCCAGGGAGACGATGTCCAGAAGGCCGCACGTGATGGTGAAGATGGCTAGCCAGTGGCGCGAGCTAAGCGTATGGTTCAGGAACATGGTGCTGAAAATGCCGACGAAGATGAGAGCAGCGCCTGCGGAGAAGATGAGTCAGCCAAAGTGAGCACAGATAAGAGACATAAAACGGCGAGTGATAGACGCACCTCTTATCATCTGGAAGCTGGTCGCATAAGTCAAGTACAGGCCGGTAAACAAAAGAATGGAGGCAATAACGTCCAACACTGTGGGCAAAAGCATACTCAGGGGGCTAAACTCGTTGCTGCCCTGGCCCAGAATGCTGTCCAGCTCGGTGCCCGGCTGTGGCAAGAGGAATCAATCGAATTAAAAGAGTTTGATGGCCAAATTGCTTTTCCAGCACTTACCCCCCGGCGGCTGGAGATCAGGCGGATTAGCTTGAAGGCCAGAAAGCACAGAAACTCGCCCAGGAACATGAGCAGGGTAAAGACCACCGGATGCTGGAAGCCGTGTAGCTGGCCATCGCTGCCAAGCACCTGCTGCTGATTGGCCCACCTGAAAACAACATGCACAGGCAGGTGCATATTTGTTTATTTCACTTTTCCAAGGAACATTTCTCGTATTTCGACACTTACTTCACCACCAGGACATTGAAGGTGCCGCTGAGCACAAAGATCAGCGACAGGAAAACGCGATGATCCATTCTGCAGGGGGAATTATCTGTTTTTTGGACAACGCAAACGTTCGCTTAATTCGATTTACAAATAATGACGTTCTTTGTGCAATTCGCCAAATTGTGACTGCGCAGTGCAAAGTGCGGAATCGATCCGGCCAGGCGGACTTTTGCACACCCTCTCAGGGATCAGTGTTGCGAATTTCAGGTGCTTTTTGCTGTTCTCAAGGTCAAACAAACACCTAATAACAATTAATTTGCGTCTAATCTAACATTTATTTGGTCTTTGTTGTTATTTTTTGTTATTTTTCTAGCTTTGCAAATATAGTGTGACTGCAAATGGGGCTTTGTAACAAACCAAAGAATTATAGCTGAAATATACCGAAACATACTTTAAAAGTCTTTTTAGTATAATTGGTCACTCCATTGCAACGGTTTTTTGGTTTTGAATAAATCTCACATTTTTCTTCAAGATTTTTATTAAACTCAAAACTTAAAAAATATCACAGGAAATGAAAAACCATTTAAATGAAAATACATGAAGTGGTGTTAGTGCATTCGCCGCTCAAGTGCCATTAATTTGCCTCCGTTGGCGCTTCCGTTGCATTGTGAGCGATTTTCCTGTGAATAAGTCAGGGAATATGATATTGAAATATAACTTTAATTTAAAGACAATCACTATAAAAATAAATAGCAAACGTAAAAGCGTGTCCTGTCGTCTCACCTGTACTCTGGAGTGTTTTTCAAGTGTTGTGATTGTGTTTTTGTCGTGTTTGTGTCGTGCTGAGTGCAGTGAGGTGTTCCTAGAGCTCGTCGCGGGAATGTCCGGAGGAGGGCAGCTCCACCTCCTCGACGGAGCCCAGGTGTATGGTTCTATTTGGCCTGCTAAACTTTGGTATGTACTCGACCGTGTCGCTGTTGCTAACCACCGAGTTGTGTAGATGTTCCGTGGGAGCCGCGGGATCGGGACTAGTGAGTGTGATTTTGGAGCCAGTGGCCACTCTGTGGAATGTATGCAGGTGGGTTTGTGTGGAACTATGAGTTTGTACTATAATTATGCGGTCAAAATACGTCAAAAATATATGTATTTGTCTGCAGAGCTATCTAAAAATTGTTATCTAAAAACTTGTCATTTAAAAAAAAATATTATAATAAAATATTTGGGAAAGTTTAGATATAAATTATGATTTGGAATACTTTCGGAAAACTATACACTTTATATTAAAAATATATCTGCATTAAAACCAGACTTTATAGTCTTAAGTATTCAGATTTTTTTAAAAACCGTAAAGGTTCTAAAATATAAACTTTCTTAGTTGTACAGATTTTTTAAACTTTCACTTATGCCTTTGGTTTTCCAAACCCATTATATTTTGACCGCACTTGTATTGTGTTGCTTTATTTAGGGTTAGTTAAGCGCTCTACTAGGCTCGATTTTAGTCTGGGAAAGCAATAAATAAATGGTCTCATCTCTCTTGTACCTTATGTACAGCTATTGGAGGTGCTGGTAGTCGAAGAGGGAAGATCTGAGAGTGGTTGGAGGGTTCTATTGGCGCTGGCGGGCTCCACCGCGTGCTCCGCGCAACTTTTGCGGATTTCTATTGCAGATCAGATTGTAATCAAGAGCTCCGGACTCAGTGCCGCCACCTTACCTGTCCCTGGTCTGCATGCTGGCCTCCACATCGAGGCTGCGCGGCTGCCGGAAGTCGCACTCCAGCGAGAAGGCCGAGTCCCCGGGCGTGATCAGCTCTGGATCGTTCTGGATCACCACGATGTTGGTGTAGAGGTCTCCCTCCCGCAGCGTCTGACACTGGTCCAGTTGGAAGTTCATCTCCAAAGAGCGAGCTCCCTGGCTTGCAGTGGGCTTCATGAAGCACGGCGGCGTCTGCTTGTAGAAGCTGCCCCGCGTGTACATCACGCCCGTGAAGGGCTTCTCCGTTTCCAGCACCACGTTCATTGAGTCGGCGCCACACTTAAGGTTCACCTTTTGAATGCCCTGGTCGCTGCCCTCGATCTTAAAGGTGTCCGAAAGGTCTTGTTCCCAGATTTCTGAAACAAAGTAAACGATTTTTTTTGGGTGACATTTAACTAAAGTAAATTACCGTTTCCGATGAGCTATTAAAGGCATTTCAAAGATGTTGGCAAAGCGATCTTAAGAGAGGTCGACTTGGTTTGGTTACCCCATGTAAATTTTAGGAGACATTTAAAAAATGTAATAACATTCTTGTTAAGAAACTGGCATAGAAATAATAGGTAACTATTTATGGATTATAGATTTCTTTTTAGATTTAAAAAAAAAGTGTTTTTAATTAACATTTTTTCAAGATTTTCATTTTCCACTGCAGGAAACCCTTTTATTTCCTTTTGAGTCGATCTTTCCACAGAATTTGTAAGCTTTCTTTCTATAAAAGTAACCGTTACATCCATCTCTATGCCCAACGAACTACAAAAAATGGTAGAGTTCACTCATCTTTAGGAAGTCGCCGGCATAACTGAGCTCCCCACAACCGGTTACAGGTTTATTTTGGCCCGGCTAGAACCGCTCGTTTAAGAACTCGCACTTGGCATTGAAAATTTCTCCGAGTCTCCCCGCCCAATCAGTTGCACCTGCCTTTTTCTGGGAGTCCCTTACCTTGGTTCTGCTGGCGCTGCTGCTGTTGCTTGTTGGCCGACACGTAGACGACCAGCAATAAGTTGCAGGCCATCAAGAGGAGAATGCCATTCTGTAATCCCGACATGGTGCACTCTTCAGTATTACTCAACACAAATTGTAGATTTAGGAGCCGCGATTTTATGGATTCCGAACACGTCTGAACAGCTGCTAGCCAAGATTTGAACTGACGAAGCGTCTGCGGCTGCGCAGCGCATATAAGCGCGGCTTGAAAGCTCAGAGAAAGAGATGGCCGGTTGGCGAACGAAAGAGACGGCCTAAGAGAAGAAAGACTGAGAGGCGAGCTCCAGAGAAAGAGAGGTAGTGAGAATCTGGTCAATAGCTGAGCATAAAAATATTTAATTGTACTGCACTCGTGATAAGATGAAAATTTATTGGCATTGCCAAGCGAAAAAGCTAAATAAAAACATAGACATCGAAGCATTAGATACCCTTTAATTTATGATTATAATATTTTAATTCATGAATATTAGGTCGATAGTTTAGCCATATTTTCTAAAATACTGTTCTTAAGTGTTTGATTTTTGACTGTTAAGTCAGTTTTTAATTTATTTTGTATTCATTTCCCTTTTTATTTCTTTCTTACCATAATTGTATATTAAAATCTATTAGCAAAACCCAGAATAATTTCCTTTATAGTTGATTTTAAGCTAATAATTTTTAAATATCAAGAACACATGCAGTGGGGGATCCAATTGGGGATTAGAAGTGTTTTTAAAGAGTAAGACTTATAAATTAAAATTAAATTAATCATTAAATTACATCTACTTGAAAAATATAATTAAAACAAATGCACAACACCTTCTGACAGGGTATGGAAACATTATTTAAAAGCGTCAGTTTAAGGAAAACAAAATGCGGCATCTCGCTCCAAGACATTTCCGCTTTTCGCGTGTGGCATGTGGATTTCTGCTCTGTGCATTCGTTTCGCATTTTTAGCGCTGCATTCAACCAATCAGTTTTTTTTTTGTTTTTTTGTTTTTTTTTGTTTTTCTTTTTGTTCATTATTCAAAATGTTATTAAACTTCCCCGTTTTTGCGACTCTCGCTTCGTCTCGTCTCGCCACGATTCGGTTCTCCTTCATGCAACAAATTTAATAATTTTGTGCAATGGTTTTCCTTGCGGTTTTTTTGTTTGCTTTCCCGCCTGCCTTTGTGTCTCTATTTACATCTTTTGTTTTTCATTTATTGCGTTAATTAAAGCGTAATTAGTTAACGATTCGGGCCTGGCCATGCCTAGCGAAAGGTGGAAGTGGCCAAAAAAAATAAAGCACTTACCCCGAGAGTTTCGTGGAAACTCAGCTGGACATGATTAAGTTGTTATGGCTCTCCAAAGTCTGCGCATTTCCATAGCTGACTTTGCTAGTTTTTGTGGATTTTTGAGACTGTTTAATAATAAAACAATACTATTTTTGTATATTTTTTGTAACAATAAAATGTGGTATTTGTTTCGAGTTTGTTTTTATTTAGTTTGTTTTTTAGTTAGGAAACTACAGTGATAAACAACTATCTATGTAATCTAGAGAAACATTAAAAAACTAAAAATAGCAAAGTTTTTAATGTTTTTTTTTGGGACTTATGTTAAAATTCTTTAGTGAGAAGTAATTAATAAAAAATAACTATTATATATATCACTAACTCAAGAACGTAACTTACCTTTCCCATAATTTATGTCACATTTTTGTCAAGTGCTCTTTTCTTATCGATTATTACTTTTGTTATTTTCTATCTGCAATTGATTAAGCCTTTTTATCAGCTTCCTTTTCGAAAGTAAACTATCTCAAGTTCATTTCTAGGGCAATACAAAATCATCTTCAGAGGTCCCACAGGTTAAAAGAAAGGCAAACTAATTTTGGAGTAAAAAAGCTTGTATTTTTTAATGTAAAAAGTAAAAAAAGGTTCCACTTTTGAAGGATATCATCCATGATTAATTCTTCTTGATGGCCGCCCAGTATCGCTCCAGTTCGTTGCCCTCCCAATGGAAAGGTTTCGTCAAAACACTGAAAATACAAAATTTACATAATGCCTTTAGTAATAGAGAGGATCGTGAAAATTAGCCAAACAGATACATAGGTGTGGAGGAAAATGGTGGAAAATCGCCGTACATACTCGAAAGGCCTGTGAAGCACGAAGCTCAGCAGCAGCAGGAGGGAATGCGAATGGGAACGAAAACCAGTGGAGAGACCAAAAAGTTCAACCACCAGCAGTGGGAAGTGGCCAGTAATCGACGGACGGTGGAAGAGGCAGTCGTCTGGCGGTGCCTACTGCACCGATGGCCAAGATTGACAATGATCATGCACACATAGTGGTATGGATGTGGACCCCCAACCGCAGGGAAGTGGGTAGTGATGTAATGGTAACATTGTATCCGAGTTGCACAATTTTCGCTGTGCCGCTTTTTGGCCAACTTCCGAGTCGCACACTCACCTTTCTCCCAGATACCGCAGCACTTCCTGCTCCTTATCGCTTAATCCCAGCTCGGCGGCCTCCAAATTGATCCGCAGCAGTTGGCGCGTCTGCATGCCCGTGAGGAATGTGCTTACCTCCGGTAATCCGCTCATCGTGTAGTACATGGCCAGCTTACCCAGCTCCACGCCCCGCTCCCGGCACACCTCGGAGGCTTTTCGGGCGATGGCTTTCTGCTCCTCGCTGGCTGGATGCCATGGCTGGGGTCCGCCGTTGGTCAGCAGTCCGAGAGCATGGGCCGCAGCACAGATGACGCCCAGGTTCTGGGACTTGAAGAAGTCCAGGTACTCCAGGAGCGTGTTATCTGTCAGAGTGTATCGGGCATAGGTAAGTACGGTCTGGAAGATTTAAGTTAAAGATTTTGTAATAAAAATAGTATAAATAAAGTGTTATACAATTTAAAATTATATTTACATCGAATCTTCCTGCCGCCCGGGTCAGGCACTCCTTGAGCACCGAAATCGGATAGGCGGACACACCAATGAATCGCGCTTTGCCCTCTTTGACCAACTGCTCCAGTGTGTGCAGCGTCTCGTTGATGACAATGTCCAAGTTCGGGGCGATGTCATGGATCTGGATAACATCCACATAGTCCAGACCCAAGAGCTTCAGGCTCTTCTCCACGCTCTCGCGGGTCTTTTTGGCACTGAAATCAAACATGTTTTCATAGTCGAGCTCATAGCGTGCCACCTTGGTGGCGATATAGTAGGACTCCCTTGGCACATCCTTGAGCGCCAGACCGAGCACCTCTTCGGAGCGACCCTGACCGTACCAGGGAGCTGTGTCGATGTAGTTAATGCCCGATTTTAGAGCTTCGTGCACCGTCTGGATACCCTCTTCGAGTTCAAAACTGTAAAGGAGGTTATTTGTTATTTAAATATAAATATAAATATGAATAAGAGTATTATAATAAAGAGATCAGAGGTTACGACGATCTTAATATTAAGTTAAAGGACAGAAACGAAGAGTAAGAAAAAGAGGAACTCATTTAAAAGTATTATTTTTTGAGCTTTACTTCTAAACGTTATTATAACGATAAAACCCATTGGGAATTATAATTTTATATGCTATTACATTACAGTTACTTATTATATATTATATTATTTATAATAAATTTAAACCTTCAAAGCTTTTATACGTATCCAACTAGCTTGACATATTTCTTCTCAGCGTTGGAAAGAGCATTAATTAAATTTAAGAGATGTTGTTCTTTTTCAGCTCTCTTACCCATAGTTGGCGCAGAGGGCACCGCCTCCGAACGAGACTTTTGAGACCTCCAGGCCGGTCTTTCCGAGCTTGCGGTATTCCGTGCGGCGCACCTTCTCCTCGTCGTGGAAACCCTTCACGTAGGTAGCCGGCAATGTTCCAGACATTTTTGATAATCCCAATTTATTTCGCACTCTGTTGAAATTCAATCGACTGTCAGAGAAGTTCTGGCTACAGATTGCCGAATATGTTGCTTATATTCTATAGATCAGAGAACGTTTGTCTATCAGCGAGTCGGGAATAGCGAGCACAGGAGCGGATTCAAAAGTGTTCTGCCCAGGTGTTATATTATAGATATTGTATATGTTATAGTAAGAAGATTAGAATACGAACTTAGTAAAACCCGATAGTGTCCTAGTTTGGTCTTAACTGATATGGAGGTTTTTTTTGTCAACAAACTTGTTAAAAACAAAAAAAAAGAGAGTACCGGAAGAGCGCTACTTGGAAAGAATTCTACACTCTCTGGCAGCTTTTCTTCTCTCTATTGTTTGTAGCTCTCTCTGCTTCTTTCAACACAAACAAATGCAATTTAACAAGTGTTTTTTTGTCAACAAATAAATTCCAACAAATAAAAATAATAAAGAAAATACTATATGCATATGTTACTACATAAGATGTGGGTGTGTTTATATATATGTATAAATAAATTTGTTTAAACATTAATAGCAAATCTGATCCACAGCTGTACAGGTTCTTCTTCTTTACTTAAAAAACCTCAAAGAAGAGTTGTATTTGTACAGAGATAACTATAACATAACTTATGTAAATATTATTGCTTTACCTGTTTATTATTTTTATACGAAGTATAAATTTATATTTATTGCCAAGTCTATAATTAAAAGTCTGTCTTAGGATTGATTTATTTAGTTATTTTTTAACAATAGCTTATTAGTTTTGTAACCATTTACAAATGACTTTAAATTAATTTGGTTTTTCTTCCTTGAAATTAAAGCCACTTGATTGGTTTTAATAATGTTATTTAATCCATTAATTTATTTATAAGATTAACAAGCTTGGCTATATCCAATCTTCCTGCTTCTTCCGATAGCTTTTCCTCCGCTTATGTAGAGCTGAACTTCAATTGACCATCTTGGGTACGGATGCCCGTTCCGACCGCCACTCACTTGAACATATTAACCGTGGATAAAGTGGAGCCCCAGCTGTAGGATTTGGTGAAAACGCTAAAAACAAAAAGACAGAAATAGAGATACTTGTGTAGTGGACTTGACTGGAGATTGGACTGGACTGGATTGGATGTCCAGCAACTAGTTTGGCCAGGCCGAGGCCAAGTTCGTGCCCGTGATGCAATTGCTAACACCAAATCCGACAGTCCGACTTGCACAGTTCCCTGTTCGGGTTGCAGACTTACTTTTCGAGCAGATACTTCAGCACTTCCTGCTCTTTGGGAGTAAGCCCGTCGCGGACTGCCGCCAAATTGATCCGCAACAGCTCCCGGTTGGGTATGCCAATGAGGAAGGTGGCCGCTCCTTCCAGCTGCATGGTGTAATACATGGCCAGCTTGCCCAGCTCAACGTCGTTCTCCCGGCAGATCTGGGCTCCGCGTTTACCCACATCCTGCAGTTCCTTACTGCCCGGATGCCAGGCCTGAGGTCCACCGTTGCTTAGAAGGCCCAGCGAGTGGGCGGCAGCACAGATGATGCCCACGCCCAGGTCCTCAAAGGCCTTCATGTAACGCAGGAGTGTGTTGTCCAGCAAAGTGTAGCGGGCATAGTTGAGTACCACTTGAACTCGACCCTGGGCTCGCTCGGCACACTCCTTCAGCACGTCCACGTCGTAGGCAGTGATACCGATGAAGCGGGCCTTGCCCGCCTTCACGTACTCTTCCAGGACGGGGATGGTTTCGTTCAATACCATGTCCAGGCTGGGTGCGGCATCCACATCATGAACCTGCCAATGGAAGTCAAGTCACTTAAAAAGCAATATTTAAATTAAAATGCCAAAACCCACCTGCAGGACATCCACTCTGTCCAGCCCGAGCAGCTTCAGGCTTCGCTTTACGCTCTCCCTCGCCTTTTCGCCGGTGTAGTTGAACATCTTCTCCGGATCCCGTTCGTAGCGCGCCACCTTGGTGGCAATGTAGTAAGCCTCTCGGGGCACATCCTTCAGCGCCTGGCCGAGCAGCTCCTCCGATTTGCCATAGAAGGGAGCGGTGTCTATGTAGTTGATGCCGGATTTGATGGCCTCGTGCACCATGCGTATGCCCTCCTCACGATCGAAGTCGTCGGAGAAGAGATTGGACAGAGTGGCGCCGCCGAGTGCTAATGTTGAGACTCGCAGGCCCGTCTTGCCCAGATCCCGGTACTCCATGCGACGCACCTGCTCCTCATCGTGGAAGCCCTTGACAAAGGTGGCTGGCAGAGAACCCGACATCGTGATACGTTCAGTGTACGAGTGGAAATGAATAGAATCGTCCGAGAATAACGCGCTTTTATAGGCTGCGCTCTCTGGGAGATGGAATAGAAACTATGAGGGCAGTTGGAACCCCAGAATAGTTCTAGCTCTCTTAGTTGCCTGCTCTTTGCGATAAGCTATCAACGAGGTGGGCGCTGCTCTTAATTATACTCTTTGGTTATAGGATCTAGATCTGTAATCTAAACATCTGTTTGAAATGCTTTATTGGAAAGTTTTATAGTCTCATTTGGGGGAATTCTAGCAGGAGCCTAGGGGCTATAGAACCTTCTAGAACAATATATTTCAAGATTAAATTAATTAAACCTAAAATAAAATCAATATTTAATCAGTATAAATGCATTTTACTGCCTTATTTCCTCTATTTTAATCTAATCAAAGAACTTTATCAATAACAAACCCTTCAAACTTTATAAACAAGGAAAGGTATTATTATTTTTTTTTTAATACTATTTATTTTATTTCATAGCTTCCAATCAATTGACAAATCGTTAAGGGTAAATATAAATATATGCTTTATATATCATGTGCTTGAGATAGGGAGCTCCTGATGGGAACTGGAGCTCAGAAGAAGACATCAAAGTCACCCTGGGGCTGATAGCCAGCGCCGGGGGGAATCAGCTGAGGACGCTGCTGATTGCGCAGGGGGCGGGGGACGATGATGTCATTGATCTCGTGCAGAATGCCATTGGTGGCCACCACATCGCACTTGGTGACGCCGGCATTCTCGATCTTGGGGCGACGGTCGCGGGTGATGCGCAAGTGCTGGCCGGAGATGGACTCGATGGAACGGACGAATGGCCAATTGGTGGGAATGATGCCGGCGCAGCAGACTACGTCCTCCACAATGTGCGTCTTGACCAGACCCATGGGATCCGAAGGCCTTGAGCCCTCGGTGGACTCGGTCAGCTCCTCAAAGACATCGTTCTTGGGCACCAGCAGTGTGAAGCTGCGCGAGTCGTTGGACAGCAACTGGGTGAGATTGGCCTTGCGCACTAGCTCCAGGAACTTGCTGTAGTTGGGATTGGCCTCCAGCAGCTTGAGCATGTTCTGTGGGAAAAATGTAATGTTTAATTTATATGGATATTCATGGTGGCAATCTAAAAACTCACATTCTTGGGTGGAGTCAAGGGGCGATCCACCTGGTGCAGCACGGAACCACAGCTCTCGTCGTCAAAGTGAACAAGACGGGCGCAGTTAACCGTGGCTCGGTTCATCACGTCCGAGAAGAGGGCGTGGGTGGAGTACAGATTAAGGCGGACACTGGAGCCGGAGACCGTGGGCAACGATTGCTCGGTCAAGTCGCACGTCTTGATCATGGGCTTGACCACATGGTAGTTGAGGAATTCCAGCAGATCCAGGTTCTTGTTCAACAGCTCCGGCTGCTCTTTGAGCATGCGAGCCCACTCGGTGCCCTGCAGGGCCTTGTCAGTGGGTGCAAAAATGGTGACATTGTCCAGATCGTCGAACTGGTCGGCATAGCCAGAGGCCTCCAGCAGCTGCTGGAAGATGGTCAGGTTCTTCTGTGTCATCAGCGAGGTCATGGGAAGGGCAGATTCCGTGGGTAGAATGGTGTCAATCACATGCAGAACTCCATTGGTGCCCATAATATCAGCATCAATGATCTTGGCCAGGTTGTTGATGTAAATCGGAGCGGGTCCTGTCTGATTCTTATCCAGATGAGTGCGGTTAAGGAGCAGTGCCTCTCCCAGCAAATTGTAGGCCGTTGTCTTGGCACCCGGAACGGTGGCCAGAGAGCAGAAGGTAAGGTCCAGCAGGTGGTTCTTCAGGATGTCTAAAGGGTTGTAAAGGATATCGTGAAAATAATTAATATCCCTGTACTAAAGTCACAGACCCGAACACTTACTCGAGGCACAGCCACGTCCCTCCTTGAGGGCCCTTCTGAGATGTGGTTCCAGCTTGTCGAAGGCGGCATCAGTGGGCACAAAGATGGTCACGGGGCGATCACTCTCCAGCATGGCGCTCAGGTTGGTCTTCTCCAGAACAGTGCGCATAATGGACATATCCGCGCGTGCCCTGATGATATCCATTACATTCTTGGTCACCGGCTTGAGCACACCGCCCAGTGTGTGGACGAGGGCCTGTTCGGAGAGCTTGTCGTGTTTCTCGATGGGCACACAGTTGGCGGCGTAGCGGTAGGGCTCCAATCCCAGAGCAGCCGGCAGCTGGTAGCTGTTGATGCGGATCTTCTGGTCGGCCAGCTCCGTCTGCAGTAGCTTCTCGTTCTGTACGTCCTCCAGTTGCACTTCTCCGAGCACAGCGTGCAACTTGTAGATGGAAGGCTTGGAGGCCTCTGCCTTAGGGTCTTCAACGTTCTGCAGGTTATAAAGGATGTTTTTATATATATTTAATATATGGAAAATATTTGACTTGCATTATCCTGCTGCTGCTGCGAGCGGTACTCCACAAAGGCGGCATCGTTGGGCACAAAGAGGGTCACCTTCTTGCCATTGCCTCCGCCCAGCATCTCGGCTAGTTCACCGGCACTGCGTGCGCTCTCGAGGAATTGCTTGGCGCCCATGTCGCTGGCCGTGGCCTCCACATCCTTAATGTCGATCTTCTCGCAAGGTGTGGTAAAGTCAGCATTCCGTGGGCGTCCATAGCCGTAGCAGCACTGCCGGGTCAGAGTCAGCGTCTTCTTCTTGCCGTTCTGGTTGACTCTGGAGGGGGGAAATCAATTATTCAGCTAGTCTTAAGTAATCTCCTGACTTCACCAGGTCTTACATCTTGGTGCAGACGTGCTTGTTGGGCTTCTCCGCGCAGGAGTTCACGCTGAACTGGAACTGACCGAAAAGCGGGGAGCGAACCACGCTGCTGACGCCGTCACGTTCCTGGCCAAAGGTGTCCACGGTTTCATCAGTCTCCGTTGCGCTGGCCACGGTCTCGTCTTCCTCCTTCTCGGTACACACATTGGGGCTGAATGATGGAAGAGGTTAGACAAGAGTTGGAGGTAATCGCTGGGGAAGGGGAGCAGATCACTGGACCAACTTTTATAAGAAGCACAAGGTCTGATCGCAATCGTTATTTATAGGAGGAACTTTTTCAATATTTAAGAACTAATGAGTAAATGCTATATTTGTATCCAAGCACTAAATTCACCCTTCCTAATTTTTCTAGAATTTATGTGATACTCCCCCTTGGCAAGCCTTGAATGCTAATGAGTTAGTCATATATCACACATGCAAATCGCAATGTCAATGTGCTCCCATCGTTCTATATAGGCAAATGTTCCATATACACTCTACGCGAATCTCCAATCAAAGTTAGTCCAAGGCACTTATCAGTCGGTTCATCAGTCGAGTGTTTGCTGAATGGATTTGCACAATGATCTGGCATAGCTATACATACTATACAGTCCGCACTTCTATATAGGCATTATGTGCTGTGCGCTTGCCCAACAGCTTTGCCAGACCATCAATTCAATTATGGCATCGTCGAAATTCGTATTTGTTTGTTTCTGAATGCGAACTCTTTGTGTGCGTTATTTTTTTTTTAGAAATTTCCCACTGAACCGTATGTATATGGCTCTCCACATACATATAGATATAGATATAGATAGATATAGAGATAAATAGGTTTTTATGCAGCTAATTTTTCAATTTGCCACATCTCTGACTTTCATTTTGCTGTAACTACGAACGGCGACGAGTTCATTGCTCACAGTGAAAACGACGACGATTTCACAATTTAAAAAAGTGCAAGCTCGGCTCTACAAGCTTAATGTATATTCGTGCACTTATCCAATATAGATGCCACTACTATATATTCATTCACACTCTAAGTACATAAGCTGGCACAGCTGGCTGGCAATTAATCGAATTCACAATCGAACCCTACAAATAATAAGCTACCTCGTCTTGGGAGAGTAATCTTGGATGGAAAATGATTGAAGTATTTATATTAATTGATATGCTCGATTGCCTCTACATTGGCGATAAGCCAACCCAGCAACTTTACACAATTAAAAAATACAATCATATATTTAATGGCTAGAGTGAACTTGACATTATGCTCTCTTAATTGCCGAATACCAAGAGCACCCAGCCTCGAGTAGCAGCAGAATCACTCGTGTGCGGCGATTAGGAAAGACGGCAGAGAACCTACCTATTGACCATAAGTTGGCGAAACAAATGGAGAAGAGAACCCCCCTACTTACCCCTTCCACCAGGGCTCCTGGGCAGCACCAAAGCCAAAGCCTCCGAAGGAGTTGAAGAACTCATTGCCGAAGAAGGGGAACTGTTGCTGGAAGAATATGGCCGGGTTCGGGGAATTCACATCCGTGGTAATGGATTCCACATCTGCGGAAAAAGGCATTAAGGGATAAAGGCATTTTTGTTTTTATAATATATTTTAAATAATCCTAAAAATACGAGTAATAAATCCACTTACTGAAAGGCTTCTGGTCGACACCGCCTGGTGCCTGAGCGGGAACTGGGCCAGCTGGCTCCTGGCGTCCTTGCTGCTGAGGCTGCTGGTGCTCCAGAGGTACAAACTCCGTATCAAAGCCACTGCTGTAGAGGGGCAACAGGTGAGATGAGTGTCGCTGTGGGGCCAACGGTATGGGACCCTGGACAGATCCGGGTCCGGTCCAAACGCTCGCCGTCCGCTGCGAGGCCTGGGCATGCATAGGCTCGAGAGGATCAAGCGGATGGAGAGGCTGAAGCGGTGCTAGTGGTGCGAACAGGGTGCGATGCAGCGGCAATGGGTGGTGGGTTAGGTGTGGCATAAAGCTGCAAACCGGCGGGTGGGTGTAGAGTGTTCTGGTTAGTCGTAGCTCCACGAGTGTTGTCTGTGTCTGTGTTATTTCATGCAAATTCCATGGCGAACGGAACGAAACAATAATTCATATGCCTCCGCTGTTGCCTCGCATAAAAGAAGCTCTTAACTCCTATTTCCACAAAGCTAAATACCCCCGAGTATAAGTGTGTGTTTGTTGTTCTCCTCTATAAGCTATATATGCTGATCGTGCTCATTGTTTGGCATTTTGCGCAGCATTTCCCTGATCCGCATACTAAGTCGGGCCGAACTCCTCCTCTATATAGAATCAAACGAAAATAACTTTTTAAGTGGCCGAAAAAAAAACCGAGCAAACGAAACTTGAGATATGTTCCTGCAGTTGTCATCCATCAAACGAGATTTATGTCAACGGATTTTGGTTTTTTTTGGGTCTCTCAATGCATTCAAAATCTAGACTCTGGGGTGTTTGAATACCCAAGACTGACTCAGACGAGACACTTTCTATGAAGCCTCAACGACGCCAAGTAGATATATTTTTTCGCTGTGGGTCATTAAAATTCGCTTCGCGGAAGCTACTGGTAATTAAAAAAAGCTCGTAATAAGTGCTAAGTGGAAAAAACAAAGCAAGCTGCAGATATATAAATAATAAAACTATAATGTTCGAAAAGGCAAAACGTAAACAATTTGTCCGCTTACTGCCTCTGAGTTACTTCTGTGGTTCTGGACTTCTGGGTTTTGGGATGACTCATCTGGGCGGAACGTGAGCAGGCAGGGCTCAAAGTGATTTAAGCCTACAAAATGATATTGAGGCTTGGCCAATGGCCCAATGCCTCTTGTTTTGCTCACTTTTTGATATAAAATAAAGGGGTATGAGCAAAGCTAAGTCTGCACATATCTGTGTCAGATGTGAGATTCCGTTTGAAAAAGAGCTTGAATTAGTTATTTTACCATAAATGAACTACTAAAGGCTAGGAGTATACATTTCTAAAGGATCTTGAATTTGTTAAATTTACTACTTTTATCTAATTTAAAGTGCGGATTCATTATCTAAGGTGCCTCAGTTATATTCTGCCACCTCCTATATCTACCATCTCTCCTACCTTTACCCTACCTCTAATTGATTTGTAAACAAATCAGAGCACATTTAAAAATATGAACCGTAGAATGCATAACCAATGTGGAGGCAACTAATAAAATGTGTAAACAAAACTAAATTGTGACCGCTCGCCCAGGCACAACGAAAGTCATTGGACACAGAGCCGGGGAAAGGTGTGCGCTGGGCTCGGCTGGTGAATCAGAGATTTCTAGGGAAGTGTTTTTGCCGCGGGGCAGATCCCTCCAAATGGCTGCCTGATTTAATTAAAGCGCAGCCGTGGCAGGCACAGGCAGAATCAAAGCATTTAGAGAGCGTAAAAGGGAAAAATGCGAAACGAGAAATAAAACAAATTGTGGGTGACCCAGTTGGAGGGCAGATTATACACTTTTGGGGTAGTCCTCCTCCTCCTCCTCCTCCTCCTCTTACACCTTAACTCAATGACATGTCAAATGTCAATTACTCATTCAGGGCCAAAGCCGCTACAGAATCGTGTCGGAGATGAGCCCTGCGGTGGCTTGAACCCAAAGGTTGAGCTCGGCAGAGAAGGCAGCCAAGTGTGGCGCAGATCTCTGCAGATCGGAGGAAGAAGATCTTTGCGTTGCCCAAGTCCCGCGGTGTTGCCCCACTTTGGTTGCACATTGTTCTCTTGTGGCAATGCAGATGCAGGGTCTTTCGCAAAACGACAAGATGAATGCAAGTCGGCGAAATCAGGGGTTAAGCGGCAGATTCGTGCCGAAGAATTCATTTCAGTTCAATGGCGCACAATCTCCAGACAATCCAATCCGATCCGTTCCAATCCGAACCTCTTAGCGGCAACAGTTTCGGCTTAAGGTTTATCAATTGAGGTCAATAAACGCCAGAGCTTGGGACTTTCTTTCTTTCTGGGGGAACTTTTCGCCGCCACCGCACTAAACATTTCGGTCAACTTTATTTGCAGTTTCGTTTAGCGGGCAAAATTTCTCCGAGAACAAACAGGGCAAGCTGTCCGGGGCTCGGCAATGTCGTAAAAAGTACTGAACCCGGTTACCTGTGGTGGTATTAGCCAACTTTTATGGGGTGTCAGCGCGCGAAGCCTTAAACTTGCTGGCGCGCACAAATATTGAAACTTGAAGAGATTGTTTAAGATGTTTTGCGTGTAAACTTCTTGGACATATAGAAATTGTAAGCAAAGATTTAGGCGTATATATGTGGGAGTCATAATTCAATTTTTAAGGACTATATTTAGTATATAGCTTAATTCTTTAATTATATATTTCTGTTTGTGTACTTGTGTTTGCTTTGGTAAGTAGTTTTCTTTGCGGTTTTATGAGGAATTCTACTGGGGTAATGGTTGGGGACTGAACTTTTTGAGTGCTGAAAAAACGCATAGTTCACCTGGAAGTATCAGAGGACTCGGAGGATCCAGACGACTCATTTATTTCTGTGGATTCTCCCGAACTCAAACTGGAATTCAATATTTTATTTATTGGAATAAGGGTTTACTTGGGAGATCAACCATATTGCCAAGGAAACAACAGTTTTACATATAGGGTCTGGGAAACTCAAGTGGAACTACAGGACTTAAGCATTTTTAACTACAACTTTGAATTTATTCAAGTCGATAAAACCTATTACCAGGTAATGATCAGTGATTGACTTTTAAAAACGCTTTTAATGTTTAAACTCTAATTGATTTAGAAGATTTATTATTATAATGATAGGTATTATATAAGGTTAATATTGTAAAATGTTGCAGGCATTAATACAAAGATTTGATTTCAGCGATTCAATTTAGGAATATGATTAATTATAGTTTTTGCGGTGAAGTTGTGCGAATAATTTTGCGATAATGACTGACATTCCTTTCAAAACCATTTAACTGAAAAAGTTTATATTAGCGCTGATTCTAAATGGTTTTGATGAGCCATTAAAGAACTCTCTTTAAATTTTTTTTGCCAATGAAACGATGACTTTGCTTATAGGGGTCTTTCAATATTTTTTGTATATTTTTTGAAGCAATATAACGACATTAAATTCATGCCTTATCTGAAGATGTCGATGTGTATTAACCATCCAATTCCCAAACTACATAAAATGTGCATGAAACAAACACTACACAGTTTTATAAAGCTATAACAATACTCACTCGCCGTAGAATGGAACCGCCTGGATGGAGCCCAGGAGGAGCAGGCAGGCCCACAGCCTTAGCATGTCTGGCATGTGACGATATTGGGCCGAAATTTGGAAGCTAAAAAGGGGTAACAAAAATGAGACAAACTGAAAGTTACTGGAGCTAGAGCTGGGGCTGCTCTGCAGCTGGATGGGTCCGAGAAATTTCACTGCGCTTGGAATCAGCTGGAGCGGGAGCGGAAAATACAGGTTTTCCACGCAGCGCTGCACTCGCGTATGTAGGTGACGACGACTGCTGATTGGGGAGAAACTTTTCCACTGTCTTCACGCATTAATTGCGACCACTGCTGGGCACTGTAATTGCAGTCTTTTTTCACGAAAATTGGCACATCAAATTGAACTATCAAAAATGTCTCTCTCGGAGCCATCCATCCAGCAGAAATGTGAAAGAAACCAGCACGGCGGGGCACTCACGAATTGGTAAATGGTATTGCTGAGCCGATCCGACGATGTTGCCGCCACGAGTCGCAGGTTAAAACTAACTGCCCAAGAACGTACAGCGGCTGCTATATATAAGGTACATGCCCCCGGTCCGGAGTCTCTGCTCAGCGATCAGCGATGGAGCTTTCTGAGCGCGGCTTGGGAGAACGCGGCTTCGGAGAACGGAGAGAACTTTTGGTGACGTCTTTAATTTGGGGGCACTAAGCGGGTGGAATACAACCCACTGAAAATGCCGAAATCGTGTATGATTTGTGAAAGTGACAGACTGCACTAAGCTACAAAGTTTACTAAAGATTAGCTAAAGCTAAAGGTTTACTTTGATATTTTATTTATTTTATATTTTAAAAGATTTTATATTATATTAAATTGTTATATTTTCCAAGAAACATCAGCATTTACCTGTTACTATATCATTTGCAGGGAATCCTGACTGACTGTCCTACCTGAGAATCTGCTTTCAAGATGAAATGCGCAGTTTAGATTTCGGTTTTTCCCTTAACCTTTAACACTCGAATATTTCAGCATTATCAGCACCGTTCCTAATTGTTTGTTTTTGTTTTGTTTTGTATTTGCAAACTTGTAGCTTGTACCTACATGTGTAGATGAAATTGAATTCTGGGAACTGTCAGAAGAACATTTGATGTCGTTAATTTGTAGTTGTCTCTTTGAAGAAAGTACATTTACTTAGCTAGGGAGTTTCTCAGGAGGAGTAGATAATATTTTGGTTTATACCTCTTGAATAAATATCAGGTCCTGAACTTAGTTCAAGTCAGATTGATCTATCTTAGCCTTAATAATAATAACCCCTAGTTAATACCTTATTATTCAAAAAGCTTTAAGAAGAGCATACAATCTTCAAGATTTCCATGTTATACCTTTTTCAGCTGACTCTTACTCCAATCTGAGTCTTCTTTTTAATAAAAAAAAAGTACTTTAAAAACAATAGCAATTTAATTCTGGGATTTCACTTGTGAAATAATTATTTATTCATTTTTTACCATACATTATTTACAATATTCACTTGTGCTATTTATGTATGTGTATATATATCTCTTGTATACGTAGATGTACCACAACGAAAGGTGTTCATTAAATATACTTCTTGAAAATAAATAAATGTTTCCTCTTCTCGTTTTTTTTTTTGTCCATTTCCTTGTGCATTTCTATTACTTCTATATTAGTGTTGTTTATAATTTTGATTAAGAGTTCACACTTAGATATGCAAATAGTTTAATTGAACCGACTCAATCATTAAAGTTTCATTCAATTCCAATTAATATACATTACATAATTAGCAAGTCTCCAATATACATTAAGCTGAAATTGTGTCGTGGGATTTGTTGTGTGTAGTTTTGGTGTTTCAAATAATCTCCAGCCCAGTGATTATTTGAAACGCCCTTTGTAGTCCGCCTCCTGATTCCGTCTCTGCTCCAACTATCGATCACCTGCTTGCATACTGTCTAGATTTGCCTATTTCCGTAGCTCTAAGAGGAACTTCCATCACGACCACTAAATTTGGGGCAAAGTCTACTCCAAGAGGGCTGAAAAAAAATAAATAAAAAATAATTTAAAATATTATTTTTAATAGTTTATCCTTTTTGAAATAATATCATCATGAAAACCCACCTTCACGTTTGCCACGCATGCCTAAGAAGCCGTTGGGCGCCCGCTTATCACCCCAGAGATAGAGCCAAGGATGAACCAGGTACTGCTGCTGGCTTTCCCCGTTTCCCATGCCGTCCGCCTCCAGCTCACTCTTCTTGCCGCGCACCGCCACGAATTTGCTGTTGAAGTCGGCAAAGCGTTGCTTCTTTCCCCTCATGTCGTAGGACTTTTTAAAGAAATTATGCCAGAACTAAGGGCGATTAGATTTTCCAGTTTCTTAAGAATATATTCCCAAAGGATATATCCAATATTTAAAATATTTAATATATATCTTTGATCTTTAATTATAGAATTATACAACTTACCTCTGACAGAGCAGCCCGCTTGTAGTGCTGATGTGACACATCCTTCTTGCCGCGCACTCCCACAAAGGAGTTGACTGGCGCCCGTTTCTGGAGCAACTCCATGGCATCCTCTGCCTCTCCTTCACCGCTCTCGTCATTTGCCAGGAATGAGGGACGCTTGCCCCGCATTCCTGTGAATCCTGTGGGCGCCCGCTTGTTTACATCGCCCTGGCCCGTGACCAGGCGGTCGAGGAAGTCCTGCAGCAGACCCTCCCGCAATCGTTCCTCTTCCAGGTGCTGCAAGACGTCGGTAAGGCGGGCGCTAATAGGGATGAGCTTCTTGCCGCGCACGCCCACAAAGGCAAGCGGCGCCTTCTTTAGCCGCCGCCCGTTCTCGGAGTAGAAGTTATCCGCATCCTCGTCGGCATAGTCTAGCGGATCGGGTGCGGATCCAGCTCCTAGCCAGTTGCCCTCTGCGGTGTCCCGGTCCTCGTCCTTTTTGCCACGCATCCCTATAAAGCTGGAGGTGGGCGCCCGCTTTGCGACGCGTCGTTGTTGCTCGGCTCCCGGCGGCTGTGTAGTGGCGGAGGAAGAGGACGACAAGTCCGCCTCGAGATCGGCGTCCGCTGTGGCCGCCAGCAGGAGCAGCAGCAGCAGCGCCACTGCGATCGAACTGCTCTGAGTGAGCATTGGACGTTGACTGCTTTTAGGCGGGAGTGAAAATCGAGGCGATGCTGGAAAGGCAAGCGAAGGTGAAAAAATGCAAACGAAAAGATAATTTTTATATAAAGAAAATATTTTAAAATAAATTTAAAATAAATCTATAATTATTTTTCACATTTAATGCATAATTATTTTCTCAAAAACTTACAACATTTAACTGCCAGAGGAAAAACGAGGCAAACACATATACATAACTAGGAAAAACCCCTTCAAAAATGTTTTCCATTTCATTTCCTGTTTTGTTTGTTTTGATTTCTTTTTGGTTTTGCATACATTTGCCTTGGTGCACTTAGACTCACAAATGCCTCGCGGCGGCGGCGTCTACTTGACCTTTTTGCGGCCGGGTTCTGGGCCAGAGTGCGGCATGAGTGGGTTAAGGCATGGGTTAAGGAGCCTCCTTCCTTGAACGAGGAGGAACGGGGATGGCTTTAGCATGCATATGCAAACATTTTCGCTGCTCGTTTGGCGAGATGCAATCGAGGGAAATTGTAACGGCGGCGGCTGCTGCTACTGCAGCTGCAATTTATAGTTGCCAGACCAAGGCGAAGGCTACACTCAAGAATTTCTTGATTATATTTTAGATATTTGGATAGGTTATATAGATTTTATCCGTGAATAGTATATTTAAGCTATAAAGTGGAACAATTAGTTTATGTACAAGGCTTTGAAAGAATAGTTGTGCACTTTAAGATACAATATCTTTGTCATTTAATTATATATTTTTGTTTTATTTAGAAACTATTCCTTCTAAAGATATTTTAAAATACTTAATTAAATATTACAATATTACAATTACAATACAAAATATGCAATGTTCCTATTACAAAATTATGATATATCGACAAAATATCGAAAAAAATCATATTATGTAATATATCGAAATTTAAATAGTCGAAAGTACAGGGTTATTTAATATTTAATACATGTATCTTAATACAAAATATATCTCTTACAGAATAAAAAAACAGCGCACATGTATTGCAAGGTTGAAATAATATTTTATTTATCGACTTTCGGGTCAAATATCGATATAGAATCGATACAAGCATATTTTCAGCCATTCTCCACCTGTTTGCTATTAAAAATGCATTTTGTTTAGTTGATTTCTAAGTGCAACTTCCACAGCTGGGAGCTATTCTTAACGAGTTGACGCCATGCATGATTACGCCGCTGAGTTGTCGTAACAGCCACGCCTTGTTAAGTTAAATTGCCATGCAAATGGAAGTGCCTCTGGCTGCATCTGCATCTGCATCAGTAGCTGGAGCTGAAGCTGAAGCTGGATCTGACTCCTCGATAAAACCAGGGACTGAAACAGGAGCAATTGGTGTTACAGCCGTGGCGACGTCTAACGATGCGCACAGGAAACAACAAACATGTAATTCAATTGATTGCCACCGGCGGCGTCAACCGCAAACAAGCAAACATTGCACGTCGGACGGTGGCTGGGGGCGGAAAGTGCTGGAGCAATTCAATTGAACTTAGCGACATGCATTTGAATTGAATTGATGCTGGCTTTCGCCACAATCAACAGGTTGTCCAGTACTTAAGCCCCCATCATCACTGTTATGACTATGACTTCGTCGCTCTGCCTCCAGCTTTGTTTGCCTTGGCGTTAGAGCGAAGCTTAAGTGCCAAATGCCCCAAAGTTCTAGCCTTTTAAATCCCAAATTATACAAGCACACAGACCAGGGAGACGGCAATGGAAAATGTCAAAGGATCAGCAGAAACTTTAAGGTAACTATGGGATGCGTCTTAAAAACGTAAAGGTTCTTTTTCAAGAAATATGCCATACTTTTATTGATATTTAATATTTCCTTTAAGATCTTTAAATTGTACTTCTAAAAAACCGCCAAATTCCATATTTTTGATCACATTTCAAGCCTATGTTCCTGATTATCCCACCGTGCAGTGTCCAACTAATGCCACTAAAGTTTTGCTGCTGCAAAATTAACAGGCGGCAAATGTGCCGAGCTTCCGGTTCTCAAGCTACCTGTCCCCGGCTCGACATGCCACGTCCTGTCGGCAGGATGTCAAGCCGACAGCAGTCAGTCGGACAATGGACCCGATCTAGGACTAGTCCGGAGGATTGCCGGCTCCCTCAGCCCCTGCCTTAATGTGGTGGTGTGCGGAATGCGGCTAAGCTGTTAACTTGGCCATGTCTGTTGTCTAATTGTCTATGTAAGCCACCCTGCACCCTCTATCCGCCTTGTTCCCGGGTGTGTTCCCTGGTAGGTATGTGTGCATATCCCGGAGGACACTTTAAACTGCCGACAGGCGTGTGAGATTAAAGACGTGCCAAGGCGGCCTACGTCTGGATTTACATTTCGGCCAGGACATTGTGTGCTCTGAGTCGGCTTCCTGGTGGTGGGCGGGCAAAATAGGACTATTAGCCCAGATGGAGGCCTCCGGATTCGGACCCAACGAAAAACAGAAAACAGAGCACAGAAAAAGGGAACCGGAATGAACAGCAGAGAGAAGAACGTATGAAATTAATAATAAAACAACATGGAAAATTCACTTTTTGGCCAATTGCCCGCGGCTGCATTCCCATGTCACCCTTTTGGCATGCGAAGAGGCCGAGTTTCGGGCCAAAAACAAACACACGGACACACAGTTAATGCATAAAATATGAGGCGTGACTGTACTTTTGAATCAACTTTCTGTGTTTGTAGCCGGCAGCTGCTGCAGCCAATTCGGAATTTTCACCGATATCGGAACGTGCGTGCGTATTTTAAATAAATTTACATTTATGTCGGCGGAGCGTCTACGGCATGTCGATGGCCCCTTAAGGGAGAGACATGGGTCTTTGGGAAATGCTTAACCTAATATAATCATAATGTGCTAAAAGCTAAGGATCATCTTGGGCTGAAGCAATTTCAAGAATTCTAGGAAGAAACTTCAGGAATATTATTTTTAATCAACTCAGTGGAGAAGGTTAAAATATAAATTGGGGCTTGGTTCTCTCTTTTGGCAACCCGAAGATTGTCATAAATCGTTTCGAGACCATCATCTCAACGTCAAACTGGAAATTCCTGAGCCTAAAATTTCTCTCAAACTATTTGTAGAAATCTTCATGAGGAGGATCAGTCTGGTTGTTGATGAAGCTTGATAGGGGACTCAGGTTCTGTGGAAAAGTTGAAACCACTGGCACACGCCCAACAGCACCCGCTTTGCTCTTGATCGAATCATCTTTAGAAAACAACTGAAGGAATTCTGTTCATCAGAAATAGAATCTACTGATAGCCAACAAATCGCTAGGGGCCTGATCCCAAGTCAATCTTATCTCAGGCTTTTGTTTATGTCCACAGTAAAGTCGAATTAGAGTGTAAAAACTATTAAATAAATACATTCTTTTAAGTTTATTTATAATTTAATTTAATTTAGGAAATATAAAAGTATCTTACATTATATTCAGATTATTAAAAAACCCTTAACAAATCATTTATAAATATTAAAGAGTTCTTTCTTTTTTTGGGTACTTTAAAATGGATAAAAAAAAGTTTTTTTTTAAATTATATTAAAATTATATATAAACATTTATTAAAATGAGTGGTCCTATAATTTCTAACTAAAGAAGAAAGAAAACACTAATTGGTTTGTGTAATTTTAGCTTTCCCTTAATTGCATTTCCCCGAGCTGCAGTGTTGCTGGCAACATCAGAACCATGCTGCGATACAAATGTTGCTCAGCTTGTGTACTATGGGGCAAAAAGCACTTTTTTTAAACAAAACCAATAAAACAAATTTTAATTTAAAAAATATAATTAATTAAGTATATTTTGTAGAGTATTTAATCTTCTTATACTTTGTGACTTTGTAAATAACTTTGATTTGGTGTGTATTTGGTATGGTAAATTGCAATACCAATGAAATATTATATACAATTAAAAAAATATATATTGACACTAAAAATATAGAAATATTTATTATAATAATTTTATTATTATTAATTTTAAAAATTTCAGACCACGAACAATTCTTTCAAAATTATATTTTGTTATACCTAACTTGATTATAAAACTAGAGTTAAAAAATATGGATTAATTTTTATACAGTCAGTTAATTTCAATCTACTCAAGCGCAGTCTTACACACAGCACGGTATTTATAGTCTGCTGTTTTGCCACAAAAAATAGACGTTTGTCCCACAGTGCAGTGCAATTATTCTGGCCTCATGTTGCCAGTCTCGGGTCTTCGGTTCTACACTTAAGCGGGGTTTCTGGTCAACGCACGATCAGTTTGAGTTCGGATTTAAAGCGGAACGACAGCCTCGCCTCCAATATTACACTAACGGTCGCATTTGTTCTTCGTGTTCTTTGTGGCGCTGATCTAAATAAAAGTATTAAGTAAATACATTTTCTGCTTAGTGTCAAGCTATCAGCGAGGTGAGTTTCTCCTGAATATTTAGTGCAGTATCTCCATTATACGATCCCGGATATCCACCCATTCGTGCGCGCCAAAGAACCAACTTTCACGACACATTTCAAGCAGAGCTAACGGGGAACACAGCGGGGTCTATGTAAATATTATTTACATTCCCTATAGGGTTGGGTTTTGGGGCAATGCAAAATAATTGAATTGGGTCAAATGCCTAAAATGTAAAGCCCTCGGTCCCGTCGCCGATCCCGTTCCGATTCAGTATCAGTATTACAATTTGTTTGCTTTTGCTGAGCATAACAATTGTCACGGCTCCCTTATATAGTATGTATGTTAATATGAATGTAGGGGGAGTTTTTCATTGTAAATATTTTCATTAAAAGGTTAATTGCCATCTCAGGGACTTTACTTTACATCTGTAAAGTCCCCCCTTACTTTCAAACTATATACATCCTATATAAGGATCCGTGGCAATTGTTATGTTTTGCTTATCAGGGTTGAATCTGCTGTAGATCGTTCAGGAAATCACCGAACGATAGCAGAAGGGAATCACAAGCTGTAATCAGCAGTTGGGAAATGTACTTATTTTTAATTATTTCTTTTTTTGTAAAGGTGATGCTTAAAACTTTTAAAAATGTGGCCATATTTTCATTAAAAAACCCTAAATATTTTTGATGAATAATAACTCACACAAAATAACAAAAAGAAAACTTCTTCAAGCGGAAAATGCCCTCCAACTTTTAACTGAGGACTGTGAATCATCTAAATAAATATTGTTTATACAAAAATAACATAATGATGCCTGGACAAATACTCTCGGTTTAAAATAATCTCCCGGGAATCCGCATTGAGAGCAAAAGTTAGAGACAACACAAACACACGTAGCAAACATATGTCAAATCGCATTAGCTGAAGACATTGAGGCGAACAAAAAATAAAAGCAGTGCGGCGATAAGAATGAATCCGTAATAAACCGTATTCGAGTTCTGAAGTGAAGAAAACAATCTATTACTTATGCGAAACAGCTGCTGTTCAGGTCAGATACAAGCGTATGAAATTTTAGCCCCAAGTATCCAGAGTAAATAATTGACTTGGGCTGAGCTTGCATTAATTAATGAGAACCGTTGGGAATGCAGCAGCAACGTGCCCGAAAGTTTCGTTTCACTCAACTCCCGCGTTGAATTATGGGCCGGGATAAATGGAATTAATTCCAAACAGTTTGCAAGCAAAACAAACAAAAGATTATATCGTTTTGTTGTCACTAAGCAATTGAGCCGTGAACTTCAATTGAAGCCTCCCAGCCGAAACGAGCCGAGCTCTGCGCCGAGATGAACTCAGTTGAGTTGATTTAGATTGAATTCCCAGGAAGCGGAACGGGTTAAGACCAAATGCCAGGAAATGTCAGAAGAAAATAGGAAATAGACTGACCACTTGAATTAGGCGCAGCTCGCAGCTCTGACTTAATTGGGGCACGAGATCACTCAACTGATGCCCTAATTAGCATTGAATATCAGTTATAAGAAATACTCACATTTTACGAGGCAAGCAAACTGCGTGTGCAACAATAATTCACTGACAAAAACCTTATAATAATAAAATACATGTAAAATCCGCCAAGCTCATTAATTAAATCGTATCTAGATAGTACATATGTATCTTACACATGGAACTTTGGGAAATTGATGACTAAAACTGAGCTTTAAATTCGTTTTAAATTGTTATCAACCCTAAGAATGTATTCAAAATGATTGGTTTTAAGTTGATATCATTGCCAAAATATGTAAAAATTTTTTTTAAAGTGGAGTAGATTTTTCCGTTGACACAACATGAAAAGCAACAGAATCAGATAATTTTAAGGCATTATTAATGGAAATTTCTAAGTCGTAAGAGGTTCTCAGCGTTATGAATGTGAAATATAGAATTTCCCGGGTCTCTCTAGCTTTAAATCTTATAATCTAATAATCATTTTCATGTATTATTTTTCAGAATGAAACTGGGCTTAGGGATCCTGGCGGGGACTCTCTTGCTGCTGGGAGCCATCTCGTGTATCTCAGCGAATCGTACTTTCACAGTCGACTATGAAAACGATAGGTTTCTTAAGAATGGCGAACCTTTCCGCTTTATAGCGGGTTCTTTTCACTATTTTCGTGCTCACCCCGGCACCTGGCAGCGACATCTACGGACCATGAGAGCTGCCGGTCTCAATGCGGTTACCACGTGAGTTTTTGTTAATTAGTTACGGAATCAAATAGGTAAATAAACCGTAAACGTATGACAGTTATGTAGAGTGGTCCTTGCATAACCCCCGCGATGATGTCTATGTCTGGAATGGCATAGCCGATCTGGAGCACTTTATTCGCCTGGCTGTGGGCGAGGATCTGCTGGTTATTCTACGGCCAGGTCCCTACATTTGTGCAGAACGTGACATGGGAGGCTTTCCCTACTGGCTGCTCCAGAAATACCCGGGGATTCAACTTCGCACAGCGGATGTCAGTAAGTAACCCACAGAGAAGCATTCTATAATTCAAATTACTTATATCTACCTGTGTTTACTCCCCTCAGACTATCTCAGCGAGGTGCGCATCTGGTACACGCAACTCTTCAGCAAGATATCTCAATATTTATATGGAAATGGCGGACCCATCATCATGGTTCAGGTGGAGAACGAATACGGCTCCTATTTTGCCTGCGACCTCAACTACCGCAACTGGCTGCGCGACGAGACACAGAGCCATGTCAATGGTAAGGCGGTGCTTTTCACCAACGACGGACCCGGCGTTCTCCGCTGCGGCAAGATCCAGAATGTCCTGGCTACCATGGACTTTGGAGCCACCAAAGACCTCAAATCTACTTGGGCCAAACTGAGGCGGTTCCAGCCCAAAGGACCGCTGGTCAATGCGGAGTATTATCCCGGCTGGCTGACCCACTGGACGGAGCCAATGGCCAATGTCAGCACGGAATCGATTTCGCAAACTTTCAAGTAAGTTTTTATAAATTAAGTAAGGTTCCCAGAGATTAATTACAGTGTTATCCTTGATTTCCCCTTCAGAGATATGCTGGATAGTGGCGCCAGTGTCAACTTCTATATGTTCTATGGCGGCACCAACTTCGGTTTCACGGCCGGCGCCAATGAGATTGGACCCGGCAATTACATGGCGGACATCACAAGCTATGACTATGACGCTCCCATGACGGAGGCAGGCGATCCCACGCCTAAGTACCTGGCCCTACGTCGCATCATCGCCCGTTACCTGCCGTTGCCCAATCTGCCGGTGCCCGAACCTGTGCCCAAGCGATCTTATGGAACTGTGCGTCTCACCAGCTGCTGCACCCTATTCTCGCCGGAAGCGCGGCAGCGGCTTTCCACGGGCTTCGTCCAGGCAGACACGCCAAAGTCCTTCGAGGCTCTGGGTCAGTACTCTGGCTTGGTGCTGTATGAGACCTGGTTGCCGAGTTTCAGGCGTGATCCGAGCATCTTAAACGTGGCCGGAGTGTCGGATCGCGGCTATGTCTATGTTGACGGAGAGTACGTTGGCCTGGTGGCCCGGGAGACACCTGCGTTTGACATTTCGCTAAGTGTCAGTGCGGGACGCAAGCTGCAGATTCTCGTTGAGAACCAGGGAAGGATCAACTACGGTCGGAAGCTTAACGACTTTAAGGGCATCGTCCGGGACGTGCGGCTCGACAAGAAGGTGCTGACTAACTGGAATATGACTCAGTTCCCGCTGGAGTCGTACGACAATCTGGAACAGCTCATAGCCCAGTCAACCGAGGCGGCTCGCCTGGGCTTCCAGGAACTGCGGAAGCTGCGAACGTTGCTTCGCACTGGGCCGGCTATCTACCACGGCCACGTGGAGATCCAGAAGGATTCGGATGTCGCGGACACCCATTTGGACATGTCCGGCTGGGGCAAGGGCATTGTCTTTGTAAACGGAGAGAATCTCGGCCGTTATTGGCCATTGGTGGGGCCACAGGTCACCCTGTACGTTCCGGCTCAGGTGCTTAAGGTGGGCTCCAACCGCCTGGTCGTGGTGGAGTACCAGCAGACGCCCACCTCGCTGGAGCTGCACTTCCGGGACACCCCTATTTTGAACGCGAGAACCGTTTAAGTCCAAGACGAGGGACTAACGACTGACGACTGAGGGCCTTTGCCACGTGCATCCATCGCCATACATCATGCAACATTCGTTAATGTAGATCTAAATGTAAATTTATGCGGTTTAAGTTCTTTGTGAGGCATTAAAGCGACCCCGGGGCGGACGCGTACAGTCTGCCTCGTTATCCTTTTGTAAGAGACTCATTAAAGATATGGGGGGACACCGGGAGCTGAGACAGGGAGACAGGGAGACAGGGAAGGAAACGCCAAGGAGCGGCAGGCTCGGGCATGTGTGACCTTTGTGCTCTGGCCAAATTAATCCCAAATGATTGAAATTGTAATCTACAGAAATGCGCTGATGACGAGTTCCATCCAAGTCAAAGGCGGTTCGAGGCAAGTGTCGCGTCTTGGTTCGTTGATTTTTAGGTAGCTCAAACTTTTTTATGGCTGCTCCGAAACCATGTCTTCAAGGAACTTTCCTAGCTGATTAGTCCTCTTAGCTACGCTTGATTTTTAGATGAGAGCATGTCTTGAAAATTAACTTATTTGAAGATACACCAACTTAATATTAAATTGAGTTACTAGCTTTGTAATAAATTTAAGACTCGAACAATTTTAAAAATACATCTAAAAATAATACAAAGGTGCCATAGAAGTCTAACGTGTTTTACTATTATTTAAAATAGAGTATAAAGCTGAATACCTAATACTTCTAAATGGAATTTGAACCCAAAAGTATTGTGGAATATTAATATATGGTTTCTTATAGCTTAATAATAGGTTTAAAGCCTTGATATATTTTTTATTATCAAGCAAATCATTCTTCTTGAGACTGAATTTTAATATTTATACCAACTTAAATAGTTTCAAAAATATTTTAGCTATCCCCAGCCTGCCCTAGTCCTGTAATAAAATATTTACTTAAATTGTGCTTTAGCCACCTGGCCTGCGCCAGTGCCTGTGTATGTGGATGCTATTTTGGTCCAGAGTGCTTTGGGCTGGAGAATCACACCCCGCGTGGCCATCTCCGGTTCCCGTAATGAGTCCGGCAGCCCCAGTTGTTGTAGTTCTTGTTGGCCGGGTTAATTAGTACAGGTAGGCTCACTCACATGCAGTGGCTTACATTTTAAAGCATCTTTTAGGCGCAGCTGCAACTCAAGTATTTGCTGGCTACACATGCCGTAATTGCCCTGTTGTCGTCCGAGTTGACATAAAACAAGTTAAGACCCAGGGGCAGTTTTAAAGCGCCACCTCATGTCATCCGTGACAGACCCCAGACCCCAGACCCCAGATCCCAGACTCGGGACTCGGGACAGTAGTGTCTTTGCGGGCGAGTGCTCTTCTAATGGCTGGCGTTGCGTGCCCGGCCACCGGATGTGTGCCATACCCATCCCGGAATCTGGTTCCCTGCATTGATGTTGCTTTTTATTAGCTCTCGCCGCCGGCTGTCAATTGATGACGTCCATCCATCCTCCATAAACAATGTTTGTGCCCTCGCCGGGCCAAAAGATGTAAAACAAAACAACAACAACACAAAAAAAAAAGCAACCTGCCTGGGAAATATCCCGAAAAAGTTTTATTGTGTGTGCTTTTTAGCACCCAATTGTAATGAGGATCTCATCGGCTAATCAGGCAAATTTACACACTGTCAGCTCAATCCCCTCCGGGATTCGTGAAATGCAATTAACAGCAGCCTCACATAGTTTCCAAAGAATCCCCCAACGATCCCATTATAAACTGCACTTTTGATGTAAGGAATTTGCCAGCATTAAGTGAAAATTTCTCTTTTTATCTTCTTTAAATTGGAGAAAAGCTGGTCAAGAAATTTAATGGTTGAATAGTAAAATTTTGTGTCATAAAAACTTGGCGACGATAATAAAGTGGGACCCCAGGAGATCAGGCGGGATATAAAATCTGTTAAGAAATTTTGAATAATTGAGTAAAAACAGGCTGAAAAATAAAATGAGAAATGTATTTTTCTCTTTTTTTTATGAGGGTGACACATTTATGTGATAACCGTATTATTCATTTGATATTTTTGGTTCTTATATTTCACGCAGTTGTTGAAATTGTGGATATTATTTTTCTTCTTTGAGTAATATATACCTATAATATTTAACGGTTTTTAGGTATCTATTTCAAAATAATTTATTATAATTAAATTAATTATGTCTTTACTCATAAAATTCCCTAAAAAAATATTAAACGATCATGTAAATAAATTCTAAAATTTTATTTTTTAAGTTAATATTTGTGATTCTTCACTTCAACTGGGCTCAAACCTAGTTGAAAATCGATATTGATAATTATATAAAAAAGGAAAAACCACTATCTTTAAGAGAATTTTTGGTTTAAACTGGATGGAACACAAATGAAATTCGATCGCACAGATTTATTTCTTAGAATTATTTTTTAAGCATTTTGCACATTTTTTAAATCATGCAGAGACTGATTAAAGTAAAATTAAAGTCTCACTTACAGATGCAGTTAATTTGAGGATTTTGAAACTAAACTTTCACTGCTCTTTGTTTCACTTTTCTGTCCTTTCTAGCTGGGAGTCGCGTGACGAACGCGCCGAGAAGTATGCAACAACTGAGCGACAGATCGAAGCAGCAACGGTCCTTTATAAAAGCAGCGGATGGCAAGGTGGAATGCGGGCGGATGGACGAGAGGCAGGAGATAGCGCCAACGGACAAAGCCGAAACAGGAAGCACGAGCGGCACCAGGACACGAAGGCAAGCCGAACGTGCTCATTCCCCTGTGCGTGTGTGTTTGCTCGGGCTCGTGCATATCAACAATTGGTCGAATAGAAACTGAGGCATTACCGAGGTGGGTAGAGTGCCTGCACCGCCTTTGTGGTATATGTGTGTGTGGATGCCAGTGGGAAAGCGAAACCGAAAGCGCGGAGTAAAAAATATGCCTCCTCGCCGAGCAATTGAATTGAACGGAAATTCTGTTTGCATATGTGAATAAAACATATGCAAAAAGTAGGCGAAATGCGAAAAAATAAATAATATATAAAAAAGCAATATAAGCGAGGAAGAGAAAGGAGAAAGGAGAAAGCAGAAAGGACAACGGTGCAGCCAACTGGTTGGCCAATTGGCGAAATTAATTTCAATTTCATTTATGGTCTTCTTGCTCTCTTGCTTTTTGCATATATTTTAATATTTATGATTTACCTGGCACATTGTTGGTTTTGTCCCGGCTATTTGTCCAAAAAGTTTTAATTAAAATTATTTACAGGTGCGGCCCATTAAGCAAACAAAACTAGTGTCGTCATCAAGCAAACACACAGCCATAACATAAATTCTGGATAAATTATGTTTTTAATAAAAAATAATACATTTATTCAACTTCCTTCTTGACACCTTTTTTGATATAAATAATATATACATTTTAATTTTTTTAAATACAATTTTTTTAGTTAAAAAAAAAGTGAAATAAATGTTGAAAGATCACTTAAAGAAAATGTAGTGTACGTAAAAGCGTAAAATATACAAAGTACATTATTTATTTATATATCTTTGACTAAAGGTCATTAAAAGAATACATAGTTAACTTCTTTCAAATTTATAAAATTCACGACTTCCAGAGTTTCAGGATGCTTTCAGAGCAACACTTCCGGATTTTAAAACAATATATTTAAAAAAGGTTTTATATTCGGGTTATTTTTTCTACCTCAGCTGTACATTAAACATTTAAATAATTCAATCAATGAATAAACTCATTTAAATTTTATGCAGAAATTGTGGAAAATGCGTCACTAACAGGGGCATCAGAAATGACGGACAAATAAAGCTGCTTTTGAAGCAGCCCGACCACCAACAATGCACTTGAGGCAAGGTCGCGGCAGCGGCATTCAAGATAAGACACCCGGAACACCCACTCGCCACTCGCAAAGGCCAAGTGGATGCCACACACACATCCGGGGGCCAGCAGTTGTTCTGGTTTGCTGCCACTATATAGCCAGTTTTTCGGTCTAAAATTAACTATGGAAGCACCGCTGCTTCCTGCTGGCATAATTTTATCGTTGCCTCCTTCCTCGAGATAAATATATATGCATATCCTTCCGCTGCGGCACCTTTGCATCGTAAAAGTTACAGTGTACGCGCTGCTCAGCTCTGAGAAAATTTGCATTTAAATTGCAATGTATTTCGGGGCGGAAAATGGCCAATTGCTCACTCCGCTGCAATTAACAGATTTGCCAAATAACTGAATCATTCGGCAACTGCCATAAACTCTCTTGGCCAGATAGCCATAGCCCCCTGGTGGTGACGCAACTAAATATTTATTCCAACCAACCATTGGTAAACATAATTAGCATTTAATTAAAATAAAATGGCCCCTCGATAGACAAGCAATTTGTGATTTGATTATCGAAATCAAATAAGACCGCCGCAAAGCCTTTTCGCTTGTGTAAATAGCTGCGCCGCGGCTGCGAATGGGTGTAACAGGACCAGATAAGGTCCTCTCTTTCGCTGGAACTCCAGCTCCAGTTCCGATAACTGCGGAATATGGCAGGCGGTTAAGTGTGCGTTTGATTGGATTATGGCCCTTTTGCAACAGCGGATGACATTTTATGGGTCAGTGATAGACAGCAAATTGGTTTTGCTTTCGATTGCCTCTATTTTTTTTCGGTTGCGGCAGTGCCACCTGTTGCACGGTGAATTCCTTTGGCTCCTCATTCTTTGAGCAGGTGGTGCAAATTCAATTTAAAATTGCACTCCACGCGACAGGGTGGTCCACAGAATTATAAAGGGATGAGCAATGGACTGGCAACTGTGCTGCAGCGAGGGGAGGTTAATTACTTATGGGAATTTTTACTTTCGGTAATGGTAAATGGTAACAATTAGGATTTTCTGCAAGAGCTGAGGAATAATACAAGAAGGTTTTTATTTTTTCAATCGACTCTCAAAGTTCTTAATTAGTTTATAGTATTAATTATGCTCCTCCTTTAACTAAAAAACAATTTAAGATTTAAAATGTATGTAAATTAATGTAATGTAAATTTAACTTTTACTGATTTTCTGTTCGAGTCTTGTTCAGTGTCATTAACTTATGGCCCTGCCCTCGTCACATTTCCTACTTTTTGTTGTTCAGATTGCTTTTGTTATTTGCCAGCCATTTATTGTTGAGCAAATAAAACGTATTTGCCGCCCATATGGATGGTCGAAACACAATTGATTTATACGAAGGGCGAATCCCCAGTTATTGAAAGTGACAAAGTAAGTATAAAAATGTGGCAGGCGAAAGAATAGTATGCACTTTAACATACCTTTTACAGAAAATTGGGGTTTTAAAACAAAAGAATCAACAAAATAAATATTTTAAAGAAACCTAAATATTTTAAATATTTTTCAAGTATATTAAAACTGAATTTAGGAATCTATAAAATAAGGTTTTGCCCATAAAAGTCTGTTATTTCAAATGTTTGAATTTCACGATCAGGATCACTTATGGTTTGTTTTGGGAAATATTTTGTATACTTAATAGAAGATTACAATTACACGGTATTCAATGAACTATAACCCCCAACTACTTGCACATAAATTACAATGACCTTTTCAAGAGGTAAAAAACAATAAATGAATTTTCTCACAACATGCCTTACACATGTTTTTATTTGAAGGATTTAAATTGAATTAAGGATTACATGTTTACAATTTTAGTGAGTATTTAAGGCTAGGCGTAGAAGCTAAAAAATTAAATAACTGGAATGATATAAACACTAAGAGGACCGTGACGAATACATGAACAGTTTTTTAAGAGCTAAACGAGCTGAAGAAGCTGAGCTGCCACGAGGCGGCCTCCTGTAGGGGCCGCTAAAGCTTGGTTTACACTCAACAATCGTATCTAGACTATATGTATCGCTTCAATTCACATAATTTACCTAAGACGAAAGTGGCTAGAGTATCGGATTTGGCCAGAGGCCCCTTGCGGGTTATTCGATCCTTATAACCCCAGCCCCCACACCGCCACTGTGGGCACACATTGGCGGCATAAAGGTCCATTTGTCTGTCTCTGGATCGTACACCTCGACGGTGGAAAGATTTGACTCGCCATCATAGCCACCGATGGCCCACAGCTTGCCCATGTTGGCGGCCAGGGCCACTCGGGAGCGTTTGCAGTTCATGGGCGTCACCAGCTTCCAGGTGTCCGTTTGGGGGTCATAACACTCCACAGAGCGCAGGAAGGAATTGCCGCAGTAGCCGCCACACACGTAGATCTTTCCATTTAGCGTGGCAACTCCCAGCCGACAGCGCCGGTTAAGCATAGGCGACATCTTGACCCAGGCATCCTCGTTCTGGTCATATCTTTCCACCGAATCAAATATCGACAGTCCATCATGGCCTCCCAGTGCGTAGACATAGCCATTCAGTTGCGTCACACCGCCAGCCGAACGATACTTCATCATTTGAGCAACCTGCAGGGAGGAAAGGGAAATTAAAAACCGATCGATCAGTTTTCCCACGGCTCTGTGGAAAAGTCTTGACTCACAGTTTTCCATGTGTTGGTCTTGGGGTAGTAAACTTCGACAGTGTTCAGCGAAGTGACGCCGTCGTAGCCGCCGCACACATAGATACAGTCATCTAGGGCGGCCACACCCACGGCGCTGCGCTTGCACAGCATGGCACAGCCTTGAGACCACTTATTCTTGCGCGGATCATAGACCTCCACCGTGGAGAGGCGTTCGGTGCCGTTGAAACCGCCAAAAGCGTAAAGCTTGCCATCCAACACAGCCACGCCCACGCGAGATCTATGTGAAAATGAGGCCATTAATTAGGGTACAAATATGTGAGTGGATAAATTACGGCAACACTCACCTCATCATGGACATTTGTTCGCCCATTTTCCACTTTTTGGTGAGCGGATCATAGATCTCCACCGTGCTCACCGACTCCCCAGTGCTGGCCAGTCCGCCCACGGCATATATTTGTCCCGTAAAGAACTCGCCACAGCGCTGACGAGTACGAAAACTCTGCAGCAGACCGCGGCGCTCGGGCATGAGGTGAAAGTCCTTGGCCTCGTCCAGCAGATCGCGACACTGGTGTGAGGAGCGAATGAGCTCCTCGCGAGCCACACGATCTGCCAGGAACTGCGGCGACAGCAAGGGCAGGCGCACTGCGGCCAGCACCTGGGGGAAAAGTTCGGATCTCTTGTCCTCCGCGTACTTCACCCACTTCATACAGGCCTCGAAGATCACCTCCTCGGTGCGTACGTTGAGCTCGTCGCGACGCATCAGCTCCAGCAGCTGGTCGCAGTCCAGCGAGAGGAATTCCTCCGACTGGGAGACTTTGGCAAAGTTCTGGTCAATGTATTTGTCGGCGGCATCGATCAGCTGGCGGCAGATCATCGAGTCGGCAAAGGTACGAATGCCCAGAACGTTGTGCGGGTGGAAGCGGGATATCAGGAAGCTGGCGCAGGCATCGCGTACGTTGGACAGCTGCAGGAACGAGGCGCCCACCATGAGGCTCTGCACGTTCTGGTTGTCGATGCGCACCTGGCCGCTATACACATAGTTGATTAGACTCTCCAGGGCACTCGGCTCGATGGCGCTCTCCTTCATGGTGATCTCCTTGATCCGGCTCTCGGCCATGTTGTTGGTGAACATCGCGTAGAAGTACGGGATGGTGGCCGCCAGCACGACGCGGTGCGCAGAGAACGTCTGATCTTCAACCTGCAATAATTCGGATGCCGTTTTATATTTAGACACCAAGATAATGACAACGCCTGCATCCGAGCTGGGGGTGATTGCTCGCCACCGACCTTCAGAGTGACATCGCACAGCTTGCCCAGCCTCCGGATCTCCTTGAACAGTGGGAAGCTCTCGCCAAACAGCTGTTCATGCTTGTAAACGAAATACTGATCCTCCAGTTGGCTATTATCACTCAAATCCATCACTTCCGCGGATGAAGAAAAATGATAAGGGACACAATAGAGATGCCAAATATTGTTTGGTACTGCAGTGTTGGGTGTGAGCGTTCGTCGATAGATGTTGTCGATAGCGGGGGTTGATGCGATAGTTTTAATGAACGAAAAGTAATTAATTTATTTATTTTAAACTAGGGAGTTTTAATCATTTATGCATATTTTTAACATTCTCAAAAAAACAAATTTTAATAATTATTATGATCCCTCGTTTTTAGTCTCTATTTTATATTATTTTTATTTTAGTTTTCTTGCGCTACCTCATCATGGTGCAGCAATAATATTTGGCGGCGCTGACAACCCTAACAGCTGATTGTGTGTTTTCTTCAGTCAGTCTGATTTAGCAAATTAATTTCCCAACAACTTTCTTGCTGCACACAAAAAATAACCACGACCTGCTCCAACTGAGGCATAGATGATAGGACCAACTGCGAGGACGGGCAGCTAGCAAGCAACATGGACACCACCGCACCACCGAGGGAGACACAGGTCAGGGCGGAGATGTCGCTAAAATTGTTGATGACGTCTCATTTTGTTATTTGCATTTGCAGAAGAACACGAATCCAATCGAGGCGCTGAGCAAAGATGAAATCATCAGCAAATACAAGGGCTTGCTCAACATAGCCAAGAAGGCCAAGCAGGCCAAGGATGGTGAGTGGCTAAGAGAAGCTTCCAGAAGCCACGGTTGACCACTTCGTTCCACTTTCAGAACTCACCGAGGAGAACCGCATGCTAAAGGAGGCCCTGAAGCGGGCGGCGGAGAAGCAGAGCAGCCTGCCAGCCATGCAGGAAATGGTACAGGAGTTTACGGAGAAGAACCTGATCCTCACCGAGCAAGTGAATACCCTGAAGCGAAAGACGAAGGAGGATAGTGATCGCCTGGAGCAATTCGAGATCGAGAACGAGAGCCTGAAGCGCCAGCTTGGGCGGTTGAGTGACGAGAACGATGACCTCTTGGCGGATGTGGACCGCATGGAGAAAGCCATGCAACAGGTCAATGCACTGGGCAATGAGCAACGAAAGAACCTGGAGCTGCTGGAGGTGGACATAGCAAAAATCAAAGAAGCGGAGGCGGAGAACTCCCGCCTGCGAGAGCAACTAGTCACGGTTAACGAAGAGTCAACGCTTTTCCAGCAAAAGTATCAGAGCATGAAGGAGCTCAACTCCGAGCAGCGGAAAAAGTTCAACTCCCTAAAGGATCGCTTCATCGACGTTACTCGCAAGCTGAAGAACCTGAAGGAGTGCAAGTGCGTGCTCCTGGAGACACAGCACGAGTACGCCGCCTCCGTATCCAAGTGGCAGGCGGAGATCATCAGAGCCTCCCAGCTTTTGTGCGGCAAGATGTCTTCCCTGCAGGCCGAGAATGAGCAGCTGAAGCAGGACACCGGTAGAGCGGACAATAATCGACGGAATGACGAGGATGCACTAGATCGAAAGCGACTGCTGCTCAGAATCAATGACCTCGAACGCCTGTCCAAAATTATTAAGCAGTCGCAGGAGCAGCAGCGCAGTAGCCTCGATGTACAACGTCTTTTGGACAAATTAAGTACGATCGAAAAGCTGGCAGGCATCGTTAAGGAACAGCAAAGGGCGGACAAGGAGCACTTGGCCGCCGTAACCAGGGAGCAGCAAAAGAACGAAAATCATTCCAGCAATCTAAACGTGGCCGTCTTCCAGACTAAACTCTCGCAAATGCAAGGCCTCGTCCAGGTCATCGAAAGGGAGCGCAGTAATCAACAGATACAGCTGCAGGATCTGGAGGCCATGTGCATAGAATTGCGCCAGCACAACGAGGACTTGCTCACCCGCTTCCACCTCAAAGAGCAGGAGCATTCCGAGCTGCTGGCCGAGATGCGTGAACTGAACGAGGCGCTCAAGGGACGTGGCGATGCCATCTCCCGGCTCCAAGAGCAGCACGAAGCGGAAGTCAAGCGGCAGCGAGAGTTAGAGGCCCAACTGTCTGGGAGCCAGCAGGCGACGCTGGAAAAGTTACATATAATCGAGCAACTCCAAGGCAGGGTTGACGAACTGGAGCAGGCCAATGCTGATGCCCAGAGTGATGTACTCTCCACGTCTACGATATCACGTGCCGAGGAATTGAGTCGCCTCCGAGAAGTGGACGAAGGCTACGAGGAGAAGTACAACAAACTCAGGGCCCTGGCTGCAAAGCTGAAAAAGAAGCTGCAGGAGCAGACACAGCAACTCAAGGAGATGGATCAGAGTGGGGCTGTCAATCAGGAGGCCCTCAAATTGGCCCAGGCCCAGCTGCAGCAGGACCTGAACGCCGCGCGCGCCGAGAACCAAAAGCTTAAGTCCAAGGAGAAGACGAAGCACTCGAGTGTGCTCAATTTGGAGATCGAAGCAGCCGAGAAATCCCTGGCCGATGTCAGTGCCAAGTTGACTGCCAAGTCAAGCGAGTTGGAAACCGTTCGAGAATCGTTATCCAGCAAAGAGAACACCATTGTCCAGCTGCGCAAGGAGATTGCCATTTTGGAGGAGGCCAAGAACGGCGAAGCTGCGCACTCCCAACAGCTAAAAGAGCAGATCGATCGCATGCAGGTGCAGGTCAAGGACGCCGTTCACAGCAAGCAGCAGGCACTCACCCAGAACAAGGACCTGGAGCAGGGTGTGGAGAAGGCGAAGGCGGAAGCGGAGCAACTGCGTCTGCAGCTGGCGGAGAGTGCCCAGCAGTACGAGAGCCGGCTAAACAAGTCCACCGACCTGCTTAAAAGTCGAACAGAGGAGCTGGAGGCGCAATTGGCGAGCGAAAAGCAACTAAAGCTTGCTGTCCGAAACGCAGAGCGAGCCCATGAGGATCTGCAAATGGAGTACACGGAATACAAGCTGAAGGCGCAGGCGGTGCTGCGAAAGAACCAGACTAAGGGCACCAAAGAGCAGGAGCTGGAGGACGAGTTGAACGCCTTGAGGGAAAGCGAAAGTAAACTCCGGGCCAGCAACGAGGGAAGAGCTGCACGCCTTGCTCAGTTAGACGGCCAGCTCGAGGCACTGCAGCAGGACAATGCCGAGCTTCAGAAGCGCAGCAAGGAGCTGCTGGCTCTGGTAGACGAACTGCGTCAGAAGAACGATCTTTTGACACTGGAAAATCAGCGCCAACTGCAGTTCGAGCACGACCTGATGCAGCAGCATCGTCAGGAAATCGATAGAATAGACGCCGGCCATCGAGAGCAATTGAAGCAGATGGAGCAAAAGCTGGAAGAGTCCCACCAGAAGCAGCAGCTCAACGTCTCCCAGCGCAGCAACACGTCCGCCGTAAGTGGAGAACCCAGTGCGGAGCAGGCCAAGATTGACTTCTTGCTGATGGACCACGAAACGAATTTAGACAGCGTTGCTGGGGGCGACCTCTCCCTAGCCCAGCTGGCGGCCCAGCGAAAGATATCCACTGCCTCGAGACGCTCGCACGACTTTATGCCACTGGACGAGCTCCTTAACACTTCCATGAACCAAATTACCAGCGACACAGTCACCACCATATCCAACTTTGGCCGCAGCGTCTCCCAGCAGGAAGACGATGAAGCAGACTTAACCGCAAGCGGGGACTTTGCCGTCCACAATGCCCAGTTCCAGGCCACCAAGGAACGGTTGGTAATCCAGGAAAGCCGTGTCAAGCACTTGACTTCCCTGTTGGCGGAGAACGAACAGGATCTGGCCAAACTGACCCAGATGAACGATATGCTCAAGGAGGAATTGCGCCGCCAAGAGCGTTCAGAGGAACGGGAGCAGCATATGCATAATTCAGAGTATTTGAAGAATGTTTTCTTAAAGGTGAGTGGCTACTTTAAAAAGAGTTTCTCTAGAACTCATTTGTTCAATTATGCAGTTCCTTACCCTTAACAATGCCGATGAGCGCCAACGCTTGGTTCCCGTGCTGAATACCATTCTCCGATTGAGTCGCAACGAGATGGAGATGCTGAACTGTGTGGCAAAGGGTCAGAAAGGTGACTATTATTGTAGATTTTTGATTTGGAATTCCGCTTAAATGTTCCCTTTTTAGTATCCACAGATGGCAGCACTCGAGGCTGGACGGGATTCCTGACAGCGTGGAGCGGAGGAGGAGGCGGATCCCATAACAATAACTAGGTGTTGTCATCATCATAGAGATTGCTAAATAATTATTGGGTATTATTGGATGTTATTAGATGAGGCCGCATTATGTAAATCTTGTAAAATTTCCTTTTTTTTTTTTTGTATTAATGTATTTTGAAATTGTCCGTTGCTGTTGGGCACACTGTACTTTGTACACACTTGTGGCATTTGTTGATATTCTCCGAGTTGAGCGCCCTATACAGTACTCTCTGAGCAATATACACGTGTATGTACGTACATTCTTTCGTATTTAAAAAAAAGAAAGGTATTTTTCAATGGTTTCTTTAATTTGAAATTCTATTACCATATATAGATCAGACTATAAATCAATGCTAGTGTTGTCTATAACTTAGTTTCCTTTACTTGTATCGTATGTACTATATATATATATGAGCTATATATAAATAGGATCGGTAATTATGCATATACATTAGATTTACTAAGAGTGTGTGTATACCGTCTACACGCAATATACGAAATTAATATTTAGTATTTAAATTAACATAAAATGGATTAAAATCAAAACTGAGAAATCAAGTAAAACGAGAAACATAGGGGGGCTTAAAACGATGGTGAACGATCCAAATCTCGGATTTTGAAAGCTTGATAAAAAATGGGTTAAAAAAGAATGCGCCAAAATCAAGATCACAAGAGTCGAAATATCACTTAAAAAACTAATCAGTTGTGTGAGCCCGGGTCGCATTCCTTGTTGCTCTAAGTTATTGCCAAACGCCCGCATAGTTACCCACCAGCGTGGCCGGAAGTGGCCCGCCGGCTGCAAACAGTCGCATCCTTGTGCTGTCGTAGCAGTGCGTGTAGATGGCGGGCACGTATTTCACCTGCTGGAAGCCGTCCATTTCGTCTTCGGGATACTGGAATAAATCCAAGATGTAAGTTCAATGAACTTTAACGATTGGTTGGGTCACAACTTACCACAATACCTTTGCTGCACTTGAGGGCGACTGTGCGCGAGGCGTTCACACTACTCTCCAGATACTTTCCGGCACGGATGTCGTAAAATAGGAGCATGCCCAGTCCTGTTCCTACTGTCAGAAGGTTACCCTCGAAGGAGGTAGCTCTTATCCCGCATCCGCTGTACCGGGACGTGATTTTTTTGATGGTCTGCAACGTGCGAGCATCCAGCAGGATGGTGTAGGAACGGCAGCCCACAGCGTAGAGGCCGTCGCTGTGGTAGGCTATGCTAACGTTGTCCTGGCAGTTGGGAAGCTTACGGGAAAGCGTCTGTTTGAAGGTCTCCGCATTAAAGATGTGTATGTAGCCGTTCAGGGAGAGGGCGGCAATCTCTTTGAACTCTTTGTTGAAGCAGAGGGATCGTATCTGTAAACCAGAGTATTAATATGTATCCTAGATGGGCAGCTCAGTCAGATTACCCTCTGGGCAGTGCGAACTTCCTTGACGCTGAGCGGGTGTATCGTGGCAAAGGTGGGACACGCCTCCTCACCCCCATCCGGGAACTCCATATGGTCCTCGTTGATTCGCCACAGCGCCATTCGAGAATCCTTCGACCCGGATACCAGGAACTGGTCATCCAGCCAGCACATGCCCATAATGAGGTCGCGGTGCCCGCTCTCACCCACGCACACCGGGTCCAGTGTGGGCAGGCGATACACGGCAATGTCGGAGGAGTTGCGCGCCCCGGTGGCAAGAAAGGAGCGGCTGGGCGACAGCTCGATGGCGTGCAGACCGCCCTGCACCTCTGGGTGGTTGGCCCGGCTGTTGGAGAGCGTCGGAATCGCGTCCACTCGCCGCATGTTGACGTCGTATACGAGCAGTTTATTGCACTTGGTGCCGAACACCACCTGTCGGCTACTCAGCCACTTGGAGCAGAATACCTTGTTGATGTAGCCCAGACTGATCTGCGTCTCGCGCAGCATGTCGTGGGTGAGGACATAGCGGCTGGTGTACTCTACGTTCACGCTACGGCGCTGCAGGGTAGATGGCAGAGCAAAGTTCATACGTTAGAAATAAAAGAGATCCGGCCCAAAATACCAGGTATACCCACATCCCGCAGGGAGCTCTCCCGGCTGCGCAGGTAGTCACAGAGGTTGTAAGACGTGTTCAGCACCTCCTCCTGCTGCTGGGGCGTCTCCTCGTCGCTGCCCGAGTCCTCGTAGGTGACGAAGTCATCGGGCTTGTCCGGTTTTCGCCTGCGCTCCTGTCGCATCGCCCGTTGCTTGGCCCTGCGCTCCTCCAGCCGTGCGTTGACATGGCAGGATGGGTAGGTGCCAACCACGCTGTCGCGGATGGTTCTCACCATGCCATTGAACATCTTGGGGCGATTGGGTTGCTGCCGTTTTTCTGTCTTTCACCAGGTATTAATTACTTTTTCACCGACTTCATTGTCCAAACAAAAATGGTGGTGTGCATATTAGAGCGGAGTAGGGCCGAGTCGATAGCTTGAGCATGAGCGATAAAGAGAAGGTGGCGCTAATCGATAGTTCACGACATTGGTGAAATAAATGAATTAAAAAATATAAAAGAAAGATGTATATATATAAAAAAAAAGAAAAACCTGGATTTTAAAATAAATAAAAAAATAAATAATAATTTAATTTAATTTCGTCATATTAGGACAATCGAAATTATAGCGACTATCGATAAATTCAGCGGTTGTCCACCTCTATCAGAGAGGTGTCTGTACTTGCATCAGCTGTCCGTGATCCCAAAAGATTTGTTTGTAAATACGATGAATTACAATGCCAAGCGCGTCATGCGGCAAAATTCGGTGTGCATCGGTGCCAGTGACTTGGCGTCGCCCCCCATAATGATTGGACCCGCTACGCCCTCTGCGCCCAGCACGCCGCAGCTGCAGACCCCGGAGGACATCAAGCCCATTCACGTGCAGCGCCAGGTCATTCTACTGCAGAGTGGAAGCATACCAACGAATCCAGCCCAGCAGCATGTGAACATACCCCCACAGAGTGGGGCAAGTGGCTCCGCTGGCGCTAACGCGACCAATGTGCAGATTGCAGACGACGCGCCTGTTTCGCTGTTGACGGAGATCGCCGACATCATGCGCAGCTTCGGGGACAGCGATCAGCCGCGAACCGCCAGTGTCAAGCTGGTGGAGCAGATCCTGCAGCAGCAGCTGCGCGGCATCTTCAACGAGGCCTCCCTGGTGGCCATGCGGCGCAAGCAGAATCCGTGCCCCTCGCAGGCGGATTTCGAGTTCCTAATGCGTAACCATCCGGTGAAGATTGCACGCATGCGAAAGCACCTGAAGGACATGCGAATTCTGAAGAAGTTCCTTAGCATTCGCACAGGTCGGCCGCAGGACTTTATGGACGACCTGGAGCAGCAGGAGGAGGACGAGGAGCTGGCTATTGATGTGCACGAGCTTCACGACGAGGATCGCATGCGACGCCTGTTCCGAGCCGATCGCATCTCACAGATCCTCACGGGCCAGCAGTACCTGGAGTTTAACGAAGCGCGGAAGACCTCCTTCTACTGTCGCCACGGTGAGAAGATCAAGAACAAGTTCCGGCGCTTCCTCGACCTACCCGCTGACCTGCGCATCCCCACGCCTACCATGAACATCCTGGCCTATTTGGCACACGAGACGATTGCCGCCATTGTCGACTACTCGATTCTGACCCGTCTCAATTCGGACAACCGCGCCACAGAGCCATACAGCCGGGTTACCTCCGCCGGCGGCAGTCCAGCCATGATGCATGTGTGCCCTGAGGTCACCCAGGGACGCGGAATGGAGGTGGTCAAACCCATTAGTGTCCCGGAGATTCATGAGGCCATGCGCCGTTTCCGCCAAATGAGCAGCCGCAAGATTGGTCGATATCGGAACTCGTGTGACATAGATTTTAGGCGGAGTTTTTTAGCCATTTAAATTTTGTTCTTAATTTTCGTGTAAGCCTAGTGTTACTTTCGGTTGGGACAAGGATATGCGCCATTTAATGTGTAATTTGGTTATAAAGTTTTTAAAGGGAACACAATCTAAAACAAGCCTATTAATGAAGTAAGAAAGCCAATTTGAAGATCTTCTAATTACACTAATTAATTTAGTTAGGTTTAAAAAATAATTTTTTGCAAAAAAAACCATTTCATAACCATTACAAATTAAATTCAGTTTTATTTAACAAAAATATTGTAACAAAAATGTTAAATATGGAATGTTTATTTTATTTTACCACCTATTTTATGTATTAAGAAATTCGTTTTAAAACCTTTAAAGTTGGCATTAAATAAAGTAATTATTTTCTTAAAAAAAAGCATCGTCAAGTTATACATTTTGCAAACAAAATTTAAAATGCGGTATAAATTATTGCTGAAGTTGAAGCTACTAGGAAGACTCTGCAAAAGTATTGCCTATTTCTCGGCGGCAGCATCCGGCGCATTTTGTAATTTCCATTTCCTTTTAATATAAGTCTTCTTCCTTAGTTTCCTGATCCAAAGGATGGAATTATATTGTTATACTATTATTTTTTCAATAATAGCCTAATCCTAATCCCAAATGCAGCATTTATTTGAACATTATTTCAATACTTCTATGACATCTTCCCTCTTCGCTTATAAATGTCTATGTTTTCCGAAAGCTGTGTTTATTTTTTAAATTTTAAGGATTGATTGGGAATATGGTTGCCAGGTGAGTCGGGTAAGCGCTCCTTCCATTCCATTGGGATGGTTTCCTGGTTATTGCGGCCGACACGCTTGCACATACCCACCTGCATCACCGTCATATGGAGTCGATAAATTGAAACGGTAAACGATGCTGAAACTGGCACCGACAGATAAATAAAAGCGCAATAAAGAAATTTGCCGACATTCTCACTCCGCACGTGCGGAAGCAGGACAGACACAACAACACACAACAACAACGACGGGAAGCAGCCAGGACTTTGCAGAAGCCCGGGAATGCAGCAACGAAAGGCATTAAGAGAAGCAACTCGCGAACGCACTTAATAATCAACTTCCTCGCGTGCATACAAATATGTGTGAGTGCGGCGTGCAGGAAGGAGAGGGATAAAGGAGTCCACAGCTGCACAGTTGCATCCTTGGCTTGGCTCCCTCGTTAGCACCGGGAAAAATATGGATTCCACATTGTATTTGATGTGTTAATTAAGAAAAGAGTGTTACTAATAACAATAGAGTGGCATTTGCTAGTTGGATTGAAAATAATAATGGTTATTCTGTATTCAAAAGGCAAGTGAGATCGTACTATTTATCCTATCTATCCTTCGCTAAGTGTATTTGTATGCCAGGCTGTTGTGGATGCGAATCAGGGAGGAGGCCTAGCCAATTTCTAGGGCTCCCCCCCCGGCCGTCATCGGCAGGCAGACTAAACGCTTAATGTTGATTGCTCTCCTCTGCTGCAACTGTAAATCCTACGGCCCATTATTCTTAATCGATTGCTCATACGCCTAACGAGCGACGGGCCCCAAGTCAAAAGCTCCTCGATGGCCAGTTAATGAAAACAAGCTGCCTGTGACGAAATTAAGCCAACAACTTGTTTCTTTTCCGCCCATGGCCTTGCGCCAAGTCGTCCACTCCACTCCACTCTTAGTGCTACCGAATTTGCATTTCATGCGGCTCCTCGCGCCATCATCATCGTCATCGTCGCCGTCGTCGTCGTCGCTTCTACGAATTGTCAAGTCACGTAGCCAATTTCCAGGCAGGGTAAAGTCAATATGCCCCAAACCCAGATCGCCGAGTTGGCTTCGCAGAAGGAAAAAAGGACAGAAGAAGGTATCTTTTTGATGCGGTCATTTTGGCCTTCAAGTCTCATTGAAAGGGAATTTTTTTATTATTCGGGAAAATGGCTTTAACTTGGTTTAACCCAATTTTTTGTTGAACGTTGTCTGGAATAAACAAAAAAATAATTATATTTAAGTAACTTTAATATATTAAACTAATGTAAACCAGTAATTTATAGAAATAGAGACTTATTTTCGCTCTTACATTATAATATTTCTTTGATTTTCTTTATTAATTAATATTTTTTGTATATATTATTTGGGAACTTTGCACTACAATTTTAAGTAAATCAACAATCAAAATCTTAAAAGTTTGTTAATCCGTGAGAATAAAAGTCGAAACTGGAAGAAAGCCTCTTTCTCAGTCTCTTTTCTTTGTCTCTGCCTAATCCTGGCAAGAATTGCAATCGTTTTGCTAAGCAATTAGATATTTTTGAAAATCCGTTCGGCTGAACTTTTTTAATTACTTTCACTTTGGCCAAAAGTTGCTGACGTCAGCCCAAGGCAATTTGTCCCAATGGCAGCCCCGAGACACCATTGACAGATGCCTCGCAGTAAGTCCAAGGAAAACAGAGGCAGAACCAAAACAAAAACAGTCTCCGAGTCGCATATTACACGGCCTTTTAATTTGAAACCGACTTGAATTGTGTTGACACAAGTACTCAGGCTAAATACGCTGAAGCTGGAGCCGGTCTTATTCAAAATGAATGAGATTAGACGCCTCCAACAGACTGACCTCCTAATCCTCCACGTCCACGTCCTTGTCCTCCGCCCACTGCTTCTTATGAATATAACCTGGGGGCGTTCTCATCGCTCATTGTCACTGGTGGCACTGCTTTCATGGTCAGGGCACTCCCGAGCGGAGTGGGAAGGCCGATGGCAGTGTCTGTGTGTGCCGGTGGATGACAGGTGAATCGAGTCGAGGCAAGAGCACAAAGAAAATTGTCTTCATTTAATTAGTAAAGTGGCAGAAACAATTAAATATGGGATAAAATATCAAAATACTTGACCTACTTACTCAAAACCGATTTAATTATCTTTAAGGATGTTTTCAAAGGGAGAATAAGGTACATGTGTGTATCATGTGTGTTGAAGGGAATATTATCAATTAAGGAATTACATTTTAGAATTCGATTCAAGGAACCCAAATGGAAACATTTTACTGATGTCTTGGGTATTTTTAAAGGGCCAATGAAAGCCAGTGGAAAGATTTTAAGGTCTTAGAGCTAAGCTCAATTGTTTGCAATATAAATATGTTTTATTTATATTTAAATAATTATACACATATTTAATTATTTTGATATGTAATGAAGTAGCCTTTGGGTAAAATGAAACTCAAGGTTAGTTTAGCTTAATACAGCATAAAGCGGTGTTGTTATGACCTTCCGATAGCCTCTTGATCTATAAGCTAAAAAAACAAGTATCGCATTACTATATATTTAATTTTTGTCAATAAGTTGATTGAATATGTTTATTTAAATATTAAAAAACTTTAAAGTTCAAGCCAAAGATTAAGTCCTATCCTACTAATTTCTATGACTTTATGATACATTTTATACCCAGTTCCTTTGATAAACTCATGCTGAAACTCCAGAATTTGAAAAACTGGTAACAGTTTTCGCAGGCCAAATCGGTTAACAGTAGGAACAGGCCTGCGCAGTGGACAGTGGGAACAGCATGCAACAGTTTGCTGTCGAAGACCAAAACACCCAGAACCCCTGATGAGTGTCAAATGGGAATGGATTATGCTGGGAAACGAATGAAACACACCGGAATCCTTGGTTGCAAAGGGCGGAACGCGTATCGAACCATTCCCATTCGGAGGCTGTTGGTTACATCATCAGGCACTGAAGGGAGACACGACCGGAGGTAAGATTGAGACCTGAACTTGGGAGACGGAACCATGACTGCATGGCGGACATGACCAATCGAAAAATTAAAGAAAATTTTAGAGTTTGATGAATATAATGCCAAGGACATTCAGTCAGGGGATGAACCACACAAATGGACACTGAAATTTCGTACCTATTTTTAATGTCAAAAACCAACAAAAATGCAGCTAAAGTTCAAAGGAATCATAATTTTGTTGATATATGTAGTTTAATTAGACATACTGGTAATTAAATCTAAAAATATATTAAAATTATTATAATTATAAACGCATTACAAACACCCAGCTGAACTATACAAATTGTGCAATAAATTATAGGAGCTTTCCGTTTATTTGTTATTGGTTCGTCGCATTAAAAAGCCTTTATGGTTTCCCCCGCAAATATGAACTATTTGCATTTGCATATACTATTTACATTTTAAATGCCTCAATGAATGGTATTTTTGATTATTTTTCGCTAGATGCAATGATATTTCAAATTATTATTTTTTTATTTGGAAAAAATAAGTGGATGTAAACCAAATCCGCCACAAAAACCAAGGGTCTGGTCAGAGACTAAAGCATTTTTAAGTGGCCATCAAATTAAATTTAATTATAATGTATTTTGATACATTGTATCTCCCTTTCGATTGCACACTTGTCTGCCCTGCGGATAAATTGCTGCGAAAGCGCCTAAATGTCTTTCGAATGAAAAAGGTAATGACAAACTTTTCGTGCGGGCGCCACAAAGAAATAGAGGAAATTCGCAAGCGTTGCCCTCAAAGTTGTTGCACTTTTGTTTGAATTTTCTTAGCTCTTTCATGCTCTCGTTGCCGCGAAAAGTTTCCCATTTTTTGTTTCCACGAGGGTCTCCGTGTGACTTTTGTGAGGGGCGAAGGAGGATTACCTCGCCGTCTTCCAGCGGCAGCTGCTTTAAAACTTTTGATTTTGATGCTCTTCATACATATGCTACATGTGTACTTTTAAGAGCCGCCGGGTGAACTTTCCTTGGCTCGACTCGGAGGAGGAGGACGAGCAGGAAGCCGCCTAGGGGTGGTCTGCGGTCGAGGACGCCGCTGGGGTTTGGACCTGTCTGTCAAAGTTTTAATGTGTGGCTGCCTAATTTGCTGTGAAAACTGATTTGCACATAATCAAAAAGGTCGGCTCGCTCCCCCTCGAAGGTGATTGTCACAAAAGGCTGATTATTAACTATCATTAAATTGTTTAATTATTCTCTATGGCCCGCTGAGTGTGGTTGTTTCTTCTGGTGGATTAATTATGGCAGTTGAAAGCCGTGTGACTTTGCATAAAATCCATTTAATTAACAATAGTTTCGAGTGGGACATTTAATCAATGTTTCAAATAATTAATAGAGAACAAAGTTACTGTTGTCACTTTGTCAGTGCATTTAAGTGCAATCTCAAAAGGAAACTTTATAGTTTTTCTGCAAAGGAGTCCGGGGTAAAGGGTGCTGTTGGAAAATAATGAGAAATTTAGTAATTATTTTCTTAATAAGAAGCCATATTGCAAAATGTTCTTCTTTTTATTTTTACTACAAAAAACTAAACTTTTGAATGTTAATAAGACTTTTAAGAGGGGTTAGATTTTCATTATTATTTTTCATTAAACATAAAATATAACTTTAATTTTATATTTTATATAAAATCAATTTAAATAATGATGTATAAGATAATGTAAAATAGGTCAAGTTAAATTTAAATTTTTAGTGAAAAATAATTCGGTAAAAATTCATAAAACAACATTAAGTCCTCGGATTTTATTTACTAACAATTTCTGTTAATGGCAGTTGTTTGAATATATATACATTTTAAGAACGTCAATAAAGCTACATATATCCACAGGAATAACGTTGGCTTAAAAAGAGACGAAGCTCTCCCGCTGAACAACCTTCAGTTGGGGAACAACACAAACACACAATGCCAACAAATGAATGGAGAACAAGTCCATTGATATCTGCATTATGCCATGTCAAATTGGGTGCTTACGTTCCAAAAATGCGCACTCACACCGACACAGTGAGTGTAATTCAAATTCAATCAAATCTAAAATTCATATTTACCGACTGTTTGCTTGTCGATTGCCATATTATGCGCCCGGAATTGATACTTCCAGCTTCTGCGATGGCTTCATTGAATAATGCAGGCAGCATTTATGACGGGGGAGCGATAAACTCGCTAAAGAATTAGCACAACAGACGATGATGGACTCTTTAAAACCGCCGCCGGCTTCGCTGACCCCAGAATGGGTAATGAGGTCAAACCGTGGGCGGAATAAATCAGCGGCGAGCCCATCGTAAATTCCGGGACTGCTGCCAAAGATTATTAATATTTTCCATATCGCTTTTGTGCGATTTAATACTTTGTTTGAGTTCTTGAAAAGTGAGACTGGGCAGCACAATGGCCAGCTGGGGACTGCATGCAGGCGGCGCAGGACTTCGGAATAAATCAAGTTGGGGTCCGAGACCCAGACCGAGACCAAGACCGAGACCGAGGCCGGGAATAAAAATCAGCGTCGACATGCAGGCCACATCTTTAGCGTTGGCGTTGGGCCCAAGGGGCGTATACGCAACCACATGCGAATCCCACTGCGAGGTGGACTCCTCCGAGTACCAGTCTCAATCAAACAAAGAGCTGTATGCAGCCTGCTTAAATGGCCAAAGTAAGGGGCTCCAGCGATTGTCCAGGCTCGGTTAGCAGATTTTCCCTCTCCCATGGAAAGGCTTGCAACCCATATACAAACAATGGCAAAGGGGCCAGGCTGGCTTAATGAGTGTAAGCCACAAAATCAACGAGTTAAATCGTGTAAAGAATGAAGCTGAACCCTGGAAACAGCCTGCATTACACCCAAAGAATTTTTGAAGTTATATAAATCAAATTTAAAGTTTTTAATATTTTTGGTAAAGGGAATCTTGACTTTTAAAGAAGGTTAAACATGAGTCTAAAAAGAATTGATTATTTTTCGTATCTAGAGAATACCCTTAAATATATTAAACCAATATTCAAATATTATTTTAATTTTTTCTATTGAGTCCTTTATCTACAAAAATATTTATTTTTTAATTCTTCATAGTTTTTAATAATCAAAAATTGTAATATTATTGGTTTTTAAATTGTTTCCCAACTATTCAGTGTAATTTCATTCCTTTAATTTCGTTTTTTAATTAACCGCACTCTTTTACGCGACTGTCAGGGTCCTTTCAAATTGTTGAAGCTGCTTCGCTCCCCAAATTGGGTTGAAGCGAAGGCAAACAGGAGTTAATTACACCAGCTATGTATGTATGCCTGCGGGACTTGGCCACTAGAGATTCTCTCAGTGCTGCGTATATTCTGCACTGCAGTTCGTCCTGTATCCGTGCTGCACATTTATCAAATTCTAATATGCCAGCCCGACCCACAACCGCCAGCTGTCGACGGCCTGCGGAATGGATGTGTGCCTTCCTGCTTACAAATGCCGCATGTTGGAGGAGCCTCTCCAGGCTCCATCCCCGGACTCCTGACCAAACAATGAGAGACGCCGCAAAGTATGCAGCAGCACGGGCTCAAAAACATTGCTTCATCAATTTGGGCTCAAAGGAGGGCCAAGCTGAACAATGTGGACATGTTCCCGGACCAGAACAGCACAGCGCAGAGCAGCACTAGCCCAGCCCAAGGGGACAAATCAATGTGGGTTAATAATTTGTGAACAAGGCTCCGTCAAGGGCCCAGTGATTGATTCGATAAATCAATTTACAGAACTGCAAATCGAATTCTAATTTGACTCGAGAAGGTGCAAATATGGACATGAATTCTATGCACTTTGAATTTAATTGCCGCAAATACTTCGAAACGCATTCCTATTTAAATGTTTGTGTATATTTTATGTCCGCTTTTGAGGGAAATGCATATAATATGCGGCCCAAAGGGTTGGCATGGCCAGAAACATCGGTCCCGGCTCGTTTGCGGTCTGCGGCTGCTGATTTACGACGACAGTCTGTCATAATGTGGCATCGCAGCAGGGTCTTTGTAATGCAATGCAATGCAACTGAAAATGAAACTGACAGTCGGGGCAGGAAAGAAAATCAATTTGTCAATAGCAATCAATGCGAATTTAAAGCACTAAAGCGCCCTGCAAAACTGTTAAACTTTTAATTCCATTTGGACAGCGTGGGCCGGCGAATAAATCAAAGTCAGCCAAGGGTCGCGTCGCCCTGTCCCGCTCTGAATTAAAAGTACCAGCCAGCGGAGCAACAAACAAACAAACAATCCGGCGGATGGCCAAACAAACATACAGCATGGCAAAAGTTTTCAATTTCGCTACAGTTGCGGCCGTGATTTAAGTGCCACAACGGCTGCGACACCCGCCAACCAGTCGGGGATATACCATATATATGCGTTCCGATTCGAGTCTCGTTCTCGACCCGCAAACAAATGCCTTAAATAAAAAATAACCGGTAGGACAAAGAGTTTCAGCTATATGATACCGGGTTTTCTTTGTGTCTTCAAAAGTGAATGTATTTTTGAAATATTTTTGACTACAATGACTTTTGTTGTATGGAAGTTTGGTTTAAAAGAAGTAGGGGTGTTAAATATGGCTTTATGAGACCTAAATGACAGACTGGATAGTCAAGATAGTATAAAAGTGCGTTCAATTATTTCCCCGTTAAAAACAAATACTCCTGTTCAAGTACAGGGTATATGGTCCATGGCAAAAGGAGTCCCATCAATTTCCATTGGCAGCCATAATTTGAGCAATCATTTAGACATAACGTAAATATACAAATGCCTTTTGTCTAAATTGTTTGATACAATTCCGATTTAAGTGTGTGTGCATTCAATTGAAATTAAATGCAATTGTTTCTTTATTGCCAATCCCGTGCACCCTGGCACTCGCTCACGCCCCAGCCGAGGCCAGAGAGTCAGCCAGTCGAGCGTGCGATAAACAATACCACATGCATTTTTAAAAATTGCCTGTATTTGAGATTAACGACATCGGCCGTATTTATAGGCAAAATGTTGATACGCTGCCAGGAACAACACTTGGCCAGCCACTTCTGTGAGCTCGCTCCGGCCGAATGCTCGGATATGCATGCTTTTGGGATCCGTCGTGTGTCGGTCGGTGTCTCGCCAACGAAAAAGCAATTCGACAGTGGACACGGGCACATCAAAAAGCTCTTAATGGATTTTATTCATAAATAAAAAAATATAAATTAAAATTAAAGACAACGACAACGACAGATAACGAAAAATGAGAACCGGAAACCTGGCAACTGGGTCTCGACATATAATGTGAACCCATTTTTTCTGAAAAAATCTTTTCATCGAAGGCTATGTGACTGTGTTATCACTTCCGCTGTGACGAATCTCGTTAAATCGAAATCAATATTGCAGTTCGATATTTACTGACAAACCTCTCAAAGGCCATTGTTTGAGCCAGTTTTCAATGGGAAAATCCACAGTGCCTCTGTTTGAATATTTATTTGTTTTTGTGTCTCGCGCTGCACTGTGCTGCATAAAAAATAAATCGAGAAACTAGAGGCGTTGCGGAAAAAGGACGACAAATCGGGGTGGAACATGTTTCATAAATCTTATCCGCGATTGAGCACAGCTCCCCGACAGCCTTCGAACGAATTTGTTGTCGATTTTTTGGCCGGCCTTCTCCTTCTTCGGTTATTTTTTCGCCGAATTTTTCTTTCGCGTTGGCTTCGGAGAAGGCTTCCTGGGAAGAGGGGATGGCTTCATGGGATGCGGGAATAGCGGAGCCTCGGTGGGATATTTCTGTTCCTTTGGTTTGACGTCCGGTATGGAGTTAGCCTTTACAGGATTTTGGTGTATGTTCAGTCCGTAGCCGGGGAGCGGGTCCGAATGCTGGCCAAAGGAGACGAAGGACCTGGGATTCATGAACGTCTGGCAGAGCGGGGCCTCCTCATCTATGCAGACTGATTTGGGCGTGGGCGAAGGCGATGAGCACACCTCGGATTGTCTTTCTCGACACAATTTGATCACCATTTTAAGGGCGAAGAGCATGGCCATCAGCACCATGAGCAGCACAAGAAGAGCCATAGGCCAACGAGAGAAACTCCGAAAAGCCGAGTGACTATTGGCCTCCGCTTGGAGACTCTCATCCAACTGATTGGCCACCTCCTTGCGTAGTTTGTGACAGTCAAAAGCGGATAGGGTGCTGACCCAAGCCTTGTACGGAGCGGGCAGCTCGTCCGGCCACCAGCTATCCCAGAGCGACGCCAGTTCCGCTTTGGGCAGAAGGGAGCCGCAGTGGGAGCTCACGGCGGTTAACCACTTCTGGCACTCAGGGCCATTCAGGTTTAGTCTGCAGGCGGGATTCATTCTGGTTCAGCAGCAATATGTATAGTTGTTTCCCCTTTTGATTTTTCCACATTTGGCTTTGCCTGCTCATGTATAATGAAATTTCATTTATCTTGGTCTGAGTTGATCTCAGGAAACTGGACATTTTCCTGTCGTGCCATAACCATAGTTTTAATTAGGGTCCTTCTGACTTTTATATTAGCATAACCGTTATATGTATCTGGCTAAAAATTTAGGTGTTCTATCAAGATATTAATAAGGATGACGATTCTACCTTAAGATATAGAATTTCAGATCTACTAAAACATATGTATTGTAGAGTGCAATTTGCTATAATGTTTAATAATCTTACTTCTTTATTAATTCGTTTTTTACACTGTTAAAATCATTATAAATACATATTTCGTGCACCGTTTCCTGCCTCAGTTATTCGATTTTTCTCTGCGACCGAGCTTGAGGAATTTGGTCCATTGTATCTTGTACTTCTTGGCAGGCTTAGGGCTCTCCTTTCCCATACTGGAGGCGGTGGTGCCGTTGGTCGATGGTGATTCAGCTGTGGGTGAAGTTTGGCCCTCTTGTCGAGATGATCTCGGTTGTGAGATGCGATCGCACTCAAAATAAGGATTACAGTTTTTCAAGAGCCGCGATTGAATGCTAACGCCCGAGTTTTCGGTGTTAGATCTGTTCGTTGAGCGAACTTCCTTACTTTGAGACCTGTAACTTTTACCCCCCGAAAGTCTTTGTTCTTTCTCTTCTTTTTTCTTTCCTTTTTTCTCTTCCTTTTTCCCATCTTTCTCCAAGTTTTGGCCAAAGAAACAGCTCCAGGATATGAGCCAGATCCAGAGGCAGATCCCAAAAAGCAGTAGAGTTATCATCATGCAGAGGGCCACGGAACTAACCTCGAAATCGGTGTTATCCTTCTGCTCCTCCAGGTCACGTTTCATCTGCAGACATTCCTGTGGCGTGATCATTTTTTGTCCATCTCCTTGAGTGATGTAGTCTCTTAGTTTGCAGTTTTCCATGTCGCTTTTAGTTCTTTCTATTATGTCAGTTCGTAATTTAGATCGTAAAGTTGGCAGAAAGTTTTATTCGGTAACCAAATGAAATAAACATCAAGGTTTCCTTTATATTTTCTGGAATGTATTTCAAAACCCAAAATATTATAATCTTTTAATATAAATTAGGGTCCAAAGAGGTAATATTGATCGGGCATCAAACCACCTTTCTTCTGCGATTCCGAAGATGATGACGACTCGGAGCGCGGAGGGGGACGAGGCGGAGGGTTGGGAATGGGGGGAATAGTAGGATCCGGTGGGCTCGGTGAAACCTTACGGGTGGAACGTGGTGACCTTGGGCTATCAGAAGGGCTGGAAAAGAGTGGGTACGGTTCGCTTTCAGCTGGTCTATTGGGCCGATTGCCAGGCGCCTGCTGGCTTCGGCTTCTAGGCGATGGCCTTGCATCCTCAGAACCTTGCTTTCGTCTTAAGAATGTCGGCAATCCCCAGGATGTGGTTGGCTTAGAGTTATCCGCATCGTCGTCTTTTCTATTCTCTGCTGTAATATGATTAGGACCGTTACTTAGTTCAGAGTCCTCAGAATCAAATAATTTATCAGGACCTTCGATGTAAACTTTTGGTGTAAAATAACCGGAAAAATCGGATTCACTTTCATCCTTTTGATCATCTGGGTCGCTCTTGCTTAACTCTCCCTCGTTGAAAAAGGGTTCCATAATCTCCAAGGGAATGGGGAAGATGACATTGACACGTTTCTCAGTCGCCAGCGATGAAAGGATTTGAAGATGCCTCAGCTAAAGAGGATAAATTTGGGTCCGGATATCAATGTATCTTTCTAAACCCACCTGTAGGGCAATTTGGTTCTGAGACATCACATCAGAGGCCTCCTTCAGCGCTTTCGAGGCCTTGGCTTCGCCTTCGGCTAGGATGATCTTGGCGCGAGCTTCTCGCACAGCCTCCGCCACGCTTGCCAGGGATACCTTAAGGTTGGCCGGAAGCGAAATGTCCATTCTGTGGAATGCAGGACGATCTCTTGAGTATAAATGTCGGATTTAGCTCGCGGCTTACATGTCCACCCGTTCCATATGGACCCCCCATCGGGCGGTGATCCCAGCCACAGCTTCTTGGATCTCACGGGATAGCGCCTGCCTAGAGGTCAGCAGCACGTTGAGCGTCTTGGACCCAACGATGTTGCGCAGTGTGACCTTGGCAATCATCAGGGTGGCCTCGTTCACGTTGTCAACTTGGATGATCGAGTCAATGGCGTCATAGATGCAATAGTATATGACCGCCGTCACTGTGATCGTGACCGAGTCCTTGGTGAGCACTTCCTGGGGAATTACCTTGTAGACATCGGTACGGATATCCACCGCTTGGACACCATCGATGCACGGAAGGAAAAACACCAGTCCGGGACCCTTGGCGCCCTTACGGAGGCGACCCAGGCGCAGGATGATCAGGCGGATGTACTCCGGTACAACGAGGATACAACAGAAAAGCGATAAGGGGAAGAAGAGAACCACAAAGATCCAGCAAATTAACACGGCACACTTCTCGAAAGCCGAAGCCTTATCCTCCTCGGCTGCAGGAGACATGGACGGATCAGCATTAGGCTTGAGTGAGTGTTTTCGCTTTCCTTACTGGTCTGAATGTACCGACTTGGTAGAGGTGGTTTCAAGCCGCCTTCTTTTTCAGTTAAGAGTAGGGGTAAGGGATGAGCTCCTTGGTCTTTCGGTGGTTCCCCTGGCTTGCCTTCGTTTCGATTGCTCATATCGAAAAAAATGTTTAAAAACTTGAAAATAATAAACCCAAAAATATGTGTGATGTATGTGATATTAATTTACTTCAAAAGTTGTACTTGTGAAAAACGATACTATCCAGCAATAACAGTCACTGTCATCAATTTATTCATTCTCCTTCATGCAAGCCTCAGGAAGATGGGGAATAGCTTTAACACAAAGCAAAACCCTGGAGATTTTACCAAAATATTCATTATCTACGAGAAGTTGAAAGGGGAGCAGGCAATACTATAGAGTTTCCCATTAGATCAAAATAATTTGCTGTTGGTAAGTCGGGGGAATTATGTATTTTATTAAAGGTAATTTCAAATCCGGATTCCTGTCTGTTGTCCAAACTCAAGCCACACAAACCATTTTAAGCTAACATCAGCCAGCGGTCTCGACGCTATCAAATTTAATAATTTGCATATTCCGGCAGCGTGGAGTAACTGGAAAACTTAAATTTTATTTGGAATTGCATTTTTCATGCAAGTTTGTTGAATGGCAAAGTTTTTTCTGGCTGCCAGAAAAATAAGGAAAAAAAATACAGAAAAATAAGCGGAATGGTCAAAAATTGGGCGAGAGAGTCCATTCTCATACTAGAATTGGGGGAAAATGAAATAGAAGGGAAAACTTTATCGCAGAGCGAAGCTGACAAAAGTTTAGGGATCCAAAGAAGTAGTAGAACTTTTGTTTTCTCGCCTTCACTGCCTTTATTTTTTGTTGTTTTTTCTTTATTTTTTTTTTTATGAAGCGACAAACAAATGGCAACTGACTGACCAGGCTATGGAGCGGGTGTCGGAGCGGGGTAATAACTTCGAAATGACTTTTGTTGCTTCCTTGTGGCAGTCTGCAAGTTGGCACTGCCTTCTTTTTTGCCTCCGTGACCACATGTGCCGGCCTGAAAGAAAGTTTTCCCAGGGTGGGCTGCCCGGATTCATGGCCCGGTCGCCATCATAAAGTAATTTATGTGATTTGCCCATTCTTCTGCTGACCCGACCCCAGAAGCCGCCCAAGTCCGCCCCTTTCAGCTCCTGCCGCCATTTATATCTGATTGCAAGTGCAGCGACATATGGCCGGACCACAGTCCGAGTCCAGCCAATTATCCTGGCGCGTCACATAGAAAATTACTCTATTATATTTCGCTCAGATGACGGATAAAGTTATTAGTCCCCAAGGAGGGTGACGCGACTCCTGCCACTGCGAACTGCGGACAGCGAACTACGAAACAAAGAGCAAATGAATGTCCTGACCCGCTCTGATAAACTAATCCATCATTGTCACTTGTCAGGACGGACGATGGAAGCTCCCATATGGGTTGGGACCACCGAGAAAGATAACTGCAGCCGGAAACAATGCACTGGGAACTCTTTTCCCAGGAGCTCTGGAGGCCACCTGTTGTCCGTGGTCCGACTTAATGGCATTTTCATGCTCACTCAGAAGCCGATGCCAAGGCAATTGCTTCAATCATCGGTGATTGCTGCTGGACGATAAGTGTTGAGCTTGTCAATTCACTGTGGATGGATGGAACAATCAGTGGGAGAGTCTATATTAGCAGTGGGGTCTAGCACTGAACAATAATATATACCATTCTAGGCTGGATTTAACTATTTTCTAATGCTTTAAGATATTACGTGTGTGTTTAATTTCGTCAAAGTTGGCTTTGGTAATAGATTTCCAATGTAAAATGTCTAAGATTATTTTTATTTGTTAAATATTTTTTCAACCTAAAGCTTTACACAAAATTTTAAGTAATTGCATTTGTTTTTAAACAAAATTTGTAAGTGATTTTTCATTTCAATAAACTTTTGGAGATATGCACAAGTCAACACCAATGGGGGCCACGTGGTTGTCCAACCTTTCGGACTTCCAAGTTCAGGCCATCGAGGGACTGAATGTCGCCCTCCAGGACGACGAAGCTGTGGGAACTGTGTACCGAACCCGGTTCTGCTTGAGCCAGCTGGGGGTCAGGCCGATGGTAAAGAGGCGTATGTTGCACAAGCTGATCCTAGCTTGCCGTGGCAGCGACCTGGCCTTTCTCTACTTCCTGCTGGAAGCCTGTTACAAGGCCGCTGGCTTCGAGTACAGCGAACGCATCATTATGTCGGCCATCACCTACCTGGACCTGGAAATGACGATACGCGAGTTGGATCGCATTTTGCCGCCGGGCGTGGAGCAGATAAGCCGCAGATCAACGACGATTGCGAGAAAATTCATCTTTTCACAGCCCTCAAGTCTCACTGTTCCTCAACAGCCCTCCAAGCCGAAGCCCGTTCGCTCCCCCTATTTCATGCCGCTGCCCAAGCCGAAGGTCCGTCTGGCCAACAACTTATCCAGCCGACCGCCTCGCCACGTGGTCACCTTTCCCTTTTGGCCGGCGGGTGAGCGGCCCAGTTATAATGTAAACGAGGAAAGCCGCTGGTTCGCCAATTACAAGTTCCAGCCCGTGCGGCGAATGCTCTTAGGGATGCTGGATGAGATCATGACCGAGTACTGGACCCAGGTGGGTGCATCAAAAGTCGACGGTGAGGCTCTCCTGTGTGAATTTCACAAGGAGGCGCGGCGCCAGGAGCAGCTGGTCAAAGATGCGGCTTTGGTTAAAGCTCATCAGCTCTGTCTATCGCTGGTGGACACTACAACGCGCCATGATGAAGCCTTAAAGAAACGCATTGTGGCGCAGCTGGACAAAGATATCGAGAATTGCACCCTGCGCTGGCAGCGACTGCGCCAGCGGCACCTCACGGACGTGACGCTCCTGGAGGACCATGACCAAATGTGTGCAATGGGGAAGGTGCCCACGGCCACTGAGTCGAACAAGGTTAAGTACCTGTTCCACGAGGAGGACATTGCTAAGCTGAATAGTTCGCCCACGATGGGAGTTCACGTGGTCACCGGCCAAAACACCATCAGTCAATTAAGCACAGTGCGGGTCTCGGATCCAAGCGACGAGGCACCCTGCCCAATAGAGCCGAACGAGGAGAAGCCGGCCAGGTGCCCGCCCAAGCTTTTCGGTCAAAAGAAGCCCAAGCGACGGGTGAGCATGACGCCAAAACCAGCTGAGGCAGAGCGACCGACGAAGTGCAAGAAGCCCTCGAATCAGGGCCGCTTTTTTGAGGGGCCTCGAGAGATCGGCCCCTTCGTGTTTCACTACCACGAGATCCCGCCGAAGGAGCAAAATCTAGCACCCAGGGACGTAATTTGGCGGCAGATCATCCGATCGCTTAGAAAGTCGGCAGGCAGCTTCCCATCCAGCGAAGATGTTTACAACGCGCGGATACAACCGCGGGAACAAGTAGTGGCCGCTATCGTCCAGTGTGCGGAAGGTATGTGGTTTGGATCTCTGGAGGCCCACCAGCGAAGTCAATATTCCGATCTGGAGCAGCCTGACCCTAAACCATCTTGCGAAGAGAAGACCGCCCTGGAATGGACCAAGGAAATAGAGCGCTTTGACCCGGACAATCTCGAGCAGATGAAACGTCTGCTCCGGGACGCATTTGCCATACTGCGCCAGGATCCGCGGTGTGTCTTTGCCTGTTTTCCCAACGCTCACGAGTCAACCGTGGTTCTAGAGTGGATCAAGAGGCGATACGGAAAGACGTACAGCCATAAGGAAATCAACCGGGTGGTACGGCAAAGTCTGCCCTTGTTCTTTAAATTGGAGCACAAGCTTAAAATAGTACCCAAAGTCGAAACCAAAGGCATTAGCAACCGCAAGTACACCTACGCTCAACATGCCAGTGCAGTGAAGCTGGCCAATGAGATAAAGGCCGACTATAGCGAGCCGATTAGTAAGAAGATCCTCAGCGTGGTCCGCGACTGCTTGAAGGCCATGGATCCACACCTGCTCACAAGCTCCTCCATGCTAAAAAGCTTCTATGCCTATCTACCCGTTCGGTATGCGGACATGATGCGTTAGGAAGCTCTACCGGTCCCCAGTCCGGGGACTAGGGAAAGCTATAAATTTTACATATTTAACATAATCTGTTATTGATTTTTAAGTATTTTAACGTTTTAAGAATTTGACATTACAAAAAGAATATAAAGTAATATTTAATCATTTAGAATTTGTAACTTTATTGCTTCAACAGGACATTCATCAGTAAATAAAGCCAAATATTGAATACTCCTCTATAAATTCTCAATTTATACTTTACATCAATAAAGAAGGGATGTCAACATCCCTTTCCAAGTCCTTTATAACTAAAATTCATTATTTGATATTGAACACAAGAAAAAGCAATTTCAAAGAATCAAGGCATGTGCCACAAGTTATTAACTTAAATTAGGGCAATATGAAGTTTGTGTAGCTAGTAAAATACAAAAAGAGGAAATTTAATTAATGAGCGACATACAAATAAGTGGATGGCGTGCCGTGGCATTGGCTGGCATGGCATGGCATGTCCTGCCGGATCCTGGATCGCCGCAAAATTCATTGAAATTACCGAGCGTGAAATGAGCAGCTGTCACAGCGGCACAAAGGAGACACACTGAACGAACGACTCAGACGAGTCCTGTCCGACATGCAAAGCCAACGAATCCGACAAAGAACGGAGGCACACGGATCCGGTTCCAAATTCCACACTAAAAATTATATTAGGGGTAAGTTTATAGACATCCCTATTATATTTATGTAACAAATAAATAATTAAATTTAAATAAATAAATATATTTAACTTTGAACTTTAAATATGGTTAATATTTATAAATCTCTTTTTAATTTCGGGCAAGCGATTTTCCTGGCGGAATTCTGGAGAGGAAACCCAGAACGACGCGATCTGTCTGTAAGGAGATGAGAGCACGGTGCGACCCAGACAGACGGCGAATAGCAATTTGAAATTTCATTAAATTTGTCTTTCTGCACACGCTCTCCTTTGCCACTTTCGGTTTCTTTTTTTCGCAGCCATTGTTCGGCGGCGGCTTCAGTGAATGGTGTGAAAACAAAAACGCGCCATGGAAATCAGCACAGATGACTTGGCAGCGCCTGCTCCTCGGAACAGTTGCGGCCACTGAAAGTTTCGAATAAATTCAATCATGTCCAAACAGTTTTGGCCCGCAGTTTAGGCCATAAATTAGTGGGTGAGTGTGTATTGCAGGGTACGGGAGCTGTTAATTCCCGCAATCAGCAGCGGCATTGTTGGCCCTGGCATAAATCTGGACAAGCGATAAGTCCATGTCAGGTCGAGCACACATACATAAGTATTGCCCAAGCCGGAAATGTCCGCTGTCCGGATAGCGACTTCAAGGAACCGGAGCAACAAGCGACTGAAAGATAAAATCCCTTTTCTTTTTTTGCGTTTCTCGTGCGGATTTGTGCGCCCGCTAAAGTGCAGGAAAGTACAAATGCCGTGACATCCAGACATCGGTGCTGGGAAATGGGGAAAAAAGGGGCTGGGTCTGGGGCTGGGAAATACGTAAATTTGCCAAGTGAGTAAAAATGTGAAAATGTGTTGGCATTAACAATGCCAAAGCTGAGCTTAGATAAAACGTGAATGTAAAGAGGATAAGAGCGGGAAAAAGGAAAGCAAGGGCTGCAGGAGGAGTAGGGAAAAGGGCAGGTCAAGGAGGAAGGAGCAGAAGCTGGGCAGGTGACCACTCTGTCACACACTATCGTGGGTGTACAAGCATTCACTCAATGCCTGAATACTTTCAGTGAATGTTATATGAATGTGTAAAGTATGTAAACAGCGGTCCAGCACAAGAAACTTCTTTAAAAAGTATCGAAATGAATAACCATTATGATAATAGACATGATTAGAAAATAGTTTTACCAACTGGTTTCTGATAAGTAAATAAGCATGAAGGACTGCAGTCAGTGCATTTTCTCCGAGCTTTTACTTTCGCGTTATCCTGTGGCAAATGGCACATTCTACAACTTCTATGGCAAAACCCTCTTTAGAGTACATCCATGTGCGTGTGAGCAATGCTCCCCGGCCATGCTAAGACCCAAGTTCTTAGACATGTGTCGCTCGTTGTTCGGCACAATGTTCTCTGCGTTGTCAGCAAAGTCCTGGCCTTGACTTAATTTATGCTCCGCAGAAGGTTGCCGATATGCATAAACATGTGTTGGGCGCTCAACTGAGGCGTATAAATGTCTTGCTAATGACACTCAGCCACCCACAACGAAACACCCGCACAAGAAAGTCCAATTGTTATTTAAATTGCGTGTTGACTTTGCTTAAAGTCAAACATTCGAACAGATTCCGGGAAGGGCTAGCAATTTATGCGATACGGATGCGGATACGGATAGGGATCTGGGGGATTCCGCCGCACACAAAGGGAGCTGAGACTCGGGGCTCGCAGACAATCGACAGTGAAAACTCAGCCAGAAAACCACTAACGAGCACATTTACCCTGCATTTTTTGCACCACTTCTTTGGTGCCTCGTTGTGTGTTCTTGTTTCGCCTTTTCCATTCATCTCTTCCACTTCATTCATTCTTGTGTTTCTGGGCCCTCTCCATTTCAGTCTTTTTGGCTTTTGGTTTTCGGTGTTTCTGCGGTCACACACTCCGAATGCATTACCAGCTGCATGTGGCTAAGTGGAATAGGAAGAGGAAGTGGAAGTGGAAGGGCTTCCGGATGAGCACGAGGGCGGTGGCCAGTGAATATGGGTTCAAAGACCCTCTTATGTATCCTTGTTGAGAGCAGTTTTGGTTTTTTCCACAGCTTGCTGTTGTGGCATTTCGGAAATATGTATAAATAAACAAATGTATTTTTTAAATAAAAAATAAAACGAGGATTTTTCAAAGGATTTCAGGTTTAAATTTAATTTCTGGTATACTTGTTGAAGTTAAAGGTTTGTTAACAACTGGATAAACTCTTCAAATAGGAATGTTTCATAACTTTAGGCATCATATTGGCAACAAAGTGTATTAAAGCTTCGCTTCAGTAATGCAAATTTTCCTCTTATTTTTGGCCTAGTTATCGCCATCCGCGACTCTTGTTGCAGTTGGTCGTAACTCCATTTGGCACTCGTTTCATTAACGTGTGGCCAGACTGAGGCCACTCGCAGTCTGACCAGCCGACAGCCGCCAAAAGCCGGCCTGAAACCAGTCAATTTGGTGGCTTAAACCCCCCGAAGCTCACTCGGATTCACAACTAATGCTTCTCTCTAATTATTTCGACATTTTTGGTATGGAAAAAAGTTTGCAATAAAATCGAAAATTGTTTTCTCTTAATTAGATTTTTCCGAGCAAAATCGTTAAATCGTATTTCATGTTAATTTGAAAATTCCCAGCATCACCGAGCCCAGGGCCCCGGCAAACTGTCGATGGGAATAAAATAAACCAATTTCCCCATCGTCGCATTGCTGAAGGCTTCCTGTTCGACACGGAGCTGAGCCCCGAGGGAGGGCTGACCGCAGACGCGGATGTGTGTGGGCCGAAATTTGGCATGAAAATGAAAATGAAATCGAAAACGGAAAGGAAAACTTTTGCTGCCGCCGCCCAACCCTTGGCGCGATCTAAACCAAAAGTTGTGTAAATGTGCGGGATTTGACTCGGGAAAGCATAAATTTCAATACGGCCAAAATGTCACGCTTCCGCACCCCGAAAGCCAACCAGAAAGTCGAAAACCAGGCTGGCAAATTGAAATAGAAACAATTTGGAGCGGTTTTCGGGCCCTGCACTGGCCCTGCTGCTGCCGGTGCACGTTTTAACCCAATTTTTGGTGCTCGCCCAGCCACGTGGCTTTTAATTGAGCTCCGACCGTCAGTCACATCTAATTATAATTGCCCACGATGGGTGTTCCTCCGTTCATTCACTCCTCCACACCTCTGCTCATCCACTCCTTCCCTCCCTCCACTGGGCTTCTTTTGGCCAAGGTAATATTTCAATGTTATCGTGCCAGTCATCGTCACGTTCACGCCGCCAGGTATTATCATCGGAAGAAGCCTTCTCGCCCGGCAGCCACCCTTCCTGTTCCTGTTCCTGTTCCTGCTTCTCCTCCTCGCCCTCATCCGCGTCCTGTTCCGACCACTTTCTCCACTTGGGCTTTCCCTGTCGCCTCCGGAGGCCTTACAAAGGCCACGGCAAGAAACCGCCGACTGGCTTTTGTAACTGAAATTAGGAGCTCTTCGTGTTGGGTTCATTTTTCCATGTCAGATTTTGACACTTCTGACGCGGCTGCCCTGGCCTAGGGTACAGTGCGTTTCAAAGCCATATGCCATATGCAATGTCTCTATAATTTCTTTACATTGAAAGTGGTGTCTCCTTAAGAAAACATTTATTTTTCTTTGAGTTTTATATTATTTATTATTTGTTATCAATATTGTGATTTGTCAAAACCTGTAAAATAATATTGATAATAAACTGTCTCACATTTATATATATTTTCATTATCAGCTGGGACCTATTCTTATTTCCTCCACCTTCCGATCCCTCATTGCGCTTTCAGACCTTTCTCCCGGTGCCATTGCCTGAATATTCGCTGGAAAAAAGTGGTTTGCTTATAAGCAGAGTAATGTGCACTTTTGGGGTTTTTGCGGGTTGACAGTAAATGGGTTGCAGTTGAGCTTTTCTAGTTGGAAAAGGGAAATTTATGAGTACTTGCGGGCAATGTGCATTCCCCTGCAAACCATTCCCTCCCATTCACATTCGCATTCGCCAGAATCTCACTTGCTTGCATGGAAATAAATGAGGAAATTCATGGGAGTGAAAATTCTTGTTTGAGAGTCTTTTGTTATTTCATCAAAAGAGAGTATTCTTTGATGGAAATTTATGTTACAAACATCACATATATTTTTAGGTTCACAGTTTCAAATAATTATACGTTTTCATTTCGTTATGAGCAATCGGAACGAAGTTAAGCCTCCCGCAGGTCCAGAACCATCTAAGGCACCGCCATTGGAAGGCCAAGGAGCTTCAGGCTTCCAAAGACCCTCCAATAATGACGGCGGCGGACGGAAGCCTCCACCTAGTCGTTACATTCAGACCAGTAAGGAATGCGAAAACATTCACTTAAGAATAATTCTGATCAGTTCATTTCTTCTGCAGCCGAGGAGGAAAAGTCTTCGGTCTTCGAGAAGTGTGCCGTGTTCATTTGCTGGATCTTTGTAGTTCTCTTCTTCCCCTTGTCTCTGTGCTGTTGTATCCTCGTTGTACCGGAGTACATCCGCCTGATCGTACTGCGATTGGGTCGCCTTCGTAAGGGCGCTAAGGGTCCTGGACTGGTGTTTTTCCTCCCGTGCATTGATGGTGTCCAGGCGGTGGATATGCGTACCGATGTCTATAAAGTTTGGCCACAGGACGTGCTCACCAAGGACTCGGTGACGATCACTGTAAACGCTGTCATTTACTATTGCATTTATGACGCCATCGACTCGATCATCCAAGTGGACAACGTGAAAGAGGCCACCCTGATGATAGCCAAGGTAACACTGCGCAACATTGTCGGCTCCAAGACGCTCAACGTTCTGCTGACCTCCAGACAGGCGCTCTCCCGTGAGATCCAGGAGGCGGTCGCTGAGATAACCGCCCGATGGGGTGTGCGAATGGAACGGGTTGATTTGTAAGCATCCTTTACGCATCATTTAATAGTGATTATTAATTTAAGTGATGGTCCTCCATAGAATGGATATTATATTACCGTCCAGCCTGGAGAGATCCCTGGCCAGTGAGGCGGAGGCTGTAAGGGAAGCTCGTGCCAAGATCATTTTGGCAGAGGGCGAGCTTAAGGCCTCGAAGGCCCTGAAGGAGGCATCTGATGTGATGGCCCAGAACAAGATCACTCTGCAGGTAAACTCTAAATCGTATATATAGAACGGTGAACTCATCCTATGTTTTAGCTAAGGCATCTTCAGATCCTCTCCTCGATCGCCACGGAGCGAAGGGTCAGGATTATTTACCCCATACCCATGGAGATAATGGAGCCTTTCATGGATAGTAAGGGGCCACAAACGGTAACGGTAATGGCAAGTACATCTGGTGGCGGCGGCGGTGCTGGTGGAAGTGGTGGTGCCGGTAGAAGTGGCGGTGGCGGTGGCAGCAATATTCTGTCCAATTTCTTTATTGGTGGAACAGACGATACCCAGCCCAGTGGTACGGATGCCACAGAGCCAAAGGGGCAAGATGAACCTGGCTTTTCAGGAACTTTAGTGCCAGAACCTCATTCCAATGCAGCAACCAATCTAAGGTCCTCGTGTAAGTATTTTAGAGCAAATCTTTTTCATCCTTGTTTTGAATGTTTCTATTTATTTATTCAGTTGTCGCTGTAGATATGGATCGTATTCAGAAAAGTCCATTGAGTATGTCATAAACTTATTGTGTACAGAAAAATCCCTTAACAATTTCTCTCAGATTTAATGCAAAAGGACGACGCTGCCAGGACGAGCACCCCAGGTGAGCAATACATAGATAGGGAGAGTGACTCGGAGCATCGACACCCCCTAACCATTGCTAGCCAGAATTTCAGGTCCAGTGGGGCGCCTGACGTTTATGGACCTGGAATCTTATCGGGACTTCCTGCGAGTTCGTTGGTAATCAGCCGGCGGCTGGCAGTATCCTGGCAGCAGGACAATGGGACGTGGCAAGGCCAAGCGTGAAATGAGCAACAGTCACGTCAGCCGATGGGCTACGAACTTGATTGAGGGCATTATCCTTGCTATTCACTCACCGGAGCGACATTGACACTGCCACTGAATGGCCTCCGAGCGGTTTTTTGTGACGCGATAAAAAATAGATGAATACGTGGTATTTTTCACTCGCGCTGCCTGACGACGTCCCGGGTGGCAATTTATCACTTTTAATAAATTGGCAGTTTTCAAGTCGATACTTCAATGACGCTGTAAAATATGGCTAATCCTCCATCACTAAAAATAGAGCTTGAATATGGAATGTGACTTCAACCCGCAAATTCCTGGCACGTTTAAGGTCCCTGTCTACATTCCTGAAATTATAATTGAATTAGAAATTCCAAAGACCCCAGAAGTACAGCGGCAATTGTCAAGCGAAAACCAATTAAATCACAATTACCGCAGACAGCAAAAATGTACTCAAAAGTCACTCAACATTGCTGGGCTTAACATTATGAATTGGCTCAACTTTGCACATTTATTATTTAATTTGCACAAGGCAAAAAGTTGCCACAAAGTGGGCTGGACGTGCCAGGGCGTGGCGGGGTGGGTCTGGGCGTTAATGCACTTCAACGTACGGCTGTGCACGTGTTGGAGCTGCGCTCCGTAAATTAGCAACGGAAGTTTTTGAGCTAATGTGCAAGAAATGGCAAAGAAATCAAAGGAAGAGCCAGCCTGCTCACCCACCAAAAAGGCGCGGCCTTAAAAATAGCTTCAAATATGAAAATGCATAATATAGAAATTTGAATATGCTGGTTGCTCTACTATTATAATTTATAATTTACAAGGAGTCAGGCAGGCGTTCAGTTTACAATTTAACGTTTGGATAACCTTTGAGCTGGCGCACGTGGCGTATGAGTAATTAGCATTTTCTGCTTTAAGGTACTCTACTACAATCAAAACCTAAAATGGCTCCCGGGGCTAGACACTAAGTTAAATACAATAAATCCGCTATTAACCAGATTCAGTTTTAGTTAGTTTAGAAAGTAAATAGGGCCAGACCTGGCATATATGCGTTGAAATTATGCACACATCTGGGCTAAGAAGTACCCTGAACTAGAGAAAGTTTTTGATGTTAGCTTCGGGGTCCTTGACTCCAGACCTTTGGCTGGCTTTCGCCTTTTTCTGGCACATCGTTAGCGCGACTTTTGTCGGGTGTGTGGGTGGGCTTGGGGCGCTACTTTGTCGCTGTTTGTGTTTGTTCTGTGGGCGAGCGTGCGTAAGTTTGGCTGCGTGTTCATTGCTTGCTCTCGGTGCGTGTTCGAGCACACACTCTCACATACAGGTGGGTTAGAGTCAGAGTCACCTGTGCCCACCTGTTCGGCGTACGTGTTTATCCATCTGACACTGGAAAGGCCAACCTTGTGTGTGTGTGTGCTTGAGTCGGCAGCTGCTGTTTGCCCGCTGCAGCAATGCAAATTCTGATTTGATTTATGCAAATGGCACATGCAGCAGTGGGAGCAGCTTGCCTGCTTCTGGCAGCCTGTATTTGCACTTGCCACTCGCGCCAAGTGGCCAGCAGTAGCAGCAGCCAAATAAGCAATCTCCCTTGTGTGCCTCTAAGTGGGTGCAGATGGAGCACAAAGGTCCCATTTCCCCCGGGCTAGAGATTCTTTAATTCGCATTTAAACAAAACGCTGACAAATGCCATTGGATTTGGCATGTTTGGCTTCTCTTGCTTCTGACTTGCACTTGACATTTGCTCATTTCAGTTGACCATCTCCCATGTCATACCCAGTCCCTTCTAGTACACTGAAAACCCCAAAAAATTAAGTGAATTAAAGCAATGTTTTTTCTACCCGGAAACCAGAAATGGACACGGTATTTCCTGTACTACGTTCTCCAGCAAAAAAAGGATACATTTTTCCCTTGATTTAAACTAAAACCACGTTCACCGAGAATCAAATGGAAATTTAGAGTGGCTGTTTCTTTGCCTGTAACTCCACTGGCCTCGCAATCATCCGGACTCGCTCCGGTTGACATATGTGGCACTGTGACCGTAAATGTTCTGCCATCTGTTAACCCGGAGACAGACCCGGACCCCGGAGAAGGGGCTGACGGGGATCGGGAGCTGGTAGCTGGGCACCAGAGGTTTCAGCTGTCACTCAGATCCCAGCGCTTTGGTTTAAGCATTTCCTCCTTTTTTTTAGCTTATCCCACTGTGACCTCAGGGCCGGGATTTTGCTTTTTGGGGATTTTATTGACTGGGCGAAGGAGCGGGAAATGCGCCTTTTTCTCTCTCTGTCTCTGGCTACTTTTTCGCTTTCATGTTTGTCATTGTCAATCTCATTTATCGACATCCGTTTAATGTCCAGCAATTTGAATGGGGCAGACCTGTGTGCCGTTCAGTGCCTTACTTTATCATTCCCATTCCGGTTCAAGGTTGGAACGGATTTTCTGGAGCCCTTCAATGGAGGTTGTCTTACATCCGTTTAGGTTTAGTTAGCAGCCAGATTGATGACTTTTATCAAGAAAAAGAGAAGATGATTTTGATTTTGGGGGTAAAATCCCTCATATCTATTCGGCGTGCATAGTGTTTTTGGACAAAAATTCGATTACAAAGCAACAGAGAGTGCAGTTTTTTCTTACTAATAAATGTAGAAAAGAAATTGTATTTAAAATTAGTGTTTTATATGGTCAATAATACCAAAAATGTTATCAATCTCGTGGTTACACTTAGGGAAACAAAGGCATTCTTTGAGTAAACCAAGCAGCTTAGTATTCACATCAAGCCTCCAAACAGAGGCTTCAGCCTTAAGAAAACCTAAAGAGCTTTCCTGCCGAGAAAGGTGTCTGCAAACAATCACCCTAGGAGGCAGTGCCTCCAATTGGCAGTGGGAATGAATTTCCCTTAACCTGCCGAACAAAAACATTCTCAGCTAAACAAGCTGTAAGCTGCCTGGTAATTGAAGCTGCATTGTTTGGCACATGTCCAAAGGAGGCTCCAATCCTGGCATTGCACATTCCCAGCCACTGAGCTGGGCAGAAGGAGGAGGAGGAGGAGGAGCTGTAAGGAGGCCACAATTGTGTAGGCAAACAATGGGCAACCGCAGGAGAATCCCGTCGAGTGAAGATTGAGGATGGTACCGACTTGGGCTTGTGAAAATTAACAAGACATTTATGCGGGGACACACACAAAGGTGCGCCTTCGTCGACAATCGTATCCGCATCTGGCTGACACACGACTGTTTTGGCATAAATTAGCTGGGACAGGAATGTGGAGCACAGAGCGGAGTCGGAGAGCCTCCAAGGAACCTGAACACATGTCCTTCGGTTGTCAAACAGGCAGAAAGAAATAACTTGCAAACACTTGCCGGAGAAACCCCTTGGCCACAAGCTGAAATGCGAAGCGAGCAAGGAAACCGAAATGCAAATTGCGTGTCGCAAAGTTGGCAGTCATAACTAACTCGGCGAAGACGGTGACTGAAATTTGTTTGCCAACAACGGGAAGCTGGAACTTCAGCCCTTAATGAGCACAGGGGCTGTGGGGATGCGTCCCTCCTCGGGATTGTAAGGTAATGTTGGCTGAAACTTTCCATCAAGTGCCTGGCGGAGCTCTCCACCCCGTGCCTTCCATACCGAGTCACGCCGAAATTGTCAACAGCCGAGGATTTGGCGTGAGTTCCGGTGGGAGAAGAGAAAAAGCCAGCGCGAGAAAAGGGGCCAGCTCCGTGGGAACTTCAGTTTCATTAACTAAGTGCTCCATACCAATTAAGTTTTGTGCATTTTGGAATAATATAAATTAATTAGAATATGCTAATGAGGCCAGTCTTCGTCAGCCATTACCGTGCATGGCCAACTGGGCCGAGCTCGCCTCGGTGCGAGTCAATTGACTTGAATAAATTAGCGCCAGCGAATGCAGGCTCAAAGCCGGGACAGTTGGCTTTAACCGTCTATTGACCCGGTCTTCATTTTCCATTTTCCCTCTCAAGGCTGGTTTTCTATTCAAGTGCTCTGTACAAATATAGGCTGTTTAAGTCAGGGGCTGTCCCATCTAGGCATATAAATGTCAAGAGTCTAGACTGTGGACCACCCAAGGAGACAGCAACGCCAAGATTTGATCGAATTTAATGATTATTTAGCACTTTAAATATACCGTAGTCAAGAGTCCCCTAGGTACTCATTAATCATTGTAGAGACCTCAAGCGTTTTAGTAATTTGCTTCCATAAATCCGGTTATTCAGTGTTCAACCTGTCAGTCTCTGCCTCACCTCATCGATGTCATTAGCTTTAAACTCCCGGGGACAACACATTTGCTCGCATATATCTGTTAAGTTGTTAGCTCATCCTTCAGCATCCTCAAGCACGCCACGTGTTTGAAGTCCCCGATGAGCAGAGACGATCTGGCTTTGACTGCAACTCCCATTCGTTTCCATCGAATGTCTCACTAAAGACATCGTTTCGTTGTGGAAATGTGAAGATAAAGTCATTCAAACCCGAAAATGGCAACGACTATTGCATAAATTCGGGGCCCGAGAGGCATTGGGCCACGTCGTATTCTAATTCGATGATGGCAGCACACGCAGACAGGCATTCGACCTGGCCGGAACCCCTCCTTCTCCGCCTCGCCTGGCCGGGATTGTCTGCGCAGCTGTCTGGAACAGTGCACTCTCTCATTGGCAATGGCAAACGGTCTCCGGTCTCTGGCCTGAAATTGGCAGGAAGGAAGGAAGGTGGCCAGCCAGTCAGACAGTCAGTCAGCCAGGATCCATTCGGATTCCGACCAGGCCAAGCAGCAGGCGTCAATAAAGCCAACTTTACGTCGAGGTGCTTCGCTTCTGGCTGCAATCGCATTAAACCATTTTCGGGGACAGGCAGACGACAATTTCACAGATATTGATTTGTCTGCAATAAGAAATTTCCTTAGAATTTGTCAAATAGCAAAACAAAGTACTGGTCGAATATTCACTTGTTAACAAAGGAAAAATCAATTAAGTAATGAAAGAAAATCAACTGAAATCGTTTCACTTTCATTTCTCAAAAGTTTGTTGTGTCTGCGAGTCCTTCAGGTCCTGCCGCTTGGGCCACAAAAATTAATTGTGTTTAAATAATTATCACAATTAAATTCTTGTTGGCACATGACTGCACTTAATCGCCATTGTTTGCCGGTCGGCCAAGTAGTTTCCCTCCAGACTCTAAGCTTCAGCTTCTGCCTAATCAGACAAATTGATCAGAAATCAGCACCTGCTTGGGGGCCCATTTCGGAAGTGTTGAGTGGAGTTGACATCAGTCTCAATTAAGGCCAGTGAATCCGTAATTATCCGTAATGGAGCAAAATTAATTTCTTATCGGAACATTACGGCAATATGGCCTCATCTTGCCCGACACAATTAAGGTCCGCAATTTAATTGCAAACAACACCACCCCGCCGTCTACACATTGTACAAGCTATAAAACTTGTAATTTTCTTGAGTCATGAATTTGAATTGGTTATAAATCAGAAATGTAACTCAAATAACAAGCAATAAAGGAACAGATTTTGGTTAAATCAGTTTTTGTTCTAAAGTAAAAGCAATTTTTGTAAAAGGAAATTTAAATGAAAATTACAAGTTGTAGTTTATCTTCTATATTATGGCATTTACCTTGTCTTACACCTTTCTTTCTATTAAAAATCTTAATGGAACAAAGATTTATTTTCCCATAAGTGAGAAATTATATTTTTAATTTAGCAAATTTGTCTATATACAAACTAATTCTTTACCAAGACACAAAAAGAAAAAAAAAGAAGACCAGCGGAATGCTTAATTTGGTTTTTAACAATCGCTTCCAGCAGCAGCTGCGTCGCCAGCTCCAGGGCCAGGGGCGGGACCATCCCCCGGATCAGGAGCATTTGCAGAATCCCCACAAGCACTATCACCAGCTCCGGCTCCAGATCCAGCTCGGTCGCCTTCATCCTCGTCGTCATCCGACAGGAGATCAGAGAGACTGAGGTCCGAAGAATGCTTCTCGAGGCCCTCCTCGACTAGGTTACGCGGATCGGACGGCAGAGGCAGGGCGTACATCTTCACGCACACCATAACGTGCTCACGAAAGAGCTGCTCCGAGTGCTTCATGATGGCGGCGGCCCGGTGATTGAGCGGGTCATGCGGATTCGGGTGGCGCAGCAGCTGCGGCAGAAAGGTGTCGAAGATGTTGACCAGGTCGTAGCTAGCCGACCAGGCCTGCTTGAATGCATTTAAGCAGACCAGTCCCGAGGTGAACTCAATGTTCGGGTGCAGAATCTTGGTGACGAAGCGGACGCGCGGAGCCTTCAGCGGATACTCCAGCGGCATGGACAAGTTCACGGTCCAAACGCCGCCCTGATAGATGCTGCCCAGCGGCCCCTCGAAGCGCACGTTCAGGTTGGCCATGTTCTCATCCGCCACAATGTGATAGCCCGACGCCAGCAGTCGGTTCACGTCCCGGAGCAGGCGCCGCCCAGCCATCGGCGACGTTGTGCTTACCACCACGTTGGCCATCGGTATCCAGGCGTCCTGTGCTGTTTCCGAGTCGGAACTACTGGGATTTGGAGTGCACTCGTCAGCTACACAGAGGTACCTTCAAAACTATGCATCTATCGGAGATGATATGCATTAGTTTCTAACCGGCAGGGGCTGAAAATGCAAATCCATACTTACACATTAAATGAAACCAGAATTTTGTTATTTTTTCATTGGAATTTTCTATGAAACATACAGTCAGAGCCTACTCGAGCCTTAGAGACCAAATATATGCTTTGCTTAGCAAAGAAATATCCTTGTGATAGATGGGAGATACTTTTATTTTTAAAAATGTCCAGTTTTCAAAAGAAAATGTATAAATAATTCAGGCCAAATTGTAGTTGATATCAGTAAAAGATAAAAAACCTTAAAATCTACACAAATAAAATGTTCAACTTTATGCCTTCAGGTGAAATTGTGCGGTCTTTGTTGCTAACCAGAACTGTTTTTGACAAAATATGCCACAAAAATATTGACAAAAAATCATGTACACATGTCAATTGTCAGGCTGTGTTTTAGCTATTAAAATGTTATCAACTTAACATCTGTATCCATCGGCACTAAAAAATAGAGGTCAAATATGCAATTTATCACCTATTTACGACCAAGTTAACCCAAAAACAGAGAGTCGTGAAAGTGAAAGTAAAAACAATGCTCTAATTTATTTATTTTACCCATTTTTTGGCGTACTTCCTTTGCATTTTTTCGGCGGTGTCGCACTGCGTCTAAGCGGATTTTGGCACTGGGCCGAGTGTTCATTAATTGGGCGTGGGTCAGAAGGTTTGTGGAAAAAGTTTTGGCCATACTGCCAACTGCTTGTAATGGGGCATCGGGGAGGGCACTGGATAGATCCCAGGATGGGATGGGATGGGATGTCCTTGTGGCACCGAGCTGAATGCATTCCTGATTGCTGGCCATAAATCAAAGATCGTCTGCTGCCGTTTCCATAAGGGAAGCTGCGATAACTCCGACGGTGGACCGATGCGGAGTGCATTAAAGTTAAATGGACTCGGACTAAATGCTGCAAATTGCTGCCATAACCAACAGTCATGGATACACGAGGAGCGTGTATCTGCGTATCTGTACGTGTATCTGTAACTACCCTGCAGTACCATTCATCAACAATTCATCAACGTTTCATCAATAGCCGAAGGGGTGTTGTTGATGATTCATCGATGAATGGCCATACAAATTACTGATGAATTTAACATGGGCATGTCATAGGCATTCATCAACAACAATTCATCAACAATTCATCATCATTTCATCGATGAATTGTTGATGAAAGGCTGATGAAATGTTGATGAATTGTTGATGATTCATCGATAAATTGTTGATGAATTGATGATGAATCATCAACAATTCATCAACATTTCATCAGCCTTTAATCAACATTTCATCATCAATTCATCGATGAATTGTTGATGATTTTTTTTTTTCATATATAAAAATAAAACTCTTAAATTTTTATTAATATTATTTATTCTTACAAATTCTATACCTAAACTAAAACACAAATATAAAAAATTAAGATTAAACATCCATATATTAAAAGGCCTTAAGGTCTTTTTGATTCTTGGTGTTCCGCTTTTTATTCATGAAGACCAAATTTATTGCGCAGTATCTTCTCTGGAGGCTCAGTTTTAGTCACTTGGGAAATTGCATCTACAGAAAAAATTATAATTAATCAAGGGAAAATATAATTTAATTAAATAAAATTACCCAATTTATTGGCCATTACAGCAGTCTGAAAAGAAAATACATACATACATATATAAATATAATATATTATATACATATAATAAATAAAATAATATATGTACATTTATAGGCTTCTATTTAATTAAGAACAATCTTTTTACTCACCTTTTTTATATTCCAATATGGCCCGGAACGTAATTATTGAATTATTTGATTTCTTAATATTTTAAACACACGACACTTCTGCAGTGGAGAACACTTTAACTTGTAATGCAAAGGGAATAAGAAGAAGCAAGACGAAACCGAAAACCGCTGCTCCGAAAATATGGAGTCGAACCTTCGAGAATCTATTTTAATTGCGTCTTCTACTTTGTTTCGGACTTCAAAAAACGAAGCCCATGCAAATTGTTTTTGTTTTTTTTTTTTTGCATGCACCAACAAATCGGACTCGAAGGGAGGTCGGGTCTCCGAAGGGAGTTCGGGTTCAAGTAGCAGTCGGCAGAGCGTCGATTCTGTCGGTGTCGCAGTCGGCGCGTTGATGAATTGTTGATGAAAAGGCCTATTGATGAAATGTGGTACTGCAGGGTACAACCCGTACTCGTAACTGTATCTGTATCTGTATCTGTGCATGTGCTACAATGCACTATGGGGAATTTTGCCATTTCCGTGGTATTTAGTCATTTTATCAAACTTTAAATATTTGAGTTTTTTTTATGTAAACATATTCAAAATATATGGCTCTATAAAATGTAGTACCAGAAATGTTAATTAACAGTGCACTGTTAAGCCTATCCACTGTTAAAGTCGGCTGTTGTAGCCAAAATGCACGTGATTGAAAATAGCTATTTTTTATTCGGTTACTTTGAAATTGAAAAACTAAAAAGTAGAACCAATTTTTGATTAAAGTTTTGATGGAGACCAATAGTATTGGTAATTATTATGTGTTGTGTGTACTAATACATTGATCTGTGCGTGTCTTACTGATATATTGCGATTTTTCTAAGTGTTCCTCTAAGGAAATTTTTTTGAGAAAATATTTAACTTTAAAGAGACCTATAAAAAATATATGTCTTTGTATTGCTGTACGTCCGATATATGTTGTAGAGGCATTCATTCTAAATAAAAGGCAATTTGTCTCAATGTGCACAAATCCGCACAATCTGCGTAATTTAATTTTTTTTTGCAGGTCTTTTCGAGCAAATTTTACCAAGAAAAAACCATTTTTCAAGTTAATTACATATAAATATTAATGTGTCAAATCATTTTACCTGTTTAAAAGGCAAAAGCTAATTTTTTTGCATTAATGTAAGTGCCAAATGGAAGTTATTAGCGAATTTGGAGGCCTGGACCTCTTTTATGAAGAAATTGAATATGAAAATTACGTTTTTTATTTTATATCTGACGAAGAGCTTGAAAATTAAGACAATGTATTTTTTTTATTATGTTTATAAAATATATTATTTGAAAAAAAGAAAAAATCACCTTATACACTTAAAAAAATAAAAATAAAAATAAAAAAATCGTCAAGCGAGGGCGCAACCACGCCCATTTTTCCAAAAATCATTTCTTATGGAGTCCATAATTATAACAAAAAAAACCGTTTCGAAATATATTACTTAGTTTAAAAGTTATTAATTAATACCATAAAAATGGCCAAATTCCCCATAGTGCAATGGCCCGAGCTGAAACAATGGTAAATAACGACTAGAAAATTGTAAAAAATGTTGACAATGTTTCTCATGGCTGGCAAATCCTTTGGCCCGAAGCTTTATTTTTAGTGCGACAGTAAATGCGTCACTCCCTATCTCTGTCTCCATATCTCCGTCTCTATCCTGGCCCCAGCAGCCGTCTCTCTCGGTCCCTCCCTCGCCCCGTCTGGGTCTGGAATGCGCTTTGTGCAGTTTTCACAGTTGAGTGCGCTCATTGTTTTCGCTGTCAGCGAGCGGCGCGTCGACAATGAATAATTAGAATTTCGTTGAAGGTCCATTGCTCATTTCCCCATCCCCATTTATTTCGACAAGGAAACCCCCTAAAGCCGCGTGAAACACCACGCCAGTGTTTGCCAGGGCCAATTCATGAGACTTTTAATTTGCTGGCCATGGCAGCGACAGCAAATCAAACAAAAGCGATTTGGGATTACGCCCGAAAGCCCTGCGAAAATCTGAAATAGGGTTCGCTAGGAAAGGTCGCCAAATTTCCAATAATCCATATCTGCGTGATCGGTTCGATTGAGCTGGCCGATAAAGCGATTCTCGTAGTTGAATGATTTTTAATTATAGGCCTTTCGGAATTTGTCAGTTTTTGATTTGGCTGCGGCAGGACATACTCTTTGGGAACTAATTTGTAATTTTGATTTTTAAGCTAATAATTAAAACTGATATGGAATTTATTTGTTTGGAAGACTAATATTGCAAAAAGCTTACTTAAATATTCTCTATGAAATACAAAGAAATTAAAACGCTTTATAAAATAACTGTAATAATACTTCTGCCAAGTATTGACCTTCAAAGAATATTATTTTTAATCAAATAATTCCCTGCAAGTGTATAAATTTACCTAAGCTATACAATTAAGCAGTTGGCTTTTATCCCGATGCCTTTATTTCCCATAAATGTAATTTCCCAAAGTGTAAAATTAGCTAGATATATATTTCTGGCATTGAAATTCAAAGCTTGCCACCATTATGGAATTTATTCCACAATTTTCACTTGAATCCGAGTCCGAGGAACCAGAGATGCCGAGAAATGGCACGACTTCAATGTGATTTTGGAGTCCATAAATAAAATCTGGAATAGATGCCATTAAGAGCATTTTAGCCGCCATTAAAGCAATATGGAAGCCCCCGCCCAGGGGCCGGTCGCAGACTATTATGCCAAGAAATACGATTATCGCGTAAAATTAACGCGAAATTAATGCAAACTACGGGCGCCGCGCCGCGGATGAGACGCGGCGAGTCCGATGGGCGGAGGATGAGCATTAAGGAGCAATCTCAACATGAGCGTTAATTTCGCGAATTGTAATCAACTGGGAACGGCGCGGTAATGAAGCTGTTTCGGCACCCCGGCATTGACCACGTCAAAGTCAACACTCCAACAAGTGCAAACAGGCCGCGGGACGGACAAAAATGTCCCGTCCAGCCCGGCCCCGAAAACAATGGCCGGGCTAAAGGAGGAACCCAAACTCCTGGCTATGCCTCCTGCGATCCACAGTTCACAAAACAATGGACCGACTAAAACAATGGCGAGCGAGAAAAGGTAACCGCGAAAAGGATAACTCAAAAGCCAGGAACATAGCAGAACCAGCGCAGCACAGGACACAGGACAAACCGCAACCGCAGGTCTAACCCCCTGGCATTTTGGCAACATTCCATAACTCACCCCCCCGCCAGCACCGCCCCAGCACTTGCCCCCGGGGCCTCACTGGTCCGCCCGGTGGAGGAGCACTTCCTACGCTTCCCACATTTCCTCTCCCGCAGAGGAAGCGAAACTCACACAAATTTGTTAAATTAACTTGATAATTTTTAATGAAATTCTCGCAGCAGGCGCTGCGCTGAACAACAAATTT